CGGCCGTGACGAAAAGCCAAATACTAGGGATGGGCGATGTTTTAAAAAACATCGATTATCAAAGAATTGATGTTTTTGAAAAACATCGATGTTGTGAATCAATTTTTCAGAAAAAAAATCGATTATTTAAAAAATTGATGTTTTTCTTATTACACAGGAGAGCAAAATACAACCCGAGGAGGCGAGGAACTTACGTTTCAATGATAACTACTGCCAGAGAGTTAAATTTTGAATCTCGAAATAGGATTTTTGATTAATTGAAAAAAATATGTTGAATATTTTCCGTTAACTGCAATAATTGTTAAAAATTTTAATAAAAAACATTAAAAATTTCAATTTAATAAAAACAATAGACTGGACTTGTTCACTTGTCATTTATAACATACATACTGTACAAAATAATTACTTCTTATTGTAGATAAATTATTCTTTTGTTTATTCTCAAACAATCAACATTATTCTTCGACAAAAAAATAAGAAATTTTGTTAGCTTAGTCAGAAACATCGATGTTTGGAAAAAATAATCGAAAATCAATTAATCGGTCGTTCAAAACATCGATGTTTTCGATTTATCGACGAACATTGCTCATCCCTCCCAAATACACAACAGAAAAAAATATATGAAAAAGGAAAAAATTTGTACATTTTGTCAAGTTAGAAAAAATCATCAGAAAAATCTAGCACTTTCATCAAACAATGTAAAGAATTTCTATTGAAACTTTATAAGTCTATTGGAATTCTGTCAATATTCTATAAAACAATTCCATTGGTTTTTTGTGTCATTTCTATTGAAGATTATGCAACTTTACCATATCAAATTTAAAAAAAAAACGATTCTAATCAAAAATGGAAAAAATAGTACAGTATGTCATCAGGCGATAAAAGTATTAGGGGTGAGTGGGGTAAATGGACACTTTAGACTTTTGGTTCAATTACTCATAACTCAGAAACAAATTTATCAATTGAGCTCAGTTTAAGCTCATCACAAAGGGAATGAATTGTCCTTTGCAATGAAAGAAAAATTTATTAAATTTTATCAACATTTCAACTCGTCATTAACATTTAAAAAAACCTCCCCTATCTAACGAATGTGACGTTATCTCGCCTTCGGCTCGGATTATAATCACATTCGTCAGGTAATACTTTTATCGCCGTGTGACATAAAATACTATTTCATCACGCTGTAACGAAAAGTGAACTTTTCGGCACGCTCCGCGTGCCTAAAAGTCCAATTTCCGCCATATTGTGATGAAAAATATTGTTCGTAACTCGTGAAAAAATGTTTTTTAGCTCGTGGGATTATATCACTCGCCTTCGGCTCGTGATATAATTCTCCCACTCGCCAAAAAACACTTCTTGCCCTCGTTACGAAATATACTATTTCTCGCGTGAAGATTCAACTTCAAATGATTCCCGCGAAGCAGCCAGTGGCGGCCTCCCCCTCCAAAACTCCCAAACAACACGTGACATTTACTAGACGAGGTTAACCCACGTCGTTACCCGTCGTCTAAAACCAATCGGAGGAAAATAACTGCCACGATTTCGTGTGCATAACAGTGAAAAAATGTCGAAGAACTTGACCTGGTGTTTAGTGCGAAACCTTCTGAAGCAGAATACCTATCCCTTCGTGAGACAATTCCCCCAGCAAATAGTGAAACGTTTCGAACACGCGGAGCGAGTTTCTGCCCCACTGCAAACCGAAAACAAGTCGAGCATTGATTATTGTGAGGTCAAAACGTATCAGCAGTTCCTGGAGGAAAGCCAAATAGGGGAGAAACATTCTGTGAGAGTTCTGATGAATCTCCTGGACATTAGGCGAGAGACTGCAATCAAATTCACGAAGGAGTGGAAGATTTTGAACCATTTGACTAAGCCTAAACTTCTCAAGAATTATCAGTTACTCCGTTCTGCCGGTGCCTTCAGGTCCACAATTAGACACAATATTCAGGCACTCGCTGATAAACCCGAAAATATCCAGTCCAAAATAAAAAGCCTGAAGAAGATTAAACTTGAGTTTAATTATGGTATTCCGTTGTTTCAATTGACTGCTGTGCAACTGATGTTATTCGCTCATACTACTGTGAAGGATAGGGTTCTTATTCCTGATTACAATAACAGAGTTGAATATTTGGCTGATAGATTCAATGTAAGATTATTTACAATCCTATTACTCATTTTTAAGGCCCGGGTGTACTATCTTTCGAATGTTATCTGGATTTTTTTACCTTTCGTAATCCAAAATTGTCAATTGAGTGCTACATCATGTAGAAATTCCCAAAAATTGTGATAGAATGATAAAAAAAAAATAGAAAAAAATCTCAACTTTTTCAAAGAGCGTTTTTAATTGAGATTCAGAATGAGTTGAGAAAAGGGGAAATTACAAATATCTGATTCGCTGTGGCAAATTATCTATTGTCATTTTCCATGGTGGATAACAAAACACCAACTCCTCATGGGAAGTGACAGCTAGGTATCTCAATTTTCAAAACAGTGGTATGTAGTCATCTGCCATTTTTATGTGATGAAAGTGTGATTTTAAAATTCTCCCAAAATGTTACAACTCTTTTCAAAGAGCCTTTTCCGTAACGTCTCTGTGCAGTGTGGGAAAAGATTTACGAAATCAGTCTTCCCCCTGCATGATATTGGGTGGCAGGCCGCCATTTGTCACCGTAAATCAGATACATTTCTAAATTTCTTGTTATTCAACTTATTCTGAATATAAATTAAAAATGCTCTTTGAAAAAATTAAGAATTTTTTCTACTTTTTTTTATTATTCATTCATAATTTTTCAAAACTTCTGCATGATGCAGGACTTAATTGACAATTTCAGATGACGAAAAATGAAAAAAACATCGAGATAACGTTCGAAAGATAGTACACCCGGGCCTTAACTGCATTTTTTGGCTGCAATATTTCCCGTACAAAAACATTTCATCGAAAAACTTGGGGAATTTGCTAGGGAATTCTATTGAAAAATTCTGTAGCTCATCTGTGCGGTTTTTTCAATTCAAAAAAAAATTAATTGAATTCGTTTTTTGGCACAGCTTATTCTATTGAGATATTTTATATAGAAATTCCTTGGCTTCAATTTCTCTAAGATTTTTCGTTTGATTTTTCTAATGAAAGGAGCAGACAAATGGAGTGAGAAAAATCTAGAAAATTCACGTTACGGAGTGTCTATAGAAAATATCTCAATAGAAAAAGTCGTATATAATAAAGATGACATTCCCCTGATTTTTTTTCTATAAAATTGTTTCTATTGGATATTTTCAATAAAAGTAGAATGAAAATCCAATAAAATTTTCTATTGAATTCGTTAGGTTGATCTATATTTTCCTTTCGTGAGTGTTGATCGAGTGAAATTGTTTATTTGAAATTTTTCTGTTTACTTGAACAATATTTTTGTTGAAAATTAATAAATTCATGTTGGAAATGAATAGATTCACGTCTGTTTCGACGAAAAGGTTTCGATTATATAGAATACATAAATAATTTCTTTTAAATAAATTCTCTGTTAATTTTCCTGAAATTTTTCGTTTGATTTTTCTAATGAAAGGAGAAGACAAATGGAGTGGTAAAAATCCAGAAACACGTTAAGGAATGCCTATAGAAAATATCTCAATAGAAAAAGTCGTATATAATAAAGATGAAATTCCACTGATTTTTTTTCTATAAAATCGTTGATCTATATTTTCCTTTCGTGTGTGTTTAATCAAGTGAAACTCTTTATCTGAAATTTTTCTGTTCACTTGAACAATATTTTTGTTGAAAATTAATAAATTGATGTTGGAAATGAATAAAGTCACGTCTGCTTCGATGAATAGATTTTGATTTTATAGAATACATGAATAATTTATTTCAAATAAATTCTCTATTGGAATCAAATGAACGATTTATTTGATTCGACTAGAGAATTATAACATGTTGATAAATCCTTTCTCATTTTGAACTAATGAAATCTTTATTTGGGTCAAGAAAACATTGATTTATATTTAAATACAATTTGATGTGAATAAAAATCAAATTTACTTGACAACTATTTTGTTATTATTGTGAATCAATTTTGCTAAAGATTAGCTAAACCTCCCTAACTATAATTTCCGTATCTCCACAATCCTGTCTGTTGCTTTATTACAGGCTGATTTTTTTTCTTGTTTCAGTGCCACGTGAGTACAATTTGTACTATTCTATGCACTCATCCACCGATTTTAATGGTCAACCTGGAAAAAATTATTGAAATTACTGATTTTCTATTGGGTAAGAATTTTTTTTATAGAAATTTATCATTCATCAAGTAGAGACCCTAAATAAGTGAAATTTACTGTGAGAACATTTTTTTAATCTGCTTTCTATCCAATTTACTTTGCAAAATGCCCCTTATGAGAATTTATTTTTCTCTTGTAGGTTCTAAAATATTTATCGAAAACCACTCTCGGAACGAGTTTATTATTGTTCAATTGTCTAGGGAATTAGAGAGACAATTGGCTTGATTTTACTGTGAGAATATGATTTTATTAAAATAAGGTAAATGTACCTATGCTCGTTCAGATGGCGTGAGCTATCACATTTTAATCATTTTGACAGTCCCAAGAGTCTATCAAGAGTGAAATACGATTGCAGTTATTCTTTAGTTAATAAGGAAAGTTCTAGACACCAATGAATAGTGATTTATTGAAGAATAAGAAACAAAAATCCGATCCACATCAACTGGTGCTACGACAGAGTGAATTCTTAAGCCGCAAACAATTAATTTTCTGCACTAATTAATCGTTTTTAGACGTATATAATCGATCTTCAATGTATGAGAAATCTCATTCCAATAGCCCGCGACATATGATCCTCTTCGGTCGTATTACTTTTTGCAATGAGAAAGATTGCAAAAATAAGAAAAAAAAGAAAGAAAGAAAGATTATAAACAATTAAGGTCTGGGTGAATTATCTTTCAAACGTGATCTCGGCTGTTTTTTTTATTTTCATAATCTAAAATGATCTCCAATTGCTATTCAGTTTCACATAGCCCTGGAGTCTCCAAAAATTATGATTGTACAATCAAAAAAATGTTGAACAAAAGCTGAACATTTTCAAAGAGCGTTTTTGAATAATATTGGCAAATAAACCCAATAGCAAGGAAATTGCAAATTAATAATTTGATGTATCTAATGGCTGTTAGGTCGTCACTTGTCACAGTATTCAATGGCTGTCCGATCGTTAGTTACCATGATAAATTATCCATTCACAATTTTTTCTCCATCGGACTTATTTCTTATTCGTTATTAAAAACGCTCTTTGGAAATGTTCAGTTTTTTTTTCTACTTTACTGGATTGTGCAATTATAATTTTTAGGGACTCCTGCGTGATGTTAAATCCAATGGAAATTGTGATATATTTGACATTATGAAGATGGAAAAACAATCGAGATAACGTTCGAAAGAACATCCACTCGGGCCTTAATTAAGGATGTTTATCCAAAATCGCAATTCTTCAAAAGAAAATTGATTTTTTTTCAACTAAGAGATGAAGTTACTTCCTTTATCTTGATAAAAATTTCAATCCACCAACCCACGTTTATTATTTAGAAATGGAGTGGACAAAATGCACCAAACGCATGCGCCAATATGCGCTTATATGGGCTAGATTTCATCTTTTTGCGCGGGTACCCCAAATTTTCTTCTGGGCACTCGATTCAGTATAGTTTTGCACATTACCTCCTATTTTTATTTCTATTTTGAGAGACTTATTGGAGTTGAATTATAAATTTCGACATGAATCCCAAAAGAGCCCGTGTATAAGAAAAAATTAGTTCATTTATTTCTGGCGAGACTATTGCGATTAATTTTTTTTAACATCAAAGAAGGTAGTTCCATATGTTCTCCTATCAGCCACAAAAAATTATAGAATTTTCCTTCAACATGGAAAAATAAGATTTGCTGAAAATGGCTAAACATCCTTAAGGATGTATTACACCCTTTTCACAAAAAGTCACGTTTTTTGAATTTTTCTGGTAGATTGTTGATCGGATTAACGTGAAAAAATATATCGTTTTTGCGTTTTATCGTTACTTGATGGCTCACGAAATTTTATGATCGTGTAATCAGTTTCCTGCATTTTTTCTAAAGTTTTGTGAATTTCCGACAAGTTTTACTTCGTGAGTCAGTCAATAATGATAAAACGCAAAAACGGTATATTATTTCGCGTCAATCCGATCAATAATTGGCCAGAAAAATGAAACAAAAATGTGAGTTTTGGCTGAATGGGTGTAGTATATCTTTAAAAAAAAAGAATATCGAATCTGACAGGAAAAAGGGCACCAACTCCCCGGCTGCAAGCGGCTGGGATGGCACTAGTCCTCTCGACTATTTGATTGAACAGCATCTCCTACTCCACACATTTTCATTACCGAGACAATTATGCCCTATAAATTCGGTCACTAAGAAGTTGAGCAACGGCCAGGGGAATAGGTCGACGCAGATTTCCGCAATTTCCTACTTTTCAAAACTTTATACGACCTCATTAAACGATAACGCATGCTCAACGTTTAAAGCCCTCGCCTCCTCACTTCCCATCGGATTTTTATTACTGATATAAAGGGATTATTGCTAACAATCATGTTAATGATGGGAATAATTCTTGAAGGGTGGAATCTCTGTAGTTGGAGGACTTGGGAGATGTTTGCTAGGCAACGAATTTATTGACAGTTATCTTTACCATGGCTACTGCCGACACATTTCAATTGGAATAGATTAATATTTCAAGGAATGATCCGTTCAGTACTTGAACGAATGGAATTCTATCATAACACGTATGAAAAATTTAATAGAAAAACCTAACGCTCTCTCTAAGAAATTCTATTGAATTTCTGTGGGAACTCTATAAAAATTGTATTAGTTTTACTAGAATTCTCTGGGATAATATCATTCGGTTTTTTCGCTAATTCTGTCAGAAGATTTCGTAGAAAATGGGAAGATTTAATAACTCTTCTACAAAATGTGAAATGTGGAATTTTTAGAAATGTTTCCACAAAAAACGAAAAACTTTTTCCCAGAACGAACCTCCTTTTAAGAAGACACTGCACTGAATCGAGCTGGGGGCCTATTCTCGAAATATTTCCGTGCACGGAAGTGGCTTCGTAGACGAATTGCGTATAGGAATCATATAGGCGTTCCGTCAACGGAGTCGATTCCGCGCACGGAAATATTTCGAGAATAGCCCCCCTGATGAGTTTACTACTTCAGTTTTGATGTAAAAAAAATTGGAAAAAATTGGGTTGTAATTTTTTTTCGTCATCGTCGTGAGGTCCCATTGTATCAAGAGAAATTATATCATCTTTCTTGAGGAAAAAAATCTATTCAACTGAAGGAAAATACTTGAGTTTGCGTTTTGATGATATATCATTTTGCCTTTGTATCTTTCATATTTTTATAAGGGTAAGGAACAAAATGTTAATAATATGAATGTGAATTTTTCTTTGATCCCACAGACGAAGTTGGTATGAAACCAGAATATATACTTGGCGACCTAGTCATTTATGGTTATTCACTTGAGAACATAAAAGATAGGTTGTATCGAGCCCGACGTGCCGGGATGGAAGAAATAAAGCCATGGCTCATTCGATGTCCAATTTCACATATTGAGAGGTAAGTCGTGTTATTAAACTTGCGAATGTTTTAGATAACTCACCGAAGGTGCGTGCAAAATTCTGGGAATTTTTTTCTAAATTTTCCCAAAAAAGGACTGGAGTGATAGATAAAAATCTGAAATTTTGGCTCATAATTGGTATTGTTTGGGATCGCATCTGGCCGAAATTTCAGCTCAAGCGGTCCAGTAGTTTTTGAGATACAGCGATTCCGAAAAAAAATTATTTTCTCAATGTCTCGAAAACTACGATTAAGAGTCACCCAATATCATGCAGGGGGAAGACTGATTTCGTAAATCTTTTCCCACACTGCACAGAGACATTTATTACGGAAAAGGCTCTTTGAAAAAAGTTGTAATATTTTGGAGAATTTTTTAATCACGCTTTTATCACATAAAAATGGCAGATGACTACATACCACTGTTTTGAAAATCGAGATACCTAGTTGTCACTTCCCATGAGGAGTTGATGTTTTGTTATCCACAATGGAAAATGACAGTAAATAGATAATTTGCCACAGCGAATCAGATATTTGTGATTTCTACTTTTTTCAACTCATTCTGAATCTCAATTAAAACTGCTCTTTGAAAAAGTTCAGAATTTTTTCTATTTTTATTTATCATTCTATCATAATTTCTGGGAATTTCTACATGATATACCACTCAATTGACAATTTTGGATTTGGAAAGATAAAAAAAATCCAGAAAACATTCGAAAGATAGCACACCCGGGCCTTAAAACTGAAGCAGCATACTCATCAACACCATAAATGAAGGCCCTTGCAATTTTGATATTTCAGTGCGATCTCCCCTCAATGAAGACAATAACAATTCGATAATTATTGATAAATGCCCAATTTTCATCTAGATGGGAGCAGAAGAAACAGAACTGGGACAACCTCGTCGGTCCCGACACCACCCTCGAGGAACACATCAGCAATATAATGAAGTGTGATGTGGAGTTTGCAGCATCCCTACTTTATCGAAGCCCATACATCAAATCCCTCTGCATCTTAAAGCTCACAAACATACTAAAATTTCTAGCTAGTGTCGGCTACTCAATTCATGAAGTATACCGTGCGCCGGGAATCCTGCACAGACTCGAAAGCGCTATCAGGCACAAGTACGATTCCTGGGTGGAGGCTGGCCTCGGACATCCACCCATCAGCCTTATGAATATTTCAGAAAAACGTTTCGAACAGAAATTACAAGAGGCGCTTGCGAGGAAAGCGGCCTATGGTGGTGTATGATTTTATGTAGAGTTTATATTATTAACAATACAACAATAAAATTCTGATTTCTTTACATTTTTCATCTTCTTTTTTCAACGTCATTGTGATCGATTATCATTTCTCGGCGTATTTCGTCATTTTTCATTCCTGTGAAGACTTGACAACAGCAATAGAGGAGATTTTTTTTGTAAAATGCAGTCTTTTGTTTTTGTAAAATGCCAGCAAATAATTGTTGATTGAGATTTTTAATCTTATTGTTTATTAATCAAATTGCATGATGCAATTGAAAAATTAATATGGAATTAGTATCGTCTGAGTGACAGTTTCAAAATTTTTTAAAAACTAGAACTGTGTGCGCGCGCTGTCGCGCGCGCTTATCAATTCGAAGATGAAGAAATCGAATTTATTAAATGAAACATCAATGAATAATTTTTAATCTTCCATTAATTCTTTTTTTTTTACGTTTTAAAATAATCTGATTAAAATCTGTAATTGTTGAAAATTGAGGGCGGGTTATGAATTGATTTCCCAGAAAACTGGAAAAATTTATTGAAACGTTTGAATGAATTCTTCGGAAAATTCCACAGTTTTCCAGATAACCGTAGCTCTTCAAAGATTTTTGTCGAATTATTTGGGAAACCGAAGAATTTCCATGAATTTTGTAGAATTTATGTATGAAAATCTGAGAAGCAAGAATTGAACATTTTTGCGTATGATAAATATGAAAAAATTAAAATTTCGGAGGTGAAGAATAATTTGTGAGTTAAAAAAATTGAGAAATACTGTTTTTTTTCTCATGATCAACAATTAGGCAATTTAGATGTTTTAATATAAACTTCACACATGAAAAAATGAAAAATGTGACGTAGAAAAAATTGTTGGCATTTGAAGAATCTGAAAATACCGGGGATTTTTTTCAGCGACTACTTCACGCGACTAATTGACCAATCAGAATTAGTGGATTAGCGGTCAGGTCAAAACTACCTAGTTTTGAGATATTTCGATATAAAACAACATCACGTTTCTTTCATCTTTAGTAAACTAGGAGAAATAAGGATATTTACTTTCTTCTTGGAAAAAAATAATAGATATTCTTCAAACTTCAGGATTATTTTGTCATGGAATCAACTACTGATAAGATAAATAAATTATCAAGATAAATAAATTATTATAAACTGTTATAATCGGTGTGGACACGCTAAGTCAATTGGAGTTCGTAGAAATGAAAAAAAGAAAAAGAATAAACTTCAGCTTGTTTTTTAATTAAATTCTATGAAGCAATTGAGAAATTAATGTTGAATTAGTATCACCTGAGGGACATTTTCAAACATTGTTAAAAATATTTTCGTTTTGGAAGACATAGTAGACGTTTGCATGATTTTGTGTCAAGTTTATATTATCAACCATACAATAATAAAATTCAGTTTTTATTACATTCTTCACATTCTTTTTTCGACGTCATCGTAATCGGTTTTCGTTTCTTTTCGCATCTCGTGATTTTTCATTTCTGTGGAGACTTGACAGCAGCAGTAGAGGAGGAACAAGAGGATACCTACTGCCTTCGGTGAGTCTGGAACATTATTTTTTGTAAAATGTAAACAAAAAACTTTTTGATTGAGGTTTTCAATATTATTATTTATTCATTAAATTGCGTGAGGCGATAGAAAAATTAATATGAAATTAGTATCTCCTGAGTGACATTTTCAAACATTTTTAACAACATTTTCTTCTTGTAAAAAAAATAATACATGTGATTCAAACTTCACAATGATTTTGTCATGGAATCAACTCCTGGAAAAATGCTAAAGATAATTAAATTATTACAAATTTTTATGAATTTGAAGAAGTGATTGATAGGGTAAAAATTATTGTTCATCAGTATTCATGTAAGGAAGCCTTAATTGATGGATTTCATCTTGTTGAGTTCTTCGAATATTCTTGCTAATCAAATATTTTATTCTCAAAAATCGAAAAAAAATACTTTTCGCCCTCGATTTTCTCTACAAAATGCTCTCAAGATTAATTTTTGCAACAAATTATCTCTTTTCCAACTCTTCTTCGTATAAAAAAAAATAATGAGTATTTTTTCAACTTCTGGAAAATTTTATTTGAAAAATGTAAAAAATAAATAAATTGCTATAAATTTCTATGAATTTGAAAAAATGATTTTCAGGCCACGGAATTCATAGCTCTTCAATTACTGATATAAAAATCTCTTAATTTTCAATAACGAAAACTCACTAATTTCTCCAAATTTTTAGCCCACCAGAAAGTTGAGGTCAATATGCATAAATTCAGAAATATTTTTGAAAACTCACACAGGAAAATGTTTCCACTGATGAGTGAAGATTGTGTAAAGATCAATAAAATGTCGCACTCACCATGAAAAATTCTGTATATAAAAATATTTCCAATATCCTGGCCAGCGAAGAAATAAAAATTAGATATTGCGGAGAGGGCCAGCAAGGGGCTTGCAAGCATGCAGTGGAACCTTCGAACATTCTTTGTCGTCAACCACTTCTCCTCCCACTCCACGAATCCTGGGGTGTTCCCAATGGATCTGGCGATTCCTTCAATGATGAGGCCGAGGAAATTCAGGAAAGACCAGGTGAAAATGAATAACTGAACTCCATGCCACAGAAATACAAATCCGAAGGATATGAATGACGCCAGGATCTTCTTTAGTGGAATTTCCATCGATGCAATTGGCACGTAGATGTATCTGTAAATGTAGATCGTTATCATTTATTGAATTCAATGGAAATTGATTTACGACGAATTTCATTCACGAACGAATTTCTTAGAAAAACAGTGAATTGGAAAGAAAATTCTATTGAACTTCTACTGATTTGAATGGGAAATGTTGAGTAGAAACTATTTTACAGAAAAAATCAGTATAATTTATTTATCAACTTTTTCTATTGAAACATTTTCTGTAGGAATTCCTTAATATGAATCAAGTGGGAAATTGCTTTCGTCACAACATAGTCAATATATTTTTGTTAATAATATATGTAAATTGAATTCGATGATTCATTCAATTCTCATAATATCACTCCCAATCACCCAATTGAAATCACGACAAATTGAATTTTCTTCGATAGATTTCGTTTGAACGTTACAATGAATATCAGATATTACCCTTTTCTCTAGCCCTTGAATGACCCTTAAGGAAATTAGTTTATTTTTCAAGTAAAACAGTTGAGGATATCCAAGTATCTTATACACTTTCGTACAAACCACACTATTTTTAACATTCGTTGCTGATAAATAACTAATTTAAATTGTTTAAACTTTCGGAAATCTTATTTTTTAGGCATGAAATAAATTTCTAGTAAAATTCTGAATATGAATAAATTTGTTACGATTCCAAACAAATGATTTTTAATTTAATTGCAATTTTTAATTTTGAATTGCAATTTGTTAATTACTTCATCAATCTTCCTCCAAAAATAAACGTTTTAATTTTTTTTTCACATTTTTAAAATTGGAAAAGGTGAACATTGTCTCAGCTCATGTCTTTGCCATTGTATTAGTTAATCCAATCAATTATATTATTCAGTGTTTATTGAACGAGTGCAATGATAGAAAAAAAAGAATCTTTACCTGATGAGAAATTGATACAACCCCCTATCGAAGTGCTTCCACATCTCAGAGTACAGATGAATTCTCCCAATACACTTTGGAGGTGGTGGAGCATTGATATCATCAGCTCTGCTAAGTTCCCCGCAAGTTCCATAAAAAACGACGTATTTGTTCAGGAAATACTGTCCCATGGCGTAACCCATTGCATAAAAAGCCCAAGGATCCAATTGTGCTACGAACTCCGGGTGATACTGGAGAGCATTGCAGTAGACAAAATGCATGCTCCACTCAGTGAAGAATATCCAGAAGGTAAAACGTGCTATGTTTAATATAAAAATACTAAAGCGTCGGAATGTCCATGGTTTAAAAGGCCCTTCTATCTGAAATATCGAAATAATGAACCTAATTACTGGTGGAAAAATTGGATTGTTGAAAAAAAAATTTATATTTTCTCATTTCCACACGTACTATAAAATTCTATGCAAAAATCTTGCAAAATCGCTAGGAAATTCTCTTGTATTCGATCGAACTTTCTTTTAGTTTCCGGCCAATTCCATCGGAAAATTCTAAATAAATAATGTCGAAAACTAAATAATGTCGAAAAAAATTGCTATTGTCTCATTTCCACAAAGACTATAAAATTCTATAGAAAAGCTTGCAAAATCGTTAGGAAATTCTATTAGATTCTATTGAACTTTCTTTTAGTTTTCAATCGATTCTATTGGAAAATTTAAAGAAAAAAATCAATAGAAGTCGATTCTTCTATACAAGTTATTTTATTGAAGTATTGTAGTTTTTTTTCTTGATCTTTTGAATGAAAAGAGAAGAAGAATAGAGTGGAAAAAACAAAATATTCATGTCGAGGAATTCCTGTAGGGAATGTCTTAATAGAAAAAGTCGTATAGAAAGATTAAATTCTACTGATCTTCTTGTGGATAGCGCGAGTATAATTGGGGAAAAAAAATCTATGAGACACAAAATATGGTGTATAACAGAAAATTCCAAAAAATCCGCACCCACATACTGACATGCACACATACATTTTCAAAAAACATATCTTAAAGTTTCATGACATTCTACACCATTTCCAAGTAAAATTAGAATCTTCTATAAAAAGGTAGTCACACGTTTATTTCTAAATGTCTGAAAGAGAAATCGCATACATGATGAGGACGATACTGATTATATTGATAACAGTGATCTTACTAATGGAGCTGATGATGTTGATGTTGGTGATTTTCAAAGGACTATGTATTGATTCTCAACTAAAATTTTCATGGAAAAAAATCATGGATGTTCAATAGAAATTTTCATCGCTTCCCACGAATTTCTCCTTAGTAATACTATAGCAATTCATATATGTGAAAGAATATATTGATTGCAATCAACTTAAATAACAACGTGATGAGTTTGTTTATCAGCAATGTTAACGTAAGGTTATAAAACTATAAAACTTTTGTACTTTTACTGCTTTTGTACTCAAACAATGTAATTAAACGGGAATCGAGGGGGGAACAAAATGTAAAAGCCCGAGAGGGTATACATACTGAATAAATTATTATTATAACAACGTGATGAATTATATAAAATCTATCAAATTGTCAGGCGCGCTCAGCGCCTTCGACCTCGTATTATAAAAATGGGCGATTACAAAGCTTCCATTCGGAAGCGAAAACACTCACCCCTTTGATAAAATCGCTATAAAGTATAAATGGTCCCAGAAACAACGTAGGAAGGTACAAACAATAAGCAGTGCTCTGAATAAAATTCTTCAGAAATCCCACAAGACTCCGGTGCTTATAGTCAGTGATGTTATCGATGCTACAGCTGATGGTCCTCAGCTGCATCCAACAAACTGCGATAACAATCATGTGGTAGACGTTCTCCTTCAGCATCAGCCAATCCTGGGTGACAATCTCCAAGGTAGAACTCAGCTGAATGACTCCTAGAGTAGTGAAGTGAATGACATACGCTATTCTCTTACTCCTGAACGACGTCAACAGACACGCGATGCAGGGCTGGGTGAGGAGGAATATCATAGCCACCACGCCAACATAGTGACATAGAAATGCCACTGATATCGCGATGTACCAGCAGCAGATTGTCGTGCTGCTGCATTCCGACCACTTCAGGTACTGAGAGAACGCCAGGTGAATTGTCACCCAGGGGATCAGTTGGTACATGAAGGGAATCCAGAGGGACCACTCAATGTCAGATATGTCGCGTTTACGTCCCACCCAGGACCATCCGGGGGCGAAGTCGTTAAACGCATCGTCATAATCTTCGAAATCTGGGGGGTTCCAAGTGTTGAAAAATCTACTTTAAGGGGGGACCCCGGTGAAATTTGAAAGTCTTCGGTGGATCTAGGGACTCATTGAGCGACTTTAGTTATACACGGAGAGAAATTTGTTGGAAAAATTCTAGTGCTAGCACGGGAAAAGAGGCGCAAAGGGACGGCCAGGAAAAAATTCCAGTGCCAGCACTAGAAATTTTATTGGGGAAAACGTGAATTTTACCCCGTATTTCTGTGAAAATTTCACGGAAATCCCAGAAATTTTACCAGAAATACTAAGAAATTTTACCTTAACAGCACTAGAATTTTTTCTAGCCGGTGGATTGTAATTTTTTCCAGTACTCGCACTAGAATTTTTCTAAAAAATTTCTCTCCGTGTATGATGGGATATGTTAAAAAGTGAGAAAAATCCCGGACCCAATCGGTTTTGCCCCGTACTTCCACGGAAAACGTCGTTTTTCGCGTTTTTACCTTTAAAACATTCCTCGTTCCCCTATTTTGATCCGATTTGACTTTTTTTTTTTTTTCCAAAATGTTTGTGAGATTCCCAAGAACAAAGTTAAGCTTCCGTTTTACGATCTATTTATATAGATCATGAGAAAATTGATAAAAACCGAAAAAAAAAAACGAAAAAAAGGGTTTCCCCTTCTGATTGTCTTTAAATTATGCCTGAAAAGTCTTTATTTTGAATAGCCGACGATCAGAAGGAAAACCCCCTTTTTTTATTTTTTTCATTTTTTTTCGGTTTTTTTCGATTTTTTCATGATCTATATAATGGATCGTAAAACGGAAGCTTAACTTTGTTCTTTGGAATCTCCCGAACATTTTGACAAAGAAAATCAAATCGGATCAAAATTGGAGAACGAGGACCGTTTTAAAGGTAGAAACACGAAAAACGACGTTTTCCGTGGAAGTACGGGGCAAAACCGATTGGGTCCGGGATTTTTCCCACTTTTTAACATATCCCATCATATAACTAGAGTCGCTCAATAAGTTCCCAGATCCACCGACGACTTTCAAATTTCACCGGAGTCCTCCCTTAAAAAAATCCAGTGTAACGCTCTTTGATAAGCCTCCGCTTATCAAGTAATGTGATATGATGTTTAAGTATATTTTTTGGTGAACTGTAATCTGTTGTTTTCAGTAATTGTAAAAAAAGAAAAATTCATTTCTTATTGTAATAAAAAAATACATGTTTTATATTGTAATTTTTTTGAATAGATTTTTTTTTTTACAGTAAAAAATGTAATACGGTTCTGTACTGTAAAAAAAACCCATAAAATTGTATATATGTCTACATTATGTAATACATGCTATATTCCTTTTTTGATATACTTTAATTTTTTTTAACTGCAAAAAAATTAATATAGTTCTGTAAAAAAAATAGAGGTCGGAAAGTATATATGTATATAGACATAATACATCCCTAAAAATAAAAAAGAACGCAAAAAGCAAAAGAGAAACGAAGAAGAAGGTGAAGAGTATTATGACGGTTCCGAATAAATTATTCAACAATTAAATTCTCATTGTGAAAAACTTTGCTGAAACCATTCATTTTTCCTGCATTATTATGGAGATAAAAATTGATGAAAGTGAGAAATGTTAAGGATTTACTATTCTGGCACCCGTGGAAAATAGTATGCGTGCCCTGTTCTAGTTTAATAGGAAAACTGAAAGCTCTCCCTTGGAAATTCTATTCAATTCCCATTGGACTTCTATGAGAATTCCATTAAAAAATACTCCGTCGGAAATATATTATACAAAAAGCGAATGATTTTCATTCATTCGTTGTTCATTTGGGTTCATCTTAAATATAATAAATCTGTTGCCCACTCTTTGGCTGCGATTCACTCAAAAACGACTGAATAAATATCAATGGTATTTTGACTATTACATAGTTTAGGGTCCTCAATCGGCTTTAGGCTATACATTATTGCGCTAGGGTACCTAGTTTAGTATGCATCGTAGAAAGTTTTAGAAAATTCGAGTTTTATGGAAAATTCTGGAACTTTCTCGAAAATTCTAGAATATTCTCGAGTTCTCGAGAATATTTTTGAGATTTCTACAAAGTTTCAGGATATTGCCGGGTTTTATAGAAAGTTCGAGAAAATACTTTGGTTTTACAGAAAATTCCAGGAACTTGGGTTTTCTAAACAATTCGAAGAAATTCTCCGGTTTTCGGAAAAATTCGAAAAAATTCTCAGTTTTACAGAAAATTTGGGAAAATTCTTTGGTTTCGCAGAGAATTTGAAACAAGTCTTGAATTTTCTAGAATATTCTCAGATTTTCGAGAACGTTCGAGCCAATTCTCAGATTTTCTCAAAAATTGGAGAAAATTTGAGGGGTTTCCAAAGAAATTGAGAAAATTATCGGGTGTTCTTGAAAAGTCGTTGAGATATTTTTTTCTCAATTGCAGGAATTCTTAAAAATCTTGGTATTCAATTTTCTCTTATTCTGCCCGGGCGAAGCCGGGCCACACAGTTAGTCTCAAATATAAAAAGTTTTTTGAAAGCATTCGATAGAAAAATAGAATGAACAACTACATTTGCTATTTTCCATTGGAGACATCTTCAACTACAAAAATATTTTCGGGTGATTTTTTAGATTATATTTCATTACCTTTACACAAAAAAATTAGAATTTTTAATTTAAGCGATTAAGTTTTCATTCTCAAGCAAGGATTGGAAAATTGAAAAAATAAACCAAAATAAAAAAGCGTCGTCTGATATTGCCCATTCAATTTCTATAATGAACTCGAAAAAATACAGTGTTCAAAAATATTTACAAACTCCAGCCAGAAACAGTTGATACAGCCCGTAAAATATCCCTCCACTCCAAGCGACGAAATAGAACACAGTTTCCAACTTGTTCAAATCCACTCGTTCCCGCATATTCAAACACTTCCCGCCAGAACCAAACCAGCATGGAGATCTATTTTTTTACACTTGAGATCGCAACCTCACATAGTTTTCCGCGCAAATCCACTGTAGGATTGAAAATTACCAGTGACTCACGAAGTTAGAACCGATCATGGGGGTGGGGGGAATTTACTAATTCGAGATATTTTTATAACACTTGTTTATGCTGCGGGGATGAAAGAAAAGGACATGAGTCCTGGAACGAGCCGGTCCCGAGAGGAGACGCGGTGACTCAGGTCCAGCTGTAGGTTATCCAGTAGAAGTTTATATATCCTTCCCAGGGGACCCCCACTCCACGTAATTCCCACTCACATGCTTGTACCCCACTCCAAAAATCCCCGGATATTCTTCTGGAAGATAACCTACAGGTGAAACCCACATTCCTTTACCCCACCACCTCCCAGCATATACTCATTCATTAGCCCATATGAAATACAAATGAAATTTAAATCGTGAAAAATATAATAAAAGGATTTTATTGCATGATTTTTAAACGTAAAACAATCATTTTCACCTAGAGGGGGCGGGGCAAAATGGGTTTTTCTCATTTTTTATTGCTGTTTTACGAATTAAAAAATCAGTTGAAAATGCGAAATCTATCTGTTCATTCGGAAAAAATTACATTTCAAAAGGAGAAATTTATTCTTTGCGTCACATTTTGTTACGCTAAATAAAAATTCCTGGGGTACAATTTCACCTTCGGATTATCGAGATTGACAGTCATTTTTTGTGTAATTTCTGTGCTGCGTCCAATAGAAGAATTCAAACTTTAAAAAATTGACATCTATTAAATGATACTAATGAGAGTGAAAAAAAAACGTTTTTTTGAGTTTGACACAAATATGGATTTTTCTTTGGAAATATTTAATAGAAAAAATTATAATGAATAACTAAATTTACTATTTCATAGCAGAAAGACTTTTTTAAATGTTCAATTATTGTTTTACAAATTTAAAATTTTTAAAAAAAATTGATGTGTTCTTTATACTTTTTCCCGCAATAAACCCCACAAATTTAATTGTTCATTCGTGAAAAATTACATTTGCGAATGTAAAATTTATCCTTTGCCTCACATTTCTTTTTTGATAGCAAGCAAAAATCCCTGGGTTACATTTTCGCTTTTCGATTGCCCAGACTGTACAGTAATTTTTTATATAATTTTTATTCCGCATTTAATAGAAAAAGTCAAAATGTTGAAAATTGCCATATAATTATGTATCAAATGATTTCAATGAAACTGACGAATCTGATTACAATTTTATTTTATGTTTTAAGAATAAAAAGAGATCGTAAAATTAACGCCAATTTTGTTCAATCCATTCCTATTGCCCCTCATAAAAATTACTTCAATCGAAAAAAAATCAATAGTAATACAAGAAATAATTTGCATTGACCATTGCATTACTTAAAAACCAAAATACATTCGCAATTATCCATAAATACATACTAAATAATATGATACATCCATAAAAATAGGAATAATTTCTGAATACTAAATTATTACATGATAGAAATAGTGAAAATTCCCCTGAAAAATAGGATCACTTAAATTTCTCAATTAACAATTCTCAAAATAAGTTCAGAATTGATATTCGATACAAAAATGTATCAATATAGAAACACGCACAATTTCAATAAATCAAAGAATTCGATATCACCGTTGAAAAAATATAAATTTTCCTCTCATTGAATTATAAAAAATAATGGTAATGATTTCGGAAGTGAAGTAGCAAACCAATTTCTCCCAAAAATCAATTTTTGGAAAGAAAATAGAGGCTAAGAGGCAAAATTTCATGGAAATCTCCTTCGTAGCTTGAATTTTTCTCCACAATAACAAATTTCTTGTGAAAATACTGCTGTCCCACTTGAGTTCTTGTATATTTTCGTAATTATGACTTCGCTCTACCACTTCACAACTTCTTGGATTAATATCGATACAATTACGACGTTCACAAACATCAAATACATTATTAAGGAAAAATCCAGCCCGGGAAAAATTTTTTTTTTCGTTTTTTTGAGGAATTTTCTAAAAAAAACTGTCATTTACATGATTCTGCCTCAGGAATCCGATTATGCAGGTCAAAATTGTCTCCAGCCGCTCAAAATTATAGATTTGATTATTTTCTGACTGAAAATTCAGCATACAAGATTCTCCAACGGTTTTGAAAGTTTTTAAAAATATGATCACTAATTTTCCTTCCTTAATTATGAAAAATGGGGGAGAAGATGCATTTTAAAAGTTCTTCGTTTATGAAAATTATCTCATTTAAATATTCTGTATAGGCTTCATTCATAAATGCTAACGCTGTATTTAATGGTCCTCCATGCATTTACATAAGCTTTTGTTACTCTGTAGTTGAGAGGGTATTCAAATAGTTGCTTTTTTGTACTATTCTGACTCATTTTCCATTCTTTTTGTGAAAATGCACTCATTCTAATCGATATTCATGCAAAAGTCGACAGATTAAAAATTGTTGAAAATAAAGTTGACTCATTTTTTATAATTAAGAAGCGATAAATGGTAATCATATTCAGAAAACTATTTCAAAAACTTATACGTTGGGTTTAAAAAAAAAATAGTACTTAGTAATATGAAAATAACTTGAAATTTGAGGATTAAAATTTGTAATAAATTCTAAATGAAAGATGTGATGAAAAATGTAAATTTAAACATTTTGGTTCAGTTCGTCCTCAATTGGCAGTCTAGTATTATTGATAATAATTAATCTAGAAGTGCAAAAATAACACAGAGTTTTATGAGCAAATTAACTTTTCGAGATTAGGGAGAAAATAAAAATCTAGAAAAGAAATCTCGAAGCCATAAAAAATAAATAAAAATTCTTTGCTCAATATATTGTTCAAACAAATAATTGAAAAAAGAATTTGACGGATCGATGGCATACACTCATCAAATTTATAATTCATGGGAAAAATTATCACCTTAAATAATTTTTTTTTCTTCTTGAATCTATTTTTACCCGTTACACTCAACGACTCAACTGGAGTTCATTCATAATACTTTCAAAAAAATTTATCCTCGAAAAACGAAAAGGTTTCTTTCCCGGGATGGACCTCTCCCTAAATTCTTCATATTCAAAGATATAATTTTTGTTGAGCACAAACATCCCCTGAATAAAAAATTCCTCCATCAATAAATTCATTAAAAATTCATTGATTCTAGAATTGATCCCTCAGTCCAATGAATTACTCGTAATAAATATAGGTACGTCATAAAAATAACTAAAGACGAATTCGCTGTCCGAATTCCTCTTGATTCAATTGAACTAGAGCCCCATGAGTACAGTGGCACCACTGGCAGGCGTCTGAGTGGGTGCACTGGCTTGGCGAACGCTCATCTCCCATGTGTCCAACAATTGCGAGACCGAAAATCGTTTCGGTAATTTTGTTATTCTCGCATTGAGGGCCTTCTGAACAGCGCAAAGAAAGGCTGTCGCGTATTCGTGAGGTGCCATCACACATCGTGGTGGTGTCAGTGGATAGTCTGATGGCACTGTCACTGAGACTGGTGGTACACAGGGGAGATGGCGATCGTCCAGCCAACAGATCAATTGAATGCACTTCGAGCCTGTCTGTTGGGCTGGATCAAGGCTGACTTTGAATCTCTGATCTAGACGAGCTATTTCACCTTGGAGGACATCAGGAATTTCACTCGCTGGTTCTTCTACTCGTTGTCTTTTTAATGGAGGTGGTAAACCCCTGTAAAAAATGCCATATTTATTTTCACATTGATTTACTCCACATTAATTATTGAATACACTGGATTTAAATTAACAATTTAGTTTTTATTCCAATTCATCGTCTCATATTGATCATGATTTCATTGTGAAAAATTTTCAAGAAGAAATGTAGACTGAGAGGACTGAGAGAAATACTAGAAATGAATTGTTCAATAGAATAGCCACGGCGATATGCAGTCCTGTCATTTCGAACGAAATTTTTATGATTGAGCATTGACTACTGCCTCTATGAAATTCTTTCAAAAAATAAATGAGATTTTACTGAAAAAATGCGGAATTTATTATGAATAATTTCCTGCTTTCGATTGAAACTACTCTATCCTATCTAGAACTAAAATTTTTGGTCTTTTCATTCCTTTTTTCTCAGCTTAATCGACAGAGGCATTATTTTTTAATTAAATTTGGAAAAAGACGTTTTTGGGCATTTTGAGGACTTTAACATTTTTTTTTCTCAGATTTGAAATCAGCGTAGAAGTCAGCGTGGAGGACTGTGTTATTCATGTTTGGAAATTTTGCATTTTCCCTTATGAATAATCACAGAATTATTCTTTGAAATTTTACTGAAAAATGCAGAATTTATTATGAATATGTCCTTACTTTTGATTAAAGTACTCTATCCTATCTAAAACTAAAATTTCTGGTTTTTTCGTTGCTTTTTTCTCAGCTCAATTAACACAGGCGTTACTTTTTAATTAAATTTTGAAAAAGGCGATTTTGAGCCATTTTGAGGAATTTAATTTTTTTTTTCTCAGAAACTAGGTCATTTTATGAGATTTGACCTGCAGATTTGAAATCAGCGTGCAAACATCTTTCGAGTGGTGGCAGTCTCATCCCTGTGCCAAAAAAGCCGGAATTTTGGAGGACTGTGTTATTCACGTTCGGAAATTTTGCATTTTCCCTTGCGAATAATCACAAAATGAATCGTTTCAATTTTCAATCTATCCTACAAAAAACTACAATTTCTGGTCTTTTCGTTGATTTTTTTTCAGCTCAATTGACACAGGCATTATTTTTTGATTAAATTTTGAAAAAGGCGATTTTGAGCCATTCTGAGAATATTAATTTTTTTTTTCTCAAAAACTAGGTCATTTTATGAAATTTGACCCATCCCTGTGCCAACAAAAGCCAGAATTTTGGAGGACTGTGTTATTCACGTTTGGAAATTTTGTATTTTCCCTTGCGAATAATCACCGAGTTATTCTTTTCATTTACTTACTTTATCTCTGGACCAAAGAGAGCCTCCAAACACGGCCCAAAAGTCCTCTGCAGCGTGTGATTGACCACTGGGCTCTGCAAATGCGTGCTAACAGCCTCCAAGAGTGGACTGAAGAAGTGATGCTCCTTCATCGATGTACCCACTGGTCCAACACTATTCTCCGACCTCTTAAGATCCATCTTCTCCAGCACAGCCTCACACTTGATGATCGTCTCAAGTGGCACTCGCCTCGAGGGGGTTGACAGAATCTCCAAGAGCTTCTTCATTTTACTCAACTTGTCGACATTCCCCTCATTACCCATTTTCGTGATCATTCTTCTCAGGGGGTCCACGTATTTACTCAATTGTCGAATTTTTTCACGATATGCAGCCTCTTCCTGGGGACTTGCGACTGCTCCACCTGGGGTGTTTAGGGAACTGCTTGGAGATGGAGCCATTCCTGGAATGGAGTGACATTTTTCATTTTATTTTTTAGAATTATTAACTTGAGAAAACAATACGAGCAAGTTTTCCACATTTTATTGATGAAGAATTATTTTATAGATTTTCTTAAAGTGAATGGTAACAGAATGTTTTGACTGGGAATTTATCTTCTGTGGAGCTAGATCATAATAGATTTATACAACACAAAAAACCCAACACTTAAATTTGATCGATTACGAAGTTTCCATTCGAAAGCAAAAATCGAAAAATTATCTTACCCACAGACCGTTGTTGTCCCATCATGGGATGCTGAGGACTAGGTGAAGGTACGAGAGCAGGTGATGCCACCATCTGATTGCTGGTGGGTGCGCCAAGACTAGCCGGACTCGGCGCTGATGGTGACGGACTCTGTCTCAAAAATTGATTTGGCGTTACATTTCGTGGCCCAGTAAAGCCAGTATTCATCATCTCTGGTTTGCGCTGCATGTGCCCCATCTGCGGTGGCATCTGACCGGGTCCCATCTGCCCCATGGGCTGGGGTCCACCCTGCATGCCAGGTCCCATAGGCCCCATTTGTCCAGCCAACTGTGCTTGCATCTGATTGGGCATCTGTCCCTGCAGTTGGCCCTGTAATTGTCCCTGCAGCTGTCCCTGCATGGGATTCTGCATTTGACTCTGCATGGGGTTCTGCATATTCTGCTGCATCTGACCAGGCATCTGGCCCATCTGACCGGGCCCCATCTGATTCATCTGGGGCATGTTACCCTGGGCCATTTGGTTCATCTGCGACATCATTGGTCCACCCTGCATCCCCTGCATCGCTGCCATGTGGCCCATTGGCCCACCAGGCTGGCCAGGCATCATTCCCATGCCTGGCATTTTATTCTGCATGTTCTGCATTACCATTCCTGGCCCTGGACGTTGATTCAATGACTGCAGAACTGGAAAGCAAAAGATAGGGATGCGATGAAGTAGACCATTTTTATTGGGAAAAAAATGTGGGATTCGGTGAAGGATAGAAGGGTTTTGTAACGTAAAACACTCGGAATTAACATATATATCGAATTGAATTTATTGACGGCGAAAGGAACTTTGGTTTACACCATGAGAGCTGGAACGAGAGTGTGCTCCCGCGACAACGGTATTCATCCTCCGATCGAGGATGTCCGAACTATTACCAATTGTCGCGAAGTGACGTAATAAGGTATTCGGCTGCTAAGGCGAGCTCGAATACAATAGATTGAAATAATGCGAAATAAATATAAGTAGCTTTGCTACAAAAAATGTTATTTAATTGTTGAATTGTTGGGGGAATGCAGTCTTTTTTTTTCATCGAAGGAAAAGAACACTCCTGTCTCTTTGAAATGAATTGGCTGAGTTTATTTATAAATTTCTGATTCATGGGCATTATTATAAAATTTCAGAATGTCTCCTCAAGGATTTGATCATCCTAGAATTTTTGAAACTAAATGTTCTCTGTACTCGATTTTTAATTCAAAGAATTCAACTATATTCCACGGAATTTTAACAAAAATAATGAATTAATAACAATTAATTGTTGTATTTTTTAAATTCAATTGGAGTAGGTTTGATTCAATGAATTAATTATTGTTTAACTTATAAACATTATCATAAAATTCAACAGTATCTCCTCAAGTAAAAGATCTAATAATTTAATAATTTAATGAAAAGTATCAATTTTCATTAATTGACAGAAAATCTCACTGAATTCTTCAGAACTTTAACAAGAATCATAAATTCACAAAAATTAATTGTCATATTCTCTTTATTTAAAGTGTCCTATTGCTCCAAAAACTAATCATTTGAGGAATTGAATGAGTTTCAAAACGAGACGAGACGATTACATGAATTAGTCATAATTTACAGTATTTAATGGCTGTTAGGTCGTCAATTGTCACAGCAGCCAATGCCTGTCAGTTCGTTAATTGTCATGATACTTGCCATTTCAATTGATGATAGGACTATGACATGAAAAAATATAAGAGAATAATGAAATAAGAATTAAAAAAGAGAATCCATCCGGAAGCAATTACCACCTTATAAGCAACAATAACTCTTCTCATTTATAAAAAAAAATGAAATTATCCACTTGTTTCGATTGTCCAATCATAATTTTTCATCACGCTGTGCGAAAAAGTGACTTTCACTTTGGCTTCGCGTGCCAAAAACGTTCCTTTTCCACACATTGTGATGAAAAATATCGTTCGATATCCGTGGGAAAAGTGTTTTTTGGCTCGTGGGAGGTTTATAGCACGAGCCGAAGGCGAGTTTCTCTTTTCCGCACTCGTAACCAAATATACTATTTTAAATCCAGTGGAAATTGTGATGTATTTTAAAGTAGGGGAGGGTGGGGTAAAACGAACACTTTAGACTTTTTTTCAATTATTCATAACTCAGAAACAGATTGATCAATTGAGCTCAGTTTAGGCTCGTCACAAAGGGAAAGAATTTTTCTTTGTACTGAAAAAAAATTATTAAATTTTATCAACATTTCAACCCCTCATTAACATTTTTAAAAAAGTAAAGTGTCCGTTTTACCCCAACCTCCCCAATGAATATGGAAAAAAATCGAGATAACATCAGAAGATAATTCATTTGTGCCATAAAATTAATCAAACAATAAAAATGCCATATTACGGTTAGCTGCTGTGTTCCCCGGTTGCTGCTGCACCATTCCCTGTGGATTGGGTCCCCCCTGCATCCCCATAACCTGAGCATTGCCAGTCCCCTGTCTAGCCAGTGTTTGCAGTGCACTCATGGGGTCTGGCATACCCTGACCCCCACCTCCAGCACCTGGAGGCATTCCTGGTACTTTCTTGGCATCTAGTAATCACCAGAATTAACACAAACCCATTCAGCTACGAATAATAATGGAACAAGAACCACTCTACTCACTCATCTCTCGAACATGGAGAATCAGTCTAGCCACGAACCCCAGGTAGTCCTCCTGGAAGTTCCAAAAATCTCTCAAAAAACATAGAATAAAAAGAAAAACAAAAAAGTCAAAAGACAATGAAAAACGACATCAAATAAATAATAGGGGAGGGGAGGGGAAAATGGACACTTTTGACTTTTTTTGAAATATTTATGACGTGCTGAATTGTTCATGAAATGGAATAATTTTATTTTTCAGTTGAAAAACAATGAGCTCAATTGATAAATCTGTTTGAGTTATGAATATTTTTAAAAAAGTTAAAAGTGTCCATTTTACCCTACCCTCCCTTAATGATAATGTATTCAATATTAACCTTGTTCTTGGCTTTTTGAAAAACATGACTTTCCATTTCGATACTGTTCTTGGAGGTTGGTGTTCCCGAATTTTTTATAGCCTCTTCACTGTTTAAAAATAATAAAAATTAATTCAAGCAGGTTCATTCATCAAGATTTACAGATTTTCCAATGTATTTAGGATTTACTCACATTTTGGCAACGACACTCTGTCGAAATGCCTGGGTACGCCAAGAATTCTCGTCTGGTTGGGACATTTCGTCGATATTTTATTATTCCACTTAACAATTTACAATAATTGTCGTATTATTTTGTTTATGCAGAAATTCAGATTCCAGTGGAAGCTTTCACTGCTCCAATGGATTATTTATCGTTGTTATCTGTTTGGCATGAGTGTTACGTGCACGAGCAATATGTTTATGATGGGGGATGAATAATAATAATGACAATGGATCTTTAAATCGTTGACTTCTTCATGAGGACGAGGTCTGGATGTTTAATGGGAGGTGGCGCCACTGGGATGTGCCAGCAGGGCAAAACCACTTTTACCACTGATGATAAAATATTCTTGTGAACTCTGTCGATAAAAAAATCTTTTTTACTCTCACGAAATCTTTTTTTTTTGTATGAATTATGTTTCCTGTCAATGAATGTTTAAAAAATGTCGCGGGCTTTGGAATAAACGAATTGTTTCCATTAATTGTTAATTAAAATCGATTCACTTATTGTTTTTAGTTCATTCTCTTTGGAGAATGGTTTATTCGGTTTTTGTTGCATTGAACATGATCTTCGTCGATGTATGCGGTACCGGGGGCTCATTTCCGGTTGGAACGACGCCACAGAGGGTCCATTTGGTCCATTGCTGCTTTGTCTGCTCGAGATTTCGGAGATTTTTGGGGTGTTGGGGATAAATACTGGGGAGAAATCGTGAATCGTTTGGTTTTATTCACTCGTGAATATGAAAATGTTGATCCAAGTGATGTTAATTTTCCTGACAATGCTGGGGACTTCAGATTGTCGGCTGCTGACCAGGAACGAGAGCTTGTGAGTCATCAGTCCTCTAATTCATGAATTATCTTGTTCAGGGAGAGGGAGGAGAACAAAATGAACCGTTTTTGACCAATAACCAGAGATCGGTAGAGTGGAATGCAAACATTTTTTCTCGTTTGGAAGATATTTTTTTAGGCTTTAATTTGATAACTGAATTAAATGTTTTTGAAGGTTCTTGGAAAATGTGACGAAGTCGGTAGAAAAGATCCAATAGAAACCATTTTCGTAAGAAAAATCAGAATTTCATTTTTATATACAACTTATGCTATTCCTATTTACCACTCCTGGGCTTCCCATAAAAAAAACAAGAAAAAAAATGCTTCATCACTGAAATAATGCGAAACAAAGGGTCTATTGTTGCTTTGTCTGCTCGAGATTTCGGAAATTTTTGGGGATAAATATGGGAATAAATTGTGAATCGTTTGGTTTTATTCACTCGTGAATATAAAGATGAGTCAAGTGATTTTAATCTTTCTGGTAATGTTGGGGCCTCAGATTGTCGGCTACTGGCCACGGATCGTAGGAACTTGTGAGTCATCAGTCCTCTATTCATGAATTAAGGATAATCGGGCGAGCCCGGAGGGTTAGAAAAAAAGCAGCCATTTTTTTCTTTTTTTTTTGCGTCTTCTTTAAATGATGGAAAAGGCGTGTGCAAAGTTTCAGACTGCTGGGGAGCATGGTTAATTTATTATGAATTTTTGAAAAAGTGGTCATTTAACCCGTGATCTTATGGAAGTCACCAAAAAAACTGCAAAACCCAAGAAAAAAATGCAGCCAAAGTCACGAAACTTTAGACACATTTAGAACATGTGATCAATGATTTTTTGAGTGAAAAAGATTGTCACCTAGGAGCATTGTTTATTAATAATAGTGAAAAAAGTACTGAAAAATGAAATTTCTGCGCACGCAGCCTAAACGAGCAGCAACGTCCCAAGCAGCACAGTTCTGGAGGGTATCTGCAAGTATACCAAAAAGGCTGTCTAATGTCTGTCCAAAAAGTTAACCTGTGTCTAGAAGTTAACTAAAAGTTATCGTATAACTGCAAGATACCTTTTGGACGCCCAAGTAGCAAACCTTGCAAAAGATATCTGAAAGTATACCAAAAAGGCAGACTAATGTCCGTCCAATAGGTATCTTGCAGTCATACGATAACTTTTAGTTAACTTCTAGGTAACTTCTAGAGACAAGTTACCTTTTTGGACAGACATTAGACAGCCTTTTTGGTATACTTGCAGATACCCTCCAGAACTGTGCTGCTTGGGCGGACATTGGTCTGCCTTTTTGGTATACTTTCAGATATCTTTCGCAAAGTTTGCTACTTGGGGTCCCAAGTACCGATCGGGTGGGGGTAGCGCGGTCAATTTAAACGTCTCTCGAGATAGAGCGATGAAGCGTTTTGTTGTGTGGAGATTTTCAGTCTAGGTATTTTTATTTAAAGGGGGCGGGTAAGTTAGCCGTGGAGTGCTGAACCACTCTGCTCTGTAAGTGTGGGATATTTTAAATAATTGTTTAACACGAACACAGATTTATGTCACACAAATAGTTCCTTGTATTTAATTAACTTGTCAATAGTCCGCAACTCGAGTTCACATTAATTTCACAATTAAATTTTTTTTCCAAAAGTCTTTACAATTTCGTCTCTTCACAACTTTCAAATTCACAATTAAATCTGTACTTGTTGAAACATAAGATAGGAGTTTAATTTCTAACTTCTCTTCGATCGTCCGCTCGGTCAAGCATCCATGAGGTGTCAACAATTTTAGGGATGGAGGGGGTTCAACGAATCATTTTGCAAGAAACCCGAAACTTCATCCTGAGGGCGTTGGTCAGTGAGATGGTATCGAGGGCGGGGGGGGGGGGCAATGAGGGTACCGAGAGAGGGGTGTCACGACTCACGCGTCCCTCGAAGGGGAATTTCCAACTCCAGGTAAAGAGGTCCCGTGCCCCCCGGCGTAGAGGCATAAAGCAATAACGAACGAAAAACTGAAAATTCCCGAAGTGAAGACCAGATGTGCAATAAAAAGGATTAACTAAATGATGGTCGCGGGGAAATTCAAAATAACGAGCAAACTCCAGAAAATGTACCCCGAATGTCCCTTTACATGGATATTATTTATGATTGGCAAAAACCATCTGGTAAGACTCGGTTATACTTGGGGAAAATAACAAATGTCGAGAAATACCGTTGTGGGGGAATTTCCAAATAAAAGAGTCTCATGAATGCTACGATGCTTCCAAAAATACAAGCGATGTAAAAACAATAAATATTGATATCATATTAGATAATAATTTTTCATTCCTCTTCATTCAAACCACGCTCGAATCTAGTGAAAATGACGGAGTGTCTAGGGACCCTAATTGTCACTAGTTGAATACACAACAGTTTCGATTGGAGCTCCCTCGAGCCAGTGGTACCAGCTCCTGGTTAAAAAAAAAACTACCGACGATGTTGCCACTTTTTCGAATGGATTAATATTTTTTCATTTATTGAAAAAAAAACAACCTGAAAACCAAAAAGCGTGGAGCAAATACGAATAAATTTGATTAGCTCCAAAAATAATTTTTAACCGGAGATACTCCCTAATATTGCCTGAATTTTGAATCCGAATCGGAAAATTTTTTCTGTTCAGCGATTGGTTTTCTGTAGGAAAACAATAGAAACCCCTCCACCTCACCTTCTACATTCACCTCATTTATTCATTTGAATTGTGGCGTTTACCCGGGAAATATTCATGATTTAACACGCTTGATTTTATCTCGTATTTCCCTCATGTTTTTGCAAGTTCCTGTGATTTTTAATGACACGGTGGAAAAAATTCCATGGAAAAACCTAACGAATTCGAAAGAAAATTTTATTGAATTTCGATTGAACTTTCATTGGAAATTCTAGTAGTTTGTGGTCGACTCTATTGAGCATTCCGCAAAATTGGTGCCTATTTTTTCATAACAAGTTTCCAACAGAAACTTTTATAGGAAAAATGAGAAAAATTTCATCTTTCAATATAACTTTTTCTATTGAAACATTTTCTATAGGAATGAACTCAACATGAATTTTCTATTTTTCTTCTCTTCTCATTAAAAAATCAAACGAAAAACCATTATAAAATTTATGCCGAGGAATTTCTACCGAAAATATGTCAATAGAGTAAATTGTATAGAAAAATCAAATTTTATGGATTTTTTCGACTACTGAATATTTCCCATTCAACATTTCTATTGAGAAAAAAACGCACAGACTACCTTCGGAATTTATGAATACAATCGGCAATAATAGAGTGCAGTAGAAATTCAACAGAATTTTCTAGCGAAATTTCTCGGTTTTTCTATGAAGTTTTTTCATATGTGAATTCATTTTGCATTTAGGGTTGTCACAGGGGTGAAGTTCGGAAGAGACCATGGAGATTTATACATAATGCTGGAGAAAAGGGAACTTCTGGCTGATGGGCTGATTGGCATGAACAAGAGCATAAGGCACCTCAAATTGTTGACCCGTAATCCCCACGACATAGACGAGGTAAATGTCGATGACTTCGTTGCGGAGCCGGGAAGCTTTATCGCTGGTGAGTCCCCGAGATATTTTTCGGTTTTGAATTATTTTGTAAGGCCCAGTTGAATTATGTTTCGAACGTTATCTCGATTGTTTTTCCATCCTCGTAATCTAAAATATATCACAATTTCCATTGGATTTTACATCACGCAGTCCCTAAAAATTATGCTTGCACAATCAAAAAAAAAAGTAAAAAAAAAACATTTTCAAAGAGTGTTTTTAATAAAGATTATGAAACAAGTTCGATAGAGAGGAAATAGTGAATGGATAATTTATCATGGGAACTAACGATTTGACAGCCATTGACTACCGTGACAAATGGCGACCTAATAGCCATTAGACACATCAAATTATTAATTTGCAATTTTGCTCCCTATTGGGTTTATTTTCCAATTTTATTCACAAACGCTCTTTTTTTTATTACAATCATAATTTTTGGAGACTCCAGGACAATGTAAAACTGAATAGCAATTGGGGATCATTTTAGTTTATCAAAATAAAAAAACAACAAGACGACTGGGGGAGATGGAAGGAGATTGACGAGATTAGCGATGCAAAGTGGCCGTCAATTTTGGTCATATGCCGCGCAAAATTTTCAACAAAAAATTATGGTCACAAATAATTTGGAAGCAATTTGTTGTCAATACATCTATATAGGTGCATAATGACGGTCATAACTAATTTCTAATTTGTGACGGTAATTTTTCATAAATGAAAAAAATAGTTTCACCCACAGAGATGAAAAATGAGCGTGATTTTCGTTTCGAAATGCGCAGTAGGCTAATACGAAATGAGTTGAAATAAAAATTGATACAGAAAAAAAGAAATTGCATTTATATTGGTGAAAGTGGGGGAAAATGAAACAGCCGGGCAATATGATAAAAATACAGAAGCCTATTCATCCTTTTCCAGATATTCATTTGAAAAACTCGGAACGATGCCCAGGAGTGTTGCAACTCACTCTCGTCGTGGGCTTTTGCAAGTTGAATAAGACACTGCGCAAATTGGATGTTTTGGAAATTCAACCGTTCTCCGAATATCGCTGGTAATTATAAAAAATCCAGTTTAAGGCCCGGCCCCATTATCTGCCCAAACGTTATCTAAATCAATTTTTTTGTTCGATTGTTATCTCGAAATTTCAACTCGATGCCCCAATCAATACTCAGGAAAACCCGAAAATTCTGAATTTAGATTTTTAAAAAAGTAAAAAAAATCTGAACATTTTGGAACAGCGTTTTTAATTAATATTGAGAAATTATTTCAATAGAGGTAGGAATAATGTATAATTACCGTGGCAAATGGCAGCTTGTCAGACGCCACCATGAGGGCGGAAAGACGGAATAATAAATCCTTTGGCACATCGGAACAAGATGATTGCTCAAAAAAAAGCGCTTTGAAAAAATTTATAACATTTTGAAGAATTTTTTGATGACACTTTTATGATGAATTACTAATGACTTCCGACAATCTCCTTCATTGATAATTGTACTGGTGATTACCTGTCACTTTTGCCGAGAATTGCAAAAATAGGAAAATCGCTCTTTCTTTCCTTTTTTTGCGCCCCAAACTAAAGTGACGGTTGATGGACAGTACAATTTTCAATTGAGGAGATGTGTGTAAGTGATTAGTAGTTCATCGTAAAAGTATGATCAAAAAATTCTTACAAATATTACGAAATTTTTCAAAGAGACTTTTTTCGTACAATCGTATCTCTCAAAATTTAATGAATTTTATCAGTAGTAACACCTCGAGAGCTTCAAAATGATCGGGTATTTACCGATAGTTTCGTGGCAAACAAACGAGAGTGTCAAGTTGTGTAGGAAAATTTTTAAACCTACAAAACCTGACGATCGTTTGTTTGCAGGGAAGATTGAGGGAAATACCCGATGCATTTTGAAGCTCGAGGGGTATTTGAAGGAGTATTTCCTCCATCGGAATTTCGGTCACTGGAGGGCAGCATTTGATGTCAATGTGGTACAACCTACACTTTCGCATTTCAATTATTTTGTTTATTCTCCCTTAGCAACGTACCGTGGTTTTACCAAATTTTACCGATATAAAACCGTGTAGGTTATACCACGTGACATCAAATGCGGCCCTCCTATTGGCCGAGATTCCGATGAGGGCAATACTCATTGAAAATTCATGATCTCATGGAGAAATCCGTGGGATGTGTAAATTTCAGTTTAGTTATTCCGGGGAAATTAACGACAAATCCAGAAAATTTATAGATATCTCTTCTTGAATTCCAGATTCTTTTCAATTTCCAGGGAATTCCTTGAAAAATTCCTGAAAATGCAAGAATTTTAAAGGAGTTTCCTGAAAATTCGAGAGAATTCCGCAGGAAATATTCATTTTCATTTGAAAATTCATGTAAATTGTGGGATTTCCGTCTTCCTGCCGCTAAGAAAATGAGACTACTTGAAATTTCAGAGAAATTTGAAATTCCATTGATTTTTCCTCTTAAATCGAATTTAAAGTCTTTTTCCGGAAAATTGAGCCAAATGTTTTAAACGTTGCACTATTCAAATTCAAATGAATTATTTCTCTGGAAGTACACTCACGAAAAAGTGATACAAAAAAACTTAACGAGTTCGATAGAAAACTATTGAATTTTAGAATTTTCAGCCAATTTTATGGAAAAATTCCGCATTTTTACTGTGCTTTTTGAATAGAAAATGTCTAACAGAAATAATTTCATAGAAAAATCAATATTTTCTATAAGAATTCCTCAACATAAATTCTCCATCTTTTCCCCACTTTATTTTTTTTCCCTTTCTACCGACCTTTGTCCACCGAACATTTCTGTTGAACAAAGTGCGCAGATATCTGCGGAATTTTTCAATAGAATCAGCTAAAAACTATAGATTTTTCTACGTCTTTTTCGTACGCGTACGTGATCATAAAAAAAATACTTCTCATGCATCATTTTCAGGAATAACTGGAACCCGATCTACAGAGTCGGTAATCTAGCAGAACAGAACATTGAATGTATTTGCTATTCATCCAAGGATTTCATCACATTCCGGAAGTTTGATGCCAACGGTTTAATCGCCAATGCCCCTCTGCTGTTCTTCAGTGAACAATTTCTCGAGAGTGTTCCCCCAGCTCCACTAACTGTCATTTCCCTGACATATAAAGCTCTACCGACAGCTGGTGGTCTTCTGTCCCTGGAAAATCACCCTCTCCTAAATTCCTCTCACCAGAAAATCATCTACAATCGAATGAAACGCTACGTTAGCTACTCGTCTTCCAGCACTTCTTGGGACGACATTATTACGGATCATCCAGAGTACATCTACATCCCCGTTCTCGTCGTCCTGGCCATCATCATCTTCCTCATTTGCTGGTTCTTCAAGTGCATAACTGATTGCATTTGTGATTGTTTCTGTGGCAGACGTCGCAATGTCATTGTCAATAATGTCTCTCTATTGACTCCTGATTATGGCAGCAGACACAATCTTCCCCAGGTCTGAACAATCTCATGATCATAATCATGACGCAATTTCATTACTGTTTATCCTTCGATAATCAACATTATCATTATCTCAACATGATCTTATATAATAACATTATCATTATTCGTCGAAATTACCCATGCTGGCTTGGTATTATTCATTTTGTGGTCCACTAAGGACTTAAGTTCTTATTCAGTCAGATTTGATCTTCATAACGAGCAATACATAAAATGTATTGGATCTTCGTTCGTTCATTGACTTCTTTTTTTATGTATTCACTCATTACGATATATTCTTTATAAAAAAAACGTTATGAGAACGTAATTCTTGTTTATTCATCAAGTTTTAGTGTCTACATAAATCCTCAGGGACTGAATGTTCATATTTTGTAAAACTATTTTTATAACTATGTATTCTTTGTTCAATTATCATTTTTCACTGTATGTCCAACTTTTCAATTAGTTATTTTCAGACATTATCACTGATCTTTCAAGCACAACTTCTAATCATTAACATTATTCACTCACACAAGACTCAAGTTCTTATTCACTTGGATGAAGATCAAATGATCTTCATAACAAACAAAGAAGATACAATACATGAAATTTATTCATTGATGTCTTTTTTATCCACATAACAGTCATTACATGAGATGTATTCAGTCATTTCGATCCATTCTTGATAAGAAGAAACGTTGTGAGATTATATTACCTGTTCATTCATCAAATTTTAATGTTTACGTAGATGTTCAAGGGCTAAATGTTGTGATTTTGGAAGATCTCTTTTATAACTATTCAATTATTGTCATTTTTCGCTGTATTTTCATCTTTTCAATTAGTTTGGTCATGAATTGGTAAATTAGGATAAATGCATTTTTCTCAAAAACAATTTTTTTTTGCTAAATCGCTTTCACAAATTGATGCGAAGCAACTTAACAACAAAAACGAATTTAAAGAAATGTCCTTATCATATTTTACCAATTCACTACAGAGTTGTCTCCAGGCGTTATTACTTTGTCTTATTGTGAAACTACCTCAGCTGGATTTACTTTATCTTTTCGTAACAATGTAACAGCAGCAAAGTAATTATATATTGTTGATGAAACGAACATAAGATCATGAATCTTGTCCCTTCATCAAGTTTTAATGTTTACGTAGACCTTTCAGGACTAAATGTTGATGTTTTGGACGATTATTCTCATAACTATGTATTCTTTAGTCAATGATGGCCATTTTCGCTTCATTTTTTGACTTTTTATTTCGTTAGCTTTAGATACTATTACTACTCTTTCCAGCATAACTCGTTAGTCGTCTAGATCGCCTACTTGTTCGAACTAGCTTTAATTATCGTTCATTGTCAATTAATAATCTTTTGGGAAACTACTTCAGTTGTATTTTACTGATCTTTTGATAACAATAAAGTATTTTTCGTACTGATAACCTTGAGTAATACATTTTTCTCTATTAATGAAGGGAGAGAATTTTTTTTCATTTATTTATAACTCCTGCCATTCGATAGAAGCATCATTGAAGTATTTTCAATAAAAATTTCAAAATTTTTGGGGGAAATTTTGTCGATAAACGAGATGATTTAATGTGATTTAATCGGTTGGATGTAAAATTTTCATCTACCACTTTCGTTCACAGAAAAAAATATAAATGCAAAATATTATAAAGCACAATTGGCACACGACCCAGGGAAGCGGCTGACAAATACATTTCAACAATTCGGTTATTAAAGATATCCAAGTATCTTACAGTTTGATACAGACTACACTATAGAATCAACAACTTTCAATCATCAAATTTGTCCATTAAATTGCGGGAGAAAATGTGTTAAATGTGCCTAAGCATTTATTTTTCTAGTCAATCCTGCCTAGAAATTTTCCACGTGTTACGGATAAGGGACTCAAATGGAAGCTCTGATGTTCGTCTCCAAAAGTAGAAAATCATTTACTCGAGAAAAAATGGCCAAAGTACTTGGATATCCTTAATTCATAAGCGGGAGGTTTTGAAATAAAGGCAACGCAATCCTTTGCAGAATACAATTTCTAACTCCAATTATCCATAATTTTCTTCAAATTCTCCCCGCGCAATTTGAATTCAACAAATTCGACGATTGAAAATGCGCCCGAAATTCTCAAATAACCCCAAAAGTCTGGATGAAAAATCAAAATATCAATAGACAGAAGTGTCCACTTTTGCAATAATTCTCCAAGAAAAATAATTAACGAATCATAAAACGCTCAAACTAGCCCCCCCCCCGCCCCTAAATTAACAAAATCCTTCAACAATGTCAGTCCCTGAGACAGCAGTCTCCTCATCCCCAAAGCAATGGGGCTGCAGCAAGATGAACGTCGCCCGGATCACCTACGACTGGACGATCACGGAATTCAGCCTCCGCCCCGAGGACGTCAGGCAGAAGGTGATCTCCCCAGCGTTCTACTCAGGAAGCGCCAAGATCGACGAATGGAGGTTGGAGTTGTATCCCCGAGGTGACGACGACGGCAACAAGGACCACCTCTCCCTCTTCCTGAAGCTGATGGCCACGGAAAAACCAGAGATACCCCTTCAGTGCAAGTTCTCCATCCTTAAGACAAGTACAAACACAAAAACGAACATGAAGAAGTTCTTTCGGAAGTACCAGGCTGGGACAGTCCTGGGGTACCCCTGCTTCATAGCAAGGACGCACCTGTTGGACAAGGCCCAGGGGCTCCTCACAGACGACACTCTAGTCATCTGCTGTGAGATTGACATCCCAACGGACACAATAACGACGTCTTGGGTTGATGACGGGAGAAAACAACCTAAACAAATCCCCAAACGTCGACTCGTGGATGATCTCCAGGTTAGAGATGCAAAATGACCGGCATTTTTTAGACCAAATTTTTTGACTCAAAATGAGGGAAGATTACGAACCGGCGACGGTGGCCGAAGTGGTTAAAGTAGTATGGTCACGGATCGATTTCCAAGATTAAAATATGAAATAATTTTTTTATGAAAGTTAATATCAATAAAAACCTCCTGGTGCAATTTGTGGTACATTGATCGTTTAGTATGGTTGATAAGAATTACTGAAAAACTGGATTTTAACAGAGAGTATTATGGGCAAATCACATTTTTGGGTAGTTTTTATGATAAATCCAAGATTAAATTATAAAAAAAAATACAAAAAAATGGGAAAAACAAAACAAAAATTTACGACCATCGATGAAAATTATTGACCGTTTGGGACTTTAGTTATAAATAATTTCTGCTCCTCGGTGTTTGGATATTGCGTGTCGAGTAGATGCGGCAACGACGCGTTAGTGGAGTGCGGACAAGCGGGCATTTCAAATCTCGTTTTCCCTACGCTGTTAAGTTAAAGCGTTGCCACACATAAAACGACGCTAGTCAATGGAGATAGATTATTTGACTAATAAGTGAAAAATAATAAAAATAATCGATTAATTCTTATATTCATAAATTTTATAATTCGCAAAGAGAATTTTCAATTATAAATCATAGTTTTTTAATTAATTTTTTTAGATTTTCTTGACGGACACTCAACGATCACTTTGGAGAGTGACCATATTACTTTAACCCCTCACGTACGGGGTGCATTGGAAGCAAATTGTTGTCAAAATATCTAGATGCATAATGACCGTCATATAGTATATTGTGTTACAAGTGCGTAAAGTACCACTTTTTCGCACGCACGCGTGACACATCCTATTTTTCATCGCGCAAAACCCCACTTCCCACACATTGTGATGAAAAATAGGGTTCGATACTCGCGGGAAAAGTGTTTTTAGACTCGTGGGATTATATCACTCGCCTTCGGCTCGTGCTATAAACCTTCCACGAGCCCAAAAACACTTTCCCGCAATCGTATCGAAATATACTATTTTGTAATACCTACCGAGTTCACTGTTCGGAACCGTAGTGGGGGTAAAGTGGTTTCTTTTGTGCACGGTGTGCACTCGAAATTCACTTTATGCACGACCTCTGAACTTTACGCACATTGTGTGTAAACCAAACACTTTACACACACTAAACGGTTTCGAAAGGTGAATTTTTGAGGCAGGTATTACAAAAACTCATTTCAATGTCTAATTTGTGAAGGTCATAAATTCCTATTTACTAAAGATGAAAGAAATGTGAAGTTGTTTTATATCGAAATATCTCGAAACTGCCTGACCGCTAATCCTTAATTCTGATTGGTCAATATGTGACACGAAGTTATTCACAAAAATAAACACGCGGCATTTTCAAATTCTTCAGTGACATAATTTCAAATTCTTCAGTGGTAAATTTTTTTTNATATATATATATATATATATATATATATATATATATATATATATATTTCACAAGGTAGGTTTTGCGGTAGGTTTTCATAAGGTATATATATTTCACATGTATATATATCATCGGTGAAATGAATAAATTCTGTCCTTTTATGGAGACCGATTATTAAAAAAAATTGACATTAATTAATTGAAAATGAAAAATTCTTTATAGATTCTTTTACTCTACTTCGCTGTTCACTTCAATCATTAGTCGAATTCTCTTTGATTCATTATCAATATTTATAAGGTAATCATGAGAGAATGAAATTTAATGAATTCCATTTCTACATTTCAACAAATGAATAGATCAGCGCGCGCATAGATCTTGTAAAACAAATAGTTTCCTCTACAGAGATGAAAAATTCGCGTGATGTTCGTTTTAAAATGCTCATTAAGCTAATACGAAATGAATTCAAATGAAAATTGATGCAAAAAAATGAAGTTGCATCTATACAGATGAAAAATGACTCATATTTTTTGGCAAATTGCGACGGTCGTAAACCAGAGAGAAGAGAATTGCGGGAGCCGTCACAAATGTCTCGTCATGTGACGCATTTGCATCTCTCCTCTAGGTGCTGCTGGACAATTCCAACTTGTCCGATGTCAAGATCATCGTCGAGGACAACAAGTTCAACGCCCACAAGTTGATCCTGGCGTCGAGGAGTCCAGTATTTGATGCCATGTTCAAACAGTCGATGGAGGACGAGAGTCTAGTGCAGATTGACGACCTGAGGGCTGACGTCGTCAAGGGAATGCTCCAGTTTATTTACACTGATGAAGCGCCAGACCTGGAGAACATGGTGGAGGAGTACCTGGGGGCTGCTGAGAAGTTTCAGCTGGGGGGGTTGAAGGGAAAGTGCGGCGAGGTCATTCTGGAGAGGGTCAATGATGAAACTGCTGCGGGATTTCTCGTCGTTGCTGATCACTTCAAGGCTGAGGAGTTGAAGGCCAAGGTCATGAGTTACATTATGAGCCATCTTCCTCGGGTCGTCAGGTCTGAGGGGTATAAGGAGCTGGAGAAGAAGCATCCTGTGTTGTTGGGGGAGATTATACGGGCGCAGGTCACCTTGATGGAGCAGAAGGCTATGGCCAGTGAGTGATTTTTGGATGAGAATGTTTTGGTTCCATGAAGATGCTCAATTAATTCAGATAGTGTAATGCTAGTGGCTCAGAGAGAGAATTTAAAGGTTTTTTGTTATTGATGAAATTTCTTTAAGAAAATTTCTCAGTATCAATTCCATTCTGTATTTTCTTGATGTTACAAAAGTTTTTCTTTGTTTTACACCTGCACGTGCCTCCCTCTACCTTCGTCGCAGAACTGAGTCTATAGGCCTCTCCTCCTTCACAGATCAGCAAAAATCATTTTAAAAAAACTCAAATAATTATAAAAAATTTACCCAGCGCCTCAACCTCAAGTAAACATTTCTTAGTCTCATTTCTCAGTTAATGCAATTCGATCAAGCCATCAGTGAAGATTTTTTCGAGCGAAACGTACTGAGTAAATTTACATTTTCTTGACAATTATGTAGATTCCCTTTGAAGCTAATTGTTTTAACAGTGAAAAACAAAATATCTTTTCTTTAGATTAAAAAATCTTTTGTTTTGATTTTCCACTGATGTAATTCATTATCAAGTAATTGAAGAGATCTTTATTCGCTCTATCGTGTCATTGCTGATCGACTCAATGCGGAAAAGGAAAAGGCCATGGCCAGTGAGTAATTTTGGTATGAGTATTTTTTTGTTTGATGAAGCTAGATGCTCACTTAATTTAGATAGTGTAATGCTAGTGGTTTATGAAGAGTATTTAGAATAATATAAATTTGGGCCGTTAAAAAAGATAATTTATATCAAAATTCGAAAAAAATTGTTTCAAAATCTAGTGGCTCTCAGGCTAAAACGGTTTATTAATTTTGAAGAGATCTGTAGGATGATGAGAGATTTTTTGGAGTCAAACGTACTAAGTAGATTTTCATGTTCTTGTTAATTATGTAGATTGTCTTTGAAAGCAATTGTTTTAGCAGAAAAGGTCGAGATATGTTTTTTGTAGCTGGTGAAATATCCAACAAAAAACGTGTTTTGATATTTTCCACTGAAATCATTCATTATTGAGATATTGATATTCACGCACGAAAAAATTTAATAGAAAAACCTGTCGAATTCGTTAGAAAATTCTATTGAATTTCTATTAAACTTTCTATTAGTTTTTGGCTGATTCCATTGAGATGTTCAATAGGAAACATTCAATCAGAAAAAGTCAACAGAATTCAATTTTTCTATATAACTTATTCTTTTCATATATTTTCTGTAGAATTTGCTCGACTCAAATTTTCCAAGTTTTTTTCATTCTATTTTTCTTTTTTTCTCATCAAGAAAATCAAACGAAAAAACTTAGAAAATTTGAACCGAGGAAATTCTATAGATAATATCTCAATAAAATAAGTTATACAGAAAAATTGAATTCTGTTGACTTTTTCTGCTAAGTATTTTCTATTGAATATTTTAATAGAATTGGCCAAAAACTAATAGAATAGTTCAATAGAAATTCAATCGAATTTTCTAACGAATTCGATAGGTTTTTCTATTGAATTTTTTCGTCCGTGTTGACAATGTTTGAAGAGTTTTCTGCCTCTAATAAAATTTCTTACAGAAAATTTCTCATTATCAGATTCATTATCATAATTAAATGTTTGATGAGAAGGGAAAAATTGAATTGTGTTATTTTTCACTATTTCACTTCTTTTTCTCTAAAGGAGTTCTTCTGAGGTTTTTTGGCTCAAGTAACTAGTTTTTTCGGGTGAAACGTACTAAACAAATTAATATTTCCTTAATAATTATGCAGACTGTCTTAGCAACTAATCGTTGTCGCAGAAAAGGTCAAAATATAGCGGAAATTGAAGTGTAATGAAATATCCATTAAGAAACTTCTTAAAATGCTTCCCTAAAATCATTTATTGTCAAGATAATTGAAGAGATCGTTTTGCCAAGAGATTTCCATTCAGTATGCACGATAATATGACTTCCAAAGGAGTCAGAGATTCCATTGTACCTTTAGAATACATTATGAAAACGAAAATTATTTCGTTTCTATTTTTAAGTCCTTTAGTATTTTCAAGTTTTTAGTTTTATGTTAAAAAAATGTTAAAAAGTCCTATCCCCCAAAGGAATATCAACGTTTTGTCATCACATACATGGGAATAAATTATAAAATTTCTTTATTCAACAATTCCATGAGTTTCCTTTAATTATCCGCATTTCTCCCATTTGATCATAAATGTGTTGTTGAATAACACGTATGACAGAACTTGACAGGATAATGCTAATTTTCAATAAAATTGGCGTAGAAAACTAATGAAATTCTAATAGAGCTCCAATAGAATTGTTATCGAGTTCCAATTCAATGCAATTTCTTGAAGAAATTCGATGAATTGGATTCTGGCTGAATTTTTTCATGCATGAGGAATTTATTTCTCCACGTGATAGCGCAATTAATTTTATACTTTGGGAGGAATAGCATTTAATTAATATTCAGCACCCCATATCAGTAGCAAATATTTCATACAGAAAAAAAAATCATTAGAATTTGATATCCACTCAAATTGATATCAATTTGATATTTGACTTGATTTTTTTTTGAATTAATAGAAAATTAATAGAATTTGATTTTTCCATACAATATTTCTATACAATATTTCCTATAGAAATTCCTCGACTGAAATTTTTTGAATTCCTTTGTTTGATTTTTTCAAAAAGAGGAAAAAGAATATAGTGCGAAGAAATTTGAAAAAAATGATGTTGAGTAAATTCTGTAGAAAATATCTCAATTGAAAAAATTGCATTAGAAGATGCAGTTCTGCTAATTTTTTCTACAAATGAGTTTCTATTAGACACTTTCTATTAAAAAAATGTAGAAAAGTGATATTTTGTAATAGAATTAGCGAAAAATCGAGTGAATTCTGTAGAAAATAACTCAATTGAAAAAATTGCATTAGAAGATGCAATTCTGCTAATTTTTTCTACAAAAGAGTTTCTATTGGACACTTTCTATTAAAAAAATGCAGGAAAGTGAAATTTTGTAATAGAAGTTTGGTAGAAATCCCGTGGAATATTTTCACCAGTAATTTACTAGTAATCATTATCAATTTCATTGAATTCTGATTCTGAATGTTTTACTTTCTGATATCCAATAAAAAAACATCCATCTTCCCAATAATTTAACCACAAATATCGAGCTAATAATATATTCAGTATAATTTTCTTGCAAATTCACTATTAAAGTTTTCTCCACCCTATTCTTTCGCGCAAGAATTCAAAATTGATCTTCTAGATAATTTAGAAATCCTCTTTACCCACAGATAAATTCTCCCATCAAGTTGAACAAACTGATCAGATTTCTTCTCCCGAAGTTGTCACTCTGCCTCACCATGCCATTTTTGACAACCCCATAAAACAACAGTTGCCTGCCGAAAAAAAAGAGAGTATTTCCCCTCTAAAACCCTCTCAATCTCTAAAAATCATAATTTAAATCCGAGAGCCCCAAAACAATAATTGTGTGCTAGTGCAAACTGCAATCAAAGCCCCACCATGCGTGCCAGGAATCCCGCGTTAGAGTCCCCAGTGTCCTTCGAGACGAGCAGAACGACAAAACGAGGAATCCGGAGGATTTCAATGTCAGACGTGAAGCGCTTGAGAGAGACCTGGGAGTGGACGATCCAGGACTTCCAGAACCTCCCTGAGGGGTCCGGGGAGAGCATCCAGTCCGGGGTTTTCGCGACCGGAGCAGACAGGGACAACAAGGACAAATGGTACCTGGACCTGTACCCCGGAGGGAGGGACAAGGACTGCAGTGACTACTTCTCCCTGTACCTCATGCTGAAATCCACGAAGCACCCAGAGCTGCAGGTGCATCTCCAGCTGTCGATCGTCAAGGCTGGGACGAAGGAGAAGTTCGGAGTGAAGGAGGCCCACAGGAAATTCGTCAGTGGAATGTCAGTGGGCTGGAGGCACTTCATCAAGCGAAAGGAGATCTTCTCCAATGTCCAGGATTTCCTGGCAAACAACGAGCTCAGGATCTCCTGCGAATTCAATTATGAGATTAAATCTGGGGAGAGGTCGTCTGATCTTGTGGTCAACGATCTCCCAGTGGTCAAGGACCTGTGGCTCTGCTTCGAGCAATCCAAGTTCTCTGATTGTGCGATCATCGTTGGGAAGAAGACTTTTCACTCCCACAAGATGATCCTCGCTGCTCGCAGCCCCACTTTCTGCAGAATGATCGAGGAGACGTGCCAGGAGAGGAAGGGAGCGACTGAGAGTCTCCCTCGTCTGCATGTCGAGGACATGAAGCCCGAGGTTGCGAGAAGAATGCTGCAGTTTATTTATACTGGGAGTGTGGAGAACCTGGAGGCGATGACTGAGGAGCTGATGGCAGCTGCTGATCGATTTAGGCTGGTGGAGCTGAAGGACATTTGTGCAGCGGCTTTGCTTGAGAAACTGAGTGTTAAGGTATTTATGGCGTGGTGAGGGGGGGTCAGAAAAAAAAAGTCAAGAAATTAATGGTTTTTTTATGCATTCTCTGATTTTTTCAAAACCCCTATACAAAATCAGCACGGAAAAATTTGACAGAAAAACTTAGAGAAATCGTTAGAAAATTCTATTGGATTTCTATTGAACTTTCTATTAGGTTTGGGCCGATTCTATTGAAATGTTCAATAGGAAATATCCTTTAATAAAAAATCAGTTCTGTAGTATCATAAGAGCTACAATCCTACCAAATTTCAACTTCCTATCTTGAATTTTCAACGAGTTATCGTTTCCACAACGATTTCCTAATAAAAATGAAAAATGCCGATTATTACTAGACTGACCCTAGTTACGTAGCAATATTTCGATTTGATTCGATAGATATTATCGCAAGGAATACTTTCCCGTCAAAAAACTTCAATTCGGTCACGTAGTTTATAAGATATTAAGGAAAAAAGATTTTTGAGAAATTGCTATATCTCGGAAACTACTGGGCTGATTAAGCTGAACTTGCGCCCACAAATGCTCCAAAGTAATACCAATTATCCGACAAAATTTGAGATTTTTAGCTCAAACTTTAGTCCTTTTTTTCGGGGGGATTTATAAAAAAAATCCGAAAAATCGGCATACACATTCTGACATACATACATACATTTTCTAAAAACATCATATTTTCACGTTTCATGACATTCTACATCATTTCCAAGCAAAATTACGAGATCGTAAAAATCATCGATTACAAGGCTTCCGTTCGGAAGCAAAAATAGAGAATTTGAGCCAAATTTGACCCCCATGGGGGTCAAATTCTATGCATAGAATGTGACCCTTACATGACTCCCATATGTATCTACAGAAATATGAACATATTACAGAGGTAGAAATAAGAATTCACTCTCAATGGCATCATCAGGCTCACAGATAATGGTCAGAATCAGGGTCGTTTCCTGAATTCTTAAACCTCCTTATTTTTGACTATATAGAGAGATTATTCTTCCTCGTTAGACGCAACGACTCAACTGGAGTATATTCATATTTCTTTAAGAATGCTGCTGACACTCTGGTGAAGGCTGATAAATGTCATGCGAAGGAGCTGAAGGCGCAGGTCATCAGCTTTATCAATGAGCATCTGGGGGAGGTCGTGGAGTCCAGCGGATACAAAAGGCTTGAGCAGAATCACCTGGAATTGCTGAGGGACCTTCTGCGAGCGCAGGCTGCTGGGGTCAAGGCGAAAGAGACTGAGGGCTCTGCAGAGCTTGAGTAATTATTTATGGAGAGAAAAGACTGTTTTGAGCCCATTTAAATCATGATTGAATATAGTGCCGCCGGGTTGTAGACAAGTGTGAAGTTGGCGGCACGAGCTGCCAACCGTACGAGTCAAACAACCCCGCGACACCAATTGCGAAATGGCATTTTATGATACAAGTGAAAAGTAATGCACTTTTTGCACGCTTCGCGTGCGAAGAATCGCCTTTTCCTCACCACTATCATTACACGGACGAAAAAATATAATAGAAAAACCTATCGAATTCGTTAGAAAATTCTATTGAATTTCTATTGAACTGTTCTATTAGTTTTTGGTCGATTCTATTGAAATGTTCAATAGAAAATATTCAGTAGAAAAAGTCAATAGAATTCAATTTTTCTATATAACTTATTCTGTTGAGATATTTTCTATCGAATTTCCTCGGCTCAAATTTTCTGTTTTTTCGTTTGATTTTCTTGATGAGAAGAGAATAAAAATAGAATGAAAAAAATTTGAGTCGAGCAAATTCTATAGAAAATATATGAAATGAATAGATTATATAGAAAAATCGAATTCTGTTAACTTTTTCTATTGAATGTTTTCTATTGAACATGTGAATAGAATCAGCCAAAAACTAATAGAACGTTTAATAGAAATAAAATAGAATTTTCTAACGAATTCGATAGGTTTTTCTATTAAATTTTTTCGTACGTGTAAATATTGTACGATACGTATGGAAAAATGTACTTTTTGACGAGTGTGATTACAGAATTCGTCGTCGGCTCGGCCTCGTCAACGACTACTTTTTTCATTTGTGTCGTAATATACTATTTCGACAGAAAGTACCTTTCCATCACTAGTACGTAAAGTGAAATTTTACACTCGCTTCGCGTAATCCCATGAGATAAAAAAAAATCCGTATTCACTGAGAACGAGATAGGGCTGTGCACGAGACGCAAACGAGACTTCACTTTGAAGGGATCGTCTCGGCCTTAGTGAGCACGGAAATTTTTGACCTCGTCACAGTCTCAAGAGGCTCTTCTCGTGATGACTCACAGTCAATTTATCTCATTTCGGTCTCAAGTTTCTCGTAGTTTTGCAATGTAAAGCTTCGGTTTCAATCTCGGTCATCTGGTCTCGGTCTTTTACACATGAAAAACGCGAAAAACTCGAAATCGAGATGAGATAAATTGACTGTAAGTCATCATAAGAAGAGCCAATACCGCCTCGTTTGAGACTGTGACCCTTTTGAGACAATCCCTCCAAAGTGAAGGCAAGTGAAGTCTCGTTCGAGTCTCGTGCGCAGACCTAGATCGAGACAATCCCTCCGAAGAATTGTCTCGTGAAGTCTCTCGCGGCATCACTACCTCTTAGAAATGGACTCATTTGATGTTTAATTGAATTATTATTCCAACCGTCTGCATGAATATCAAACTCCTACTACCTACCTCCAGCCGATTATGCGTTTCACAGTAATTTCAAATGCAGAATTGAAAAACACCCATAAATAAAAAATTACAGTGCAATTTCAAACGCAGAATTCAAAAACCACAATAAATTAGAAAAAACTGTATAATTTCAAATACCGAGTTAAACAACGACCATAAATTTAAAATTACTGTGTAATTTCAAATGCAAAAATCAAAAACAACTATAAATTTAAAATTACCATGAACCACATAACGGGCTGGAGAAGTAAGAGTTTCTTGTCCTTTCTTTTTTTTATTTACTACTGATTTGCCCCCGGTAAAAGGTTCTTATTGGAGTTGAATATTATTTTGTTTATTAATTTTCCTTGCATCTTTGTGAGTTATGGAGAATATTGTCTTCCTCGAGTAGATTTACAAAATTGTAGAAAATATATACACGACGCATTGTTCCCAATTAAATATCATGCTCAATTGTAACAAATAGATTATTAAAACATTAGATAAATACAAGGAATTGACTTCCTTGTACGATATATTGTTGATGATTATGATCATTATATTCTGATGAACTGCAACACTACAGATTTGTCCATTGGGAAAAGGTTCTTGTTGGAGTCGAATATTATTTTGTTTTGTTTATTAATGTAACTATGTGGGTTATGGAGAGATTTACAGAATTATACAAATTACATACGTGACGCGTTGTTCCCAATTAACTCAATTGTAGCGAATAAATTATTAAAACATAAGATAAATTATAAGGAATTGACTTCCTAGATACGATATATTGTTAATGATTATAAGAATTGGATTGAGGTGAAGAATAAAAATTGCAGGCGGCTGTATCTTTGCAGGTGACTCATAATTAGGGGGAGGTTTATTTTTCTAATGGAGATTGTTTCTCATAGTTATTCATGTTTACTTATTCAACTGGTGAACATTGAATATTTTATTAGTGTAGTATTTACGATAGGTTTTGAAGGCAGTTTCCCATTTATGTAATCGAAACCCAAAGTTTTTAGTGTTTTATTATCAGAGGAAGATGTCACTCTTCCTTTCAGACTCTGCGACCACCTGTGGATAGAGTTCCAGGACTGGAAGCTAGACCTCGGACATTTGATCACTCGCGAATTCATTCTGAGGACTCGCAGTTCTGTATTCGCTAATATATTAGATTATGACTCGAAGGAGAATCCAATGAATGAGATTGTGAGTTGTATTTTTATGAAGGGGTTTTAACAGAAATTCAACTCCTTGAGATTGTTCAATTGTTCAACTGGTGAATACTCAATTTTTATTACTGTAATGTATCAGATAGGTCTCGAAGGGATAGTTTCCGACTTATATGATCAGTATGTTCAGGAAATAAGGACAGGTCTAACAGTGCAAAAAATAAAATAAAGATGCTCTTACAGTACAAAGAAACATTATTTTTTTATTAACATTGGTAATCAACTGGTAGAACAAGACTCTCTCAAAATCGTAGTAAAGTTTTCATATGGGTGCATTCAATAATAAGTACGATTTGCTTGACACATGCCTAATGTATGAAATTGTATAAAAAACAGACTTTTATGACTTGGAAATAATGAGGAGTTTCTGTTGGTGATGTGATTTGATCAACCAACAAGTTCCATCGAGAGATTGGTATCAGTAATTACAAAGTCAGAATGCACGTTCATAACTTTGAGGTGTAAGACGTACGAAAAAAAATCATATAGAAAAACCCAGCGAATTGGCTCGAAAATTCTGTTGGATTTCTAATAAACTTTCTATTATTACTGAGAAATATTCTATAAAAAAAGTCCATAGGGTTCAATTTTTCTATGTAACTTATCCTATTGGGATATTATTTCTGTAAAATAAATTCTGTTGGATATTATCTATTGCAAAAATGCGGATTAAAACTACGGGATTTTCCTATAGAATCGGCCATAAACATACAATCTCCCGTGCAAGTTCATTAGAATGTTCTTGAAAGCCAATTCACTACGTTTTTCAGTGTGTGATAGAAGAAAATGACAACACGCACGGAAAAATTTTGTTAAAAAAACTATCCAATTCGCCAGATAATTCTATTGGATTTCTATTGGAATGTTGAGTAGAAAAAAATCTATTAAAAAAATGAATAGAATTGGATTTTTCTATACACCTTATTCTAGTGAGATATCTTTTATAGAATTTCCTCGGCTCAAATTTTCTATTTTTTTTTCATTCTGGTTTTCATTTCTTTTTATCAAGAAAATCAAACAAGAAAACTTGGAAAATTTGAGCCGAAAAAATTCTTGTTTTGAATAACAAAATATTTGAACACTTCAATCCTTTAGTTTTGTAGTCAGGGAGGATCAAAGTTCGACAGAGCCAAACATGAATTTCACAATACGTTGTTTAACTTCTTCAACGTTAAATTCATCAGCAATCATCAGCCTCGCGGGAGCATTTTTTGAGTTGAGATTTTCGCAAAGGACTCGTCTACACAAGGGCTTGAGGAGATTTTTCAAATCGTACTTGTAAGCAGCGTGAACGAATTCCTCATTTGTGTACCAGGCAGGCTCAACTTCATCGCTGTAGATGTAACGCAACAGAGCTTTAATCACGCGATCAGAAAAGTCTGTTATCTCGACAGTACTCTTCGTTTTGTCGGTGAACATTGCAGCAAAGACAGAACTTCGAACAGACAAAATCAGTTTGTGGGCGTAGAATTTTGTCTCTCCAACTATCAATGTGACATCGGAAAACTTTTCATCATTGAAAAGAGCTTTGAATACGTTCACGAGGCCAGAGTCAGGGTCGGGTAGGGCTGGCACGTTAGGCTTACGTTTCTTGATGGTAAATTCGCTGAATATTGTGAAGTCATAATGGAATGTCAGAGGTCCTTTCCGAAGATTATACTCTTTCTGGAGTTCAGTGAAAGACATCAGGAGGTTCAACGTATTCAGATCTTCTGCAATCAGTTCTTTTTCGAGGAATTTGGCAATAGTTCCTTTAGAAATAACTCTTTTCTGGTTCGTTGAGTCGTGAATGTACATTTCCACACCGATTCCCAGTGGTATGTCATCACCGGTAAGCATTATGCCAACTTGCGTTGCTCCCGACGGCTCCTCTGATTTGTGAACAAATTTAGACGTACTAATAAACATCATGGGATAAACTGGCAATTGGACAATTGGCGATGTTATACTAAAGGTCCGTTCTTCATTCTGAAGATTCTTCCTGTAGTTCTCCACGATCAATTCATAAGACCATTTAAGCTTTTTACAGTCAATCTGCCAAGTTTTCTTCTGCTCAAGATCTTTCTCTTTCTGTGTCGCCATCTTGCTGCTCTCCGCGTTCTCACAATCAGTACAGTTATCCTTTTTTCTGGATCCTGTCGACAATGAATGTTTTTTTTCTCATCATAATATGGATTTAATCATTTTTTACCTTTCGTTCTTTTATTTTTTATGCCTTAAGTGGTCGCATAATGGGGGAATCCCCGCCGATTTTCTATTTTTTCGTTTCACACAAAAACTTCGTGATTGAAAAACCTATAAAAATGTGTATTCCTACTTTCAAATATATAGAACGCTTCAACATCTTTTCCGGTCCAGACATACAACAATGAATTATTAAAATCTTCTGAAAACTCGACTCGGTGAAAATCCCCAAGTTTAACTTCAAATTTCATAATTTTGCACTTTTTCAAATCGAGTTCTTAGATTATCTGACAACTATTTCGCTTGCATACCCCCATTTCCTATTCATTGAAAGTTCAAAATTATCTGTGAACGTGGGATAAATTTTTTTTGTTCAACTTTTTTTTTTCTCGAAATTGAAAATACAGGGGGCAGGGATTCTCTCACTGTGCGACCAACTACGTTCGATTAAAAAAAAATGTTTTTTTTTTAATCTCAGAGATGAAGATTTTCCCTTCACTTTGATACAAATTTCAATCCACCAACCCATGTTCATTATTTAGAAATGAAATAGCCAAAATGCACCAACTGCATGTGCTAACGTGCGCTTGTATGGGATAGAATCATTCAAATATTTCCTCTTTTTGCCAGAGCACCCCAGATTTTTCCCTGGCCATTGGATTCAGTACGATTTTACACATTACCTTCTATTTTTTTTCTATTTTTAGAGTCTTCTAGTAAGTGAATTATCAATTTGAACATAAATTCCATAGAGCCCGTGTAAGGAAAAATTAGTTTATTCATTTCTGCCGAGACTGTTGCGATAAATTTTTTTTTAACGTTCGAAAAGTGAGTTTTATATGTTCGGCTGTCAGCCAAAAAATTACAGAATTTTCCTTGACCATGAAAAAAAAAACCATTTACTGACAATGGTTAAACATCCTTAAGGGCTAATGTTCATAATTCTCTCAATTGATAGAGTTAGAATAATTTTATCAATTGATCTCAATCTGGGATCACTACGAAGGGAAAGGATTGTACTATCCATTAAGGAGAAAATGATTCCATTTCATTAAAAATTCAATGAGTCATTAACGTTTGAGAAAAAGGCACAAGTGTTCATTGTGCCTCACTCGGCGAGTTCTGCAGGGGAAGTTGGGGTAAAACGGACACTTTTGATTTTTTTTTAAATGTTAATGAAGGGTTGAAATGTTGATCAAATTTAATAATTTTTTTTTCAATTACAAAGAACAATTCTTTCCCTTTGTGATGAGCCTAAATTGAGCTCAATTGGTCAATTTGTTTCTGAGTTATGAATAATTTTAAAGAAGTCTAAAGTGTCTTTACCCCATCCTCCCCTAATCGTATGAGGTAGAAAAGTTCCCACGGCCGTCGAACAATATTTTTTGTCATTAGGCCCGAAAACCGCGATTTTAACCTCGTTTCCCAGTTTTAACCGAGTGAACCGAGGTTAAAATCGCGGTTTATCGGGCCTAGTAGTGGCAAAAATTATATTATGCCACTCATGCCTGAAACCGGCTGGATTACACACTCGACGCTTCGTGTCTCGTGTCTAATTCAGCCGGTTTCAGGCTTCGTGACATAAAATTTTGTTCAGTACTTGTTGGGAAATTTCGTCCTTAACGTGTGTGGTTACATCACTCGCCTTCGGCTCATGCTGTCAACCCCACACACGTTAAAGACGAAATTGCCCCACACGTGCTGAAATATACTATTTCGTCATTACGCCAAAAAAAATTTATCTAGCGAATGTAAGTTTGCAACTGATATTTTTAATTATATGCGCTAGAAATGGATTGAATAATTCTTTACCTTTCTTTTAATTGTGTTCTACAACAAGAATGGGTTGATATGGACTGTATCAGCTGTAATTAGTCGTATAAATCTGTGTAAATCGTGCTGTACTAACGCCAACTGGGGTCTTTGTTAGGCTTTCCTCGCTCACGCCTCAGAAATCATTGTATCGATAAAATACAAACTCTCTTGAATTTTTGGGTGCGTTTCGGAATCAACTACCGTAGCTGCAGTAAAGCAAAATTAGATAGGGTTGCAGTAGTGCTACTGCTACTACGTCGATTGCGAAACGCGCCCTATAGCTTCCATCGATAAAGAGGGAAATACATGTTTGTGCACATGTGCAGACAGATGTTTACAGTTGACAGAATATTCTAAAAAAAAACACAACAGCCAACAGCCAAAAATTCAGGGACAGTTGAACATTTCCAGGATATAAAGAATAAATTATAAAAAAGGGTGAGAATAATTCATTCCCATGTACATCCTTTCGAATGTCTTCATATGCACGAACAAAAATTCATAGAAAAACGTTACGAATCCAATAATCTACTGAAGTTCTCTTGAAAATTCTATCAGTTTTTGGCCGATTCAGTTGAAGAATTCCGCAATCTCATTGCGTTTTTTTTCTATAGACAATGTCAAATAGAACCTATTTTATATAAGAACTGAGTAGATTCATCTTTCTATATAATGTTTTCTACTCAGACATTTTCTATCGGAATTCCTCGACATGAATTCTATAGTTTCTCCACTTTATTTTTGTTCTCTTCTCATTGAACAGATCGAACAAAAAAACTTGGAAAATGTGAGTCGAGGAATTTCTGAAGAGAATATGTCAATGGAATTAATTGACTATGAAAATCGAATTCTATTAATTTTTTATGTGGAATATAGTCCATAGAACATTTAGAATCGGCCAAAAACCAATAGAAATTTCAATATAAATCCAACAAAATTTTCTACTGAATTCCCTTGGTTTTTCCGAGGAATTTTTTCATCATCATCACCATCATCATTTCCCTCTACTTTATCCAGAAAACACAATGAATCAACAACCATACGGTCACATAACCTCCGACTTCATGGGTACAAAATTCACCTGGACGATCGACAATTTCACTCATCGTTACACAGCAACTGGTGAAAAATTCAGCTCCACAGAATTCTTCACAGGAAAAGATTACAAAGACGAGTGGTGTTTCGAGATGTACCCAAAGGGTCAATGCGAGAGTGACAAGGACTTTGTGTGTCTCTCGCTGAGGCTTCTTCGCACCCCAAAAGAAGAGGTCAGAGTCAACATAATGTACTCAATGGCCAAGCTTGACGATGAAAATTCGACAGAGCATCCTCCCATCACCCATCCCGTCTCCCACCAGGTGTTCATCAAGAACATGTCCAACAGGCTGACACGTTTCGTCGACTCCAGCGATATTCTGAACTACTTGAAGAACGACACTCTGAAGATATCGTGTCAGATCACCTCATCAGAGACTCGTCCCTCAGCTCAAGTGATCGAGGCCTCGGGCACCTTTCCTCTTCGACTCTGCGATCACATGTGGATGCTCTTCCAGGAGTCGAAACTCTCGGACGCTGTTGTCATCGTTGAGGACAAACAGTTTCATGTTCACAAACTTCTCCTGCAGATTCGCAGTCCTGTCTTCGCTGCCATGTTCGAGCACAATCTCAAGGAGAATCAGACTAATGAGATCAAAGTACGATGAATAAACTAAACTCCATGTACGAGAAAATTCTACAGAAATTTCCCATTATCCGTATTCTGACCCTTGTGACCTTTAATCTTACCCTCGTGACCCTTCATTTCTGACCTCTAATTGTGGAGTTTTAATTTCGAATCCCAAGTTTTCATCACCAGAAGTCGATTTGGGCTTTTGTAATATGAGATGTAAGATAGAGACCCTTATTTTGACCCTTGTGACCCTTAGTTTCTGACCCCATGACCCTTATTTGGATCCTTTAACCCTCATGACACCCTTATTTTGACCCTCATGACCCTTATTCTGACCTTTATGACCCTTATTTTGACCCTCATGACTCAATTTTGGATTTGGTTTTAATTTCAAGTACCAAATTTTCATCACTAGAAGTCGATTTGGGTTTTTGTAATATAGAGAGATATACAGAGACCCTTATTTTGACCTTTGTGACCCTTAGTTTCTGATCCCCATGACCGTTATTTTGACCCTCATGACCCTTATTCTGACCTTTATGCCCCTTATTTTGACTCTCATGACTCTCAATTTTGGAGTTTTAATTTCAAGTAGCAAATTTTCATCACTAGAAGTCGATTCGGGGTTTTGTAATATAGAGAGATATACAGAGACCCTTATTTTGACATTTGTGACCCTTAGTTTCTGATCCCCATTACCGTTATTTTGACCCTCATGACCCTTATTATGCCCCTTATGAATAACTCTGAATTTCAATCGAATGAAAAAAGAAAAGTGTAATCGGGCTAATCTACACGCACGAAAAAATTTAATAGAAAAACCTATCGAATTCGTTAGAAAATTGTATTGAATTTCTATTAAATTTTCTATTAGTTTTTGGCTGATTCTATTGACATGTTCAGTAGAAAACATTTAATAGAAAAAGTTAACAGAATTCGATTTTTCTATATAACTTATTCTTTTCATATATTTTCTACAGAATTTGCTCGACTCAAATTTTCTAAGTTTTTTTCATTCTATTTTTATTTTCTTCTCATCAAGAAAATCAAACGAAAAAACTTAGAAAATTTGAGCCGAGGAAATTCTATAGAAAATATCTCACTAAAATAAGTTGTATAGAAAAATTGAATTCTATTGACTTTTCCTAGTGAATATTTTCTATTGAACATTTCAGTAGAATCGGCCAAAAACTAATAGAACAGTTCAATAGAAATTCACTAGAATTTTCTAACGAATTCGATAGGTTTTTCTATCAATTTTTTTCGTCCGTGTACTCAATGGAATTATCATCAATTGAATTATAAGACGGGTAGAAAATTATTATTCTCGTCAATAGTGCCAACAATAAAAAAAGTTAATAAAAAAGTTAGTCAAAAATATTTAACAAAAAAAATGTTTTTTGCTTGAATTGCGTCAGACAGTCATTTTTGGACTGTTCCCTTTTGCCCCACTCTCTCCTAGAAAGTTCAATAAAAATCCATAGAATTTTCTATCGAATTCGTTAGGCTGGTCTGTAGAATTTTGCCGTGCGTAAACTTCCGTTTAGAGTCCATTTCAGATTTTAATCTTCGAAATTTGACTTATGTTCATACAACGTTAAGATCGAGGAAATCAGGCCGGAAGTCGTGAGGAAGATGCTGCAGTTCATCTACACCGACAGAATCGACAATTTCGAAGACATCGTGAGGGATCTCTTGGTCGCTGCGGATAGGTACTCTCTCGATGGCTTGACCGCTCTTTGCGAGAGGGTTCTCTGTGAGCAGGTCACTGTCTCCAATGCAGTGGCTACTTTGATCCTCGCTGAGAGCTACAACTCTGCGAATGTCAAAAGGCATGTGGCGAGGTTTATAAATGGGAATCTGCCGGAGATTGTGAATACGGGAGAGTATAAGGAGATGGAGGAGAGCAGACCGGCTTTGGTTTCTTATCTGGTTCGTGAGATGGCGACGAATATGATTAAGAATTGACGGCTGGGTTCAATTTATTGACTAATTTTGAGGGTAATTAGAGGGTGATATGGTGGAGGAGGTTTTTTATGGTGAGGAGATTACTTTGGGTTCAAAAGGGGGTGAGCATTTGGATCATCAAAATGAATTAATTCACTTAATTCAAGATTTTTTGTGATTAATGACAAGTTCACGAGTTGGAAAAAGGAGTTCGATTATAAAGAGAATATTTTTTTCATTAAGAAGTTAGAAAAATCAACTATTGAAATTAATTAATTCAGTCGATTGTTTTTCATGATTAATTAGAGATTGATAAGCTGGAGAAACGACTTTGGTGATGAGAAAATTACTTCATCATTGAAGAGTGAAGAATTTAAATGATTAAAATCATTTATTCATTTGATTCAGGATTTTTTGTGATTAATGAAAGGTCCGTGAGTTGAAGAAAGGACTTCGATTATAAAGAGAATATTTTTTTCACCAAGAAGTTAGAAAAATCAACTACTGGAATTAATTAATTCAATCCATTGATTGTTTTTGATAATTAATTAATGATAATAAGTTGGACAAAAGACTATACTGATGAGGAGATTACTCAGTAATGAAAACCAAGGAAGTCCAACAATCAAAATGAATTAATTCATTCTGAAAAGTGAAGAATTTAAATGATTAAAATCATTAATTTACGTGATTGAGGATTTTTGTGATTAATGAAAGGTTTAGGATAAATGAAAAAAAGTTGGAGAAAGATGTTTGATTACAAAAAGAATATTTTTTTCCATCATGAAGTCAAAAATTTCGAATATCCAAATCAGCTAATTCACGCAATTGATTGTTTTTGATAATTTATTAGAGATTGTTAAATTAGAGAAAGAACTTTGATGATGAGGGGATTACTGTTATAAATTAACAGGAGATTTCAATTATCAAAAGGGATTAATTCCAGTAGTTAATGATACCTGATTATCGCTTTGAAGTTCATAAGTTCCAAAAAATACTTTAATCATAAATTACTTGATTACGACATTATTAAAATTAATCAATTTAAACGATTAAAACAAATTAATTCAATCGTTTAATGTTTTCGCATCATTAATTAGATGTTGATAATGTGAAAGAAAGACTTTTGGGCTGAGAATATTACTTCGTGATTGAAGAATAAAGACTTGAAATTATTAAAATAATCAGTTCAATTGATTGAGTGATTAAATCATTAATCAGAGACTGAGAACCTAAAGAAAGACTTCAAGACTTGAGAAATTATTTTCTGGGAGATTACTTTAACAGATATTTCGACGTTATTTATTGCTTTCTAATAAGCAATTATTTCATGACAGTTCTGATAATTACATCTTCACGTCAATCAGTATTATGATCTACAGTTGTTTTTAAGATGCATTGTCTTTGCCTGTAACTTTATTTTTTGGAAAATTATTAGATTTTAGGAAATTATCGTATTAGTCTCCTACGTGTTATACTAGTTCAGTAGATAAGTGGGAAATCGTAATAAGTCCCTTTCAATGTTGATGGTAATTGTTCATTGATTTTATGAATTCAATAAATATCACGATAGCCTATATTATTCAGAAAACTACGAAAATGACTTGTTACTTTCAACCACTTCAATCTCAGATTCGTTCACTAGTATTTCTTATGTGATTTACTGTTCATGCTGATGTGAAGCCGTTGATTTTGCGTTAGAAATATATTACTAACGTCACAGCGTGATGAAAATACTATTTTGCAACTTTTAATTCTCTCTACGCAAAAGGTTTTTACGTAAATTCTCTCACGTCCCTTAGATGTGAAGATATTTATGGAAATTGAGCCGAGGTGGTTGACTCGGGCTATCCGCCCCACTATTGATTTACGTGGAGCATTCGAAGTTCTGTGAACCGGTTGGAACGAATAGTATGCGTTTACTGGGATTTCCCCATTTCTGTACACTTAGTTGTCGACAAACTTTAAGAAAAAATTCTATAGATTTGGGAATTCAAATCGCAGACTGGGCGCAGCGGAAAAAAATGAACATTTCTATTCACTAAGCAAATAGAATAAATTTTCTCTCATCAGTATGTCTCATGACATTAAGGATATCCAAGTATCTTTTACAGTTTGGTATAGACCAAACTATAGATTAAACTATTTTCAATCATCAAATTTATTGATTGAACTGCGCGAGAAAAATTTAAAAAAAAAAATCGTGAATATTCAGCAAGAAAACCGTAAAAAATCAACATTCCAATCAGCTGTGGATGATAAATTATTGTCATGGACTCCGCAGTTTTTTTCCGAAGGAAAAATCATCCCTCCACTTAGGTACGATGGAGTGTACGGGATCAATCGGAGCTGTTGCACGTATGAAAAAATCCTATAGAAATTTTCTATACGGATTGGGTATAGAATTTATATAGGGTTTGCATATGTTATTCGGATATTTCTATACGGATATTTGTTATAAAAGTTATTTCTATACGATTTCTATAGATTTGATCCCATACGACCCACTGCCACATGCATAGACACATTTCCTATGGAGTTGCGACATTTCTGTACGTTTTTCTCCGGAGCGTTTAGCCATCTTTCGTATGAAAACAAAAATTTATGTAAAAATTTATGTATAGAAATGATTCGTGTAGAAATATCCGATCATATTCGGAAATCTTATAGAAATTCTATATATAACCCGTATAGAAAATTTCGATACGATTTTTTCATACGTGTGTCACCCAAGACCACGCGGGTACCAGGGGTGTCGCCATTGTTATTAGGGCGACCTGGGAGAACAGTGGAACACACGGCTGCATGAGGGGACAATTTGCCAATGGGGAAACCTCGACCCTACGGGGACACTGTGATTCTTCTGAAAATGTGAAAATACCACGGTGAAAACCGCACCCAGGTCTTACCCTCAACGTACATAGGAAAACCATAAAATATGCAACTTATGAGGGCTCTGTGATGCTAAGTGTGGGAAGACCGATTTATGGATGCCCCTCAGAAACCACTTGAGGGTGATTTTTATGACCACAGTCGTAAAAATCGCTCGAATGGAAAGGCCAGTAATCAAGCGTTTCCAAATAGCTGGACCCAGCCCCCATCGACCATTGTTATGGTAAGAAAATCACCGGAAAATGAAGTACTCGCGCGTGTCCTCGAAATGCAACCCAGGTGTGAATTGAGATACTTCAGGAGGAAAATGAATAAAATGACAGTTGACTCCCCCCTCACGGAAACTCTGTTTTTTTCATTCAATACATTTGGAATTTTTCACCGGCGGAACCATAGTGGACTTTATTGGTCACTCCATACCTCAAAATTTTTGAAACGTAGAATTCCACATCTCAAAAAAATTGAAAGAAAAATAATCGTTCTACAATTTCATCAAATCTGTATTTTTTTCCAATGACTGAGCTGAGTTAGATTTAGATCAAATTTTGGATGAATTTATTTCACGAAAGAAGAGAAAAACGGCTTTCGCCCAAAAACCCCTGGGAGAAAAATGGTAGGAAAAAATATTTCGGGAAAAATTCCTCGTAAAAAAAATATTTCGGAAACAAATTTCGCGACAATAAAATGGAAGAAAGGATGCGAAGAATAGTTCGTGACAACAAGGACGAAGATAGAAGAACTGACACTAAAAATACTGCAAATAAATTTACAATTATATATATATTCACAAAACAAAAACATAATGCCGGAAAGATACAAAATCGCTAAATCAAAAAGAATAGCTCAATCAATAATTCAATGTCAACAAAACAACATCAGTCAACTGTTTCCCAATGAAAATAAATACTAACAAATACAATTTGCAAATTTCGTGATCATAATATGCAAACACTCAACCGTAACAATCCCTCAATCTCCATCAATACATCTTCAACGTTTCGATAAAAAATTAACACTCTGAGCAATCTGATTGAAATTGAAATCAATCAATTGAATTTTTTTCCAGAAAAACAAATTCCATAATTTACCTCCCTGTTAAAATTTGTAATTTATTATTTGTTACATTTTATTCCGCAATAATTTTTCACGAATCGTTTATTCAAAAGTAAATATTTCACAGGACTTCTATTCCTAAAAAATATGTTCCGAAATAGTTTTTCCAAGAATTTTTTTCCCAAGAAATTTTGGGCGACACCGAGAAGAAGAGGTCTGTTTGCAACTTCACTTCCAAAGTCTGATATATTAATTAATAAACAAAATAAGAGAGAAGTATTGCAATGTTTTGAAATAATTAGGGGAAACCAGGGAAAATAAGACCATTTGATCCTCCTGATGATCCCGCGCGTCTATCCCGGTTGACTCCCGTGACCCTTGTAATTCCGTAAAAATTTACTCCACACCTCAAATTTTTATGTCCCGCCCCTGAATAACAGATAATTGTCTACCCCCCCGGAATAAGGGAACACACCTTTCCCAAAATTCTACTGCGGTTCGTCGCACATCCCGGGTTAGGACATAATTTTACGCACGTGTGCGATCATAAAAATCCAATGGATCGGAAATTACGACCATGTCCAACCCGTTATCACTCTCCATCGACGGGCAAGCGTCGTTAGTATGAGGGGTCGAACCGAGATTCCTGGAACCATAAAGGGGGATCGAATCCGTGGACCCTTGTATTTCGAAATTTTAAGGGGCGGTCTCACCACTTTTTTCAAGTCCTAGAAATATTTGACGGAAAATTTTGTCATTTTTTTAATAAGTTTTTTTAGGTATGGAAAAAGTGGAAGCATGAAGAATCATATTATCTCAATTTCACCTAATTACGTAAGTCACGAATTCAATGAGATTTTCCCCTCCTGCTCCCCTGCTCACCAATATTGTTCACCGGTTTGCTGTCACCTCCTAAGTTGAAGAGTAATAAAGAAAAAAGGAGAAACAACCTACAGAGGGCGGGAATATAATGCTGACTTTTTCCATCACATTGTGATCGTTTTCTGAAAGATAAATATATTCCAAGCATTTTTTTTCGTTTTTTCCTATTGAAAATGGCCATTTTGGAAATTCATTGATTCGAAAAATCGTATCCTATTATTTACTAAAGATGAAAGAAACGTGAAGTTGTTTTATAACAAAATATTTCGAAACTGCCTGACCGCTAATCCTCAATTCTGGTTGGTCAATGAGTCACGTGAAGTAGACGCTGAAAAAAATCGGCATTTTCAAATTCTTCAAATGCCAAAAATTTGTTCTGCGTCATATTTTTCATTTTTTCATGTGTGAAGTTGATCTTTATATCAAAACATATCTGAATTGCCTAATTGTTGATCATGAGAAAAAAAAACATAGTATTTCTAAATTTTTTTAACTCACAAATTATTCTTCACTTCCCAAATAATTCGAGAAAAATCTGTGATTTACGGTTATCTGGAAAACTGTGAAATTTTCCGAAGAATTCAAGAAATTTTTTCAGTTTTCTAGGAAATCAATTCATAACCCTCCCCTGATTTTTCAACAATTACAGATTTTAATCAGATTATTTTAAAAAGTAAAAAAAAATAATTAATCGAAGATTAAAAATTATTCATTGATGATTCACTCTTCATTCTCTTTAAGTCATTATCAATATTTGTAAAACATCTATGAGTATATGAAGTTTAATAAATTCGATTTCTTCATTTTCACAACACAAAGATGAGCGCGCGCGAAAGCGCGCGCACAGATCTAGTCTCCTATATTTTTTGATTTTTTCGAACTTTTTGTTCGAAATACTCGATATGATCTCCCGCAAAATCAATCGGATGGGATTTGGATTTGCTCATCTCCTTATAGGAGAAAATAAACGAATAGTGTCGTAAAATTGAGATAATGTGATGACTTTTTCATACCTTTCATACTTTTTCATACCTAAAAAAACGTATAAAAAAAATTGAAAAAAATTTTCGTCAAATATTCATGGGACTTGAAGAAAGTGGTGAGACCACCCTTAACACATTACGCATTTTCCACCCTCCAGAAAAACGGAAGTAAAAATAAAATCCAACAAACTTTGGGGCATACAAGGATTCATATGGGACCAATGAGGGTGGAAATTTAGTTCCAGCCGACCTATTGGGACCCCGTCACGCGCCAGAGCAAAAGATCTTCGATATTTAGGGCTAACGCAGACTCACTCATTGATACAAATACCCAAATTCGGGAATCTTCATGCGAAATATTGAGTTACTATGGGTCCACGCCCATAGGACGGATCCCCTTTGGCGTCCAATCAAGGATATATATAAGGGAGGCTCCTGGACGCCCGAAGTCAGTCATCTACAATCTTAGACTCGGCTACGTCACGGACAGTGACTATTCTTAATCTACATACGTCGATCGTACTAATTTTTTGAGTCATTCAGTACTCATATTCGTATCCAGTCACTGCTAATTACGAAACTCATCTGCACTAATTTCGTTGAATTCGTAAAATCACGATCTTGAACGCGGTATTCGTCACGGAGTTGTTGTCAAACCGTTCAAGGGGACACCCGGGGTCATTCTTTCGTAAAAATCCAGGTAGTCGAACCCCCGTTCTACACGTTTTCACCGGACAAGTGAAAACTCGTACTAAAGCACCGCATCAAGTCACGCGTTTGAAGTGTTAAAACATTAGTCAGTGACCTCACCGCTCTTCGGGGCCAAATCGTTATTGAGAGGTAGTCATCATCACTGCTGGATAAAAAGATTTTTGTCAAAAAGAGTCTCCAGAGTCCAGCGTCATCGTGACTGAGTGATCACACCCGCCCCAATTTTATTTAATCAACGACTGTAAGTTCAATGTCAATTCGCTATCCATTAATTTTTCTATTCTTTCTATTAGTTTCATTCATCCTCCAAATTTTTCCTTGTGACCCTCGTGACGGGTTTATTTTGAGATTATTGTAATCAGACTCGTATTATTATTAATAAATACATTTCTTCCATGGGATGAGAGCGGTTTCCATCTCTTTTTACGCGATTATCATCTCAGGCTCCCGCGTAATCCACCACAGGGCACATTAGTGTTTTGAACTGAGAAAAAAAATTACTTTTTCCAAGGAAGCATTTTCTTTGAAGAAGAATTTATTTTTCTAGAAGCGCATTTCTCCAGGCTAATCATTTCCAGGTGGTCCAAGTCCATCTTCAAACACGTATGAAAAAATCCTATGGAGAATTCGAACATTTCCTATTAGATTTTTCTGGTGGTATTTCCTATAGGATTTCCTACAGAATTCACTATAGGGTTTTCTACAGAAAGTAATACACAAAATTGGGACTCGACAACAATCGGTCCCAAGGGTCATTAGGGTCATAAATCTGATGGGAAATTCTATAGGGAATCCTATCGGAAATCCTGTGGGAAATCCGATAGGAAATCCCGTGGGAAAAATCCTATAGGAAATGTTCAAATTCTCTATAGGATATCCTATAGGAAATCCTATAAAATTTTTTCATACGTGAATATTACAATTCATATTGAATTACGAGATGATTATGCTGCATGTGACTTTGAATGAACACCCTTCATTATTTTCCAATTTCTTCAAATTTGAGATTTTCTTAGATGAAATATCTAAGTAAAGAGTAAGCAAATTAGTAAAGCTAATTTGCCAACGCTTTTTGAAAATAGCTTTGTCTTTTGAAAAACTTTGGCGTCAGGTTTTTCTTCATTTCTGAAGAGAATATCGATCTTCAATGCATATTGTTAGAACAATCAACATTTCAATTAATTACGGATAATTCATAATGATCGTGCAAAACAATCGAAATTCAGAATTAAGGTTTTGTCACTTTTATTTAAACAGTCTCCAGTAATAATATGAGAACTCATTAGATGAGTCAATATAATATATTTCGAGAGGTAATTATAAAAGTTGAAATTATAATCTAGTAAAGCTAATGCTGGGAAGGGAGAAAATTTGCTGTCAAAATTGTGTTGAACAGTCTTTGAAGGGAGAAAAACTTTGTTGTCAAAATTTTAACCGCACTTTTTCTCTCTTCAAAGATTCATTAATAAAAGCTTCATTTCAATTTTTTTTTAAATTTAATAAAAGTCGTAAAAATTGTTGTCAAGTTTTTTCAAAGAAATCTCAATCTTCAATAGATATTGTTCGAAAAAATAAATTTGATGGAACATAGAATAAATTGATAAAAATGTTGACAACAAAGTTTTTCTCTCTTCCAGAAGGAAATATCAATTTTCAATAGATATCGGTCGATAAAATAAAATGAATAAAACGGATAAATCAATAACGTTGAAGACAAGTATCATATCATTTTGGAACTTGATAGCATATGAATAAGGTTAACTCTATGATGAATGAAGTAGACAAAATAAACAAATAATGATTCTTAAATCATCTCGTTAGATAAAAACTGAATACAAAAACTATAAACTACCAATATTTAACCAGTTATGGATAATAGCTCATAATTATCATGCAAAAAATGGGAATTTAGAATCAAGGTTTCGTCATTTCGATTTGAACTTCTCCAATAGGTATGTGTGACTGCTCATCGAATTCGTAAATAAAATATCTTTTAATAAGTAATCATAAAAGTTGAAACTAGCATCTAGTGGAGCTAATATTTGCCAACGATGTTTAGAAATAGCTGTCTTTTGAAAAATTTTGTTGTCAAGTTTTTCTTCCTTCCTGAAGGGAATATCAGTCTTCAATACATATGGTTCGACAAAATAATATCAATAAAGCTGAAGACAAGTATTATATCATTCTGTAACTGGATAGAATATGAATAAAGTAAACTCGATGACGAATAAAGTAATAAAAATAAAGAAATAATGATTCTTAAATCATCACGTTAATATTAGGTAATCATGGAAGTTGACATTAAGATCTAGTAAAGCTAACTTTGCCAATAATTTTTCGAACTGGCTTTGTCTTTCCAGAAGCTTTATTGTGAAGTTTTCTCACAGAAATATCAATCTTCAATAGATATCGTTTGATCAAATAAAATTAATGAAACATAGAATCAATTAATAAAATCGAAAACTATTATATTATTCTGAAACTCGATGAAATATGAATAGTCTCCCGAGATTCCGGAATTAGAACAAAGAATATTAGGATGAAATTAAAATATGAAAAATTACAGAAGAAAAATCGCCAGGGACAATAGGATAAGAGGATGAGACACCAGCTACATCCGTAAAATTGGAAGCAAAAAATCCAATCATTGTTTTTAAAGAACTTTAACATTCCAATATTCACATTGATCACAAAACCGATAGTTCTGTTTCCTCTACCGCTGTGAATGACAACCCTATGAGGATTTTACCAATTTTGTTTACATCCATGACAAATATGAGTAAAAATTATTTTCATTCTGTTACATTGAAGTCACGAAGCTAATGAATCAACAACGATCCTCAATGATTCTGTATGGATCTCAGAATCGAATGATTGTTTTTAAAAAACGTCGAGATCTCTCGTAAGTAAGAAAATCCCCAATTAAAAAGTCATGTTAATTGTTCTCAAAATTCCCAACTCAGATAATAATTTCATAATTCGGTAGTGCAGTGATAAAATGGTACAAGTCAATTTTGACTATTGACCAGTTTTTAATGAATATCTCGGAGTCTAAGGGAGATAGCAAAATTTTCGATATAACCTTTTTTGTTGAGCCGATTAAGAGCTACAACAAATGTGATTACAAAAATTTCGCTATCTCCCTTAGATTCGGAAATATTCCTCAAAAACTCAACCGGGAGATAATTCGACTTAAACCGTTTTACCACTTCGCTGCTGAATTAATGATTGGATAGAAAGGATCAACCTCTCACGTACGGGGTCGATGCATGGTATGGACCCATGCGAATGTGAACGCTTGTTTTCAAAATTGGTTATTTCTAAATCTATGAAGAATAACTTGATCAAACAGACAAAATTGAAAATCGGAGTACTGTAGCTTCAATTAGATACATATTAGATAGAAATAATGGAATTCGAGTCGTATTGAGCACACACTACGCCTCGTAACATAAGGGCCCCGTCCGTGACAGGTTAACAGTATCTAGATTATACCATATTGTCAACTCAAATGATGACCAATCGGAGTAATACCATATTAATCAAAACCAACAATATAATAAAAATCATCATCATATCTCAAGCTCTGGTTGTACGAGTTCAAACGATTCTTGTACTTGTGAATCATAGCGCCAACAATCTGTCGAGAATTAATGATGTCGTCAGCTGAGATGTTGATCTGTGGATGACAGATCAATTTCTCCAGCATAATGACGTCTTCAAGAGCGTTATGAGCCCCCTTAGAGCTTCCGAAAAATTCCTTTGCGAGTTCACTCAATTTGTAGCCCTTACCCGTGGGGCGTTCATTGGGCAGACTCTTCCTCATGAGTGGTAGAGAGTCAGAGAATCCAATGACAATCCGCTTGAATCTCTGAAGCATGTCCAGTTGATCAACTAATCCAGCCAATGTCGGTCCATCGGAATTGAAGCAATTGTGGGAAATCAGAACGACCTTGCCACCAACTGACTCCAGAAAACTGATGAACGCCGATACAGCAATAGCTGGAGACACTCCATCCACTGGATTTCCGTTGTAATACATCTGCTTATTGATCATCGATATTCCAGTCATATTTGTTATTGCTTTGGGAATTGGCTGTTCGGGTATGACGTATTGATTGTGGGACGCGTCGCCACATTTTGCGGCAATCTGAGTTATCTCATCGGTGACACTTAGCCCAGTCGCTTCGAGATCAAAGAATACGATGGAGAAGTCAGGTTGACTATAGGATTTCATAGCCATTTTTGATGAATTCTCGTTCTGATTCCACATGCAAAAATGAGATAAGATGGAGAGTTAGGACCAGTTTTTGGTTTAGCTAACCACGGTTAGACCTCGGTTACAGTTAAGTCAACTCCTGGTTAACATCCCCGATTGCTCGGGTTCAGTGGTGGGAGATATTAACTCAACTTTAACCACGGGTCAACCCTGGTTAACTTGAACCAAAAACCGGCCTTCGAGGTATTTATGGCGCGGTGGGCATGTAAAAGGTGAGACGGAGGGGAATCTATTGTCTTCTCGCAGAAAACCCATCGCTGAAGAAAAAAAACGATATTTCAATTACAAATTTTCAATCTTTTCGACCATTCGTGTGTTCTAAATATTTTTTTTAATAACTTTTCAATTTTTTTCCAAATATTTCAAGCCTTTTTTTATTTTTCTAGCTTGTCTTTTGGATAATTGGAAAAAAATTAATATGGATAGAAAAAGTGACAACGTCGTGCCGTTCGAGGTACAAGTTGGTTCAGCTGTTATTAGGGATGGGCGATGTTTTTAAAAACACCGATTGTCGAAGTGTCGGTGTTTTTTAAATACATCGATGTTGTGAATCGATTTTTCTACAAAAAATATCGATTATTTACAAAATCGCTATTTTTTCTCATTGCGCAGAAAAAATAAAATTTGTTAAAATAATTTTTTTTATCTTGTTTTTATTGAAAATATGTATTGAAAATTACAACCTGAGGAATTTGCGTTTCAATGATAAGTACTTTTGGAGAGTGGAATTTTGAATCTCGAAACAGGGTTGTTGATTAATTGAAAAAAATATATTCAATATTTTCCATGGCTGGACGTTAGCTACAACATTTGTTGATTGTTATATATATTATTTGTAATAATGGTTGTAGCCGATAGACTAACTTAAAAAAACAATAGCCAAACAATAGCGTTCAATAGCCGATTGAATGTGTCTACTTTCCATTTATAACATGCATACTGTAGTAAATGATTGTTTCTGGTTGCGAATAAATTTTTTTTTTATTCTCAATCAATCAACATTACTGTTCGACAAAAAAATGAAAATTTTTTTTTTGACACTGCTGCTACGTTCACCTCGTGTCGAAAAGTGCCTTTTCGTTTACTAGTAAACGAAAAAAGGCACAGTTCGCCACTCGCTGAACGTAACATCACTGTCAAAAACTATTGTTCGACACATGTGAGACAGGAATTTTCAGCTCGTGTGATTGGCAGTTCACACTCGTGAAAATTCTGTCTCACTCGTATCGAAATATACTATTTTGTCATTCCGGTCGTAAGGCAGCGTTTCACGGACGCTCCGCTTCGCTGCGCGTCCGTGAATCTCTGCCTACGGCCGTCATGACAAAAAATATTGTTCGTCATACGGTCAAAAAACACTTTTCTGACGAATATGATTGCAGCCCTCGCCTTCGGCTCGTGCTGCAAACCTCATATTCGCCAGAAAATTTTTTTTCGGCCTAATGACCAAATATACTATTAGTTTGATCAAAAACTTCGATGTTTGGAAAAAAAAAAATCGAAAATCGATTAATTGATCGTTGAAAACATCGATGTATGGGTATGAAAAATCGATCTTTTAGATTAATCGACAAACAACACCCATCCCTAGATGTTATTCTCTTTCCCATAGCGAAATGTATCATCACAACTCCATTCCGTATTTGCCGTGCTTGTCCCTCTACGATTTCTAACCTCGACGTCGTCGCTATTCCAAGTTGCGTGCGCAGAATATTATTTTTCTGTACTGCTTCTCACGATTTCTCGTCTGGGAATTGGTATTACATACTTCCCAAACTCGAAAACTTGAAAATCACTACAGAAAAATATTGTTCCTGGGCTGTTGCGATGGGGTTTTTTTACTCGTGTGGTTGGCCAGTCCTCGCCTACGGCTCGGAGGCCAACGCCACACGAGTAAAAAACCCCATCGCAACAGGCCGGAAAAATACTATTTCATGTTTTTTAATTCAGTACCGATCTGGTCAAACGGTTCAAGTTGATTTTGGCTGTTGGCCAGTTTTCAATGAATATCTCGAAATCTAGGGGAGATCGCAAAATTTTTCTCATGACCTTCTTAGTAGCACTCAATTCGCTCTACAAAAAAGGTTATTATGGAAATTTCGCCAACTCCCTTCAATTCGGAAATATTTCTGGAAAACTCAACTAGAGACGAAATTAACTTAAACCGTTTGACCACTGCGCTACTGAATTATGCCTTCTAAACGATTCTCCTAGGGCACTAGAATTTTTTTATGTTCCTCCATTAAAGCTTTACCCAAGTGCGAAATTTTAGGAAAATGATTTCTTTCTATTTTTTATTTTTTTTCCAATTACAGTAAGAGTTCGTGTTAAAGTGCATTTTTTAGAAAAATTCCTGTTTCAACCATTCTTCTGGGCTATCTAGGGGAGGGTGAACTAAAATGGACACTTTAGACTTTTTTTAAATTACTCATAACTCAGAAACAAATTTATCAATGGAGCTCAGTTTAGGCTCGGCACAAAGGGAAAGAGTTGTTCTTTGTATTGAAAAAAAAATTATTGAATTTCGTCACCATTTCAACCTGTCATTAACATTTTTAACAGTCATGTGTCCATTTTACCCCAACCTCCCCGGTAAATTGCATAGGGGGTTTATAGGGGTTTTCCAAAATCAAAGAATGTATAAAAAAAATTATCGATTTCTTGACTTTTTTCGACCTCCCCTGACTACACCATAAATAGGGGAGGTTGGGGTAAAACGGACATTTAACTTTTTTTCAAAATGTTAATGAGAGGTTGAAATGTTGAAAAAATTTAATCATTTTTCTTTTCAATACAAAGAACAACTCTTTCCCTTTGTGCCGAGCTTAAACTGAGCTCAATTGATAAATTTGTTTCTGAGTTATCAATAATTTTAAAAAAGTCTAGTGTCCATTTTACCCCACCCTCCCCTACCTTAATGTTTCAGGGGAGAAAACGAATACCTCAAATATCATACGTAAACAAAAATTACCCAATCCTTTTTCGGAGGTCCTATTTCGTTCTAATGATCCTCGAGTTCAGGTTTATTATCACGTATACTTCAAACAGTTTGAGTCGTATAAAGAGCGCAGTCCTCAGAAAATAAATGAATGTACATACGACGCAATTCGCCTAGTGATTGAGATCACCCAGAATCAAGATCAACCTAGACTCGAACCTTCACGCACCATCACCCTTCACTTAAAAATTACGTCACCAGAGGGCTACGACAATTCCAAAATCACACCCCACTTTCTCTTCCTTTTCTCGAGTATATTTTGAGGTGCGCGGGTGCGCCGACCTGTCACTGTTGATTTACCAATTCCAACAATCAATACCCTCGATCCATCAAAAACTCACGGTAAAAATAATAATCATCAACTCCTTTTTATCACTTTTAATTTGGAGCATTGAAACCTTTTGGTTTATTTATTGTTGCATTATACTAAAGATGAAAGAAACGTGAAGTTATTTTATATCGAAATATCTCGAACTGCCTGACCGCTAATCCTCAATTCTGATTGGTCAATGAGTCACGTGAAGTAGTCGCTGAAAAAAATCCCCGGTATTTTCAAATTCTTCAAATGCCAAAAAAATTTTCTGCGTCATATTTTTCATTTTTTTATGTGTGAAGTTTATCTTTATAGTATAGCAAAACATATCAAAATTGCCTAATTGTTGATCATGAGAAAAAAAAACAGTTTTTCTAAATTTTTTTCACTCACAAATAATTCCTCACTTCCCAAATTTTAATTTTTTCATATTTATCATTCGCAAAAATGATCAATACTTGCTTCTCAGATTTTCATACATAAATTCTAAACTCTACAAAATTCATAAAAGNTTTCTGCGTCATATTTTTCATTTTTTTATGTGTGAAGTTTATCTTTATAGTATAGCAAAACATATCAAAATTGCCTAATTGTTGATCATGAGAAAAAAAAACAGTTTTTCTAAATTTTTTTCACTCACAAATAATTCCTCACTTCCCAAATTTTAATTTTTTCATATTTATCATTCGCAAAAATGATCAATACTTGCTTCTCAGATTTTCATACATAAATTCTAAACTCTACAAAATTCATAAAAGTTCTTCGGTTTCCCAAGTAATTCGAGAAAAATCTTTGAAGATCTACGATTATCTGGAAAAGTGTGAAATTTTCCGAAGAATTCAAGAAATTTTTTCAGTTTTCTAGGAAATCAATTCATAACCCTCCCCTCATTTTTCAACAATTACAGATTTTAATCAGATTATTTTAAAAAGTAAAAAAAAAGAATTAATCGAAGAATAAAAATTATTTATTGATGTTTCACTCTTCATTCTCTTAAAGTCATTATCTATATTTATAAAACATCTATGAGTATATGAAGTTTAATAAATTCGATTTCTTCATTTTCACAACAAAAAGATGAGCGCGCGCACAGATCTAGTTGCATTAAAAAGAGGGTAGCAATAAGATATATTAGGGGAAGGTGAGGTAAAATGGGCGTTCTTAAATTTCCAGAATCCCCTGACACCGCACAAAAAGATTGAGACAAATCAGATCTCAATTTGAAGTCTAAAAATCCATTCAAAGTGAAAAAAAATTGGATTTCAAAACGGCTCGTTTCACCCCATTTCCCCCTACGTGTTGTTGCGTTCTTACATTAGATTCCTAAATATTTAACGTTGCTCTACCCTCAAGAGGTCATTTTTCAATTAAAAGATTTTTAAAATTACAAACAACCAAAAACTCTATGAGGTTTGGAATCGTAGTTTTTTTCACCATTTAATTTCCGTTTTCGTTTTTATAAATAAATATGTTTAAAAACCATTATTTAACCCAGGATTTTACGTGAAAATCCCCAAATGATGCATATCCCCGGTCAAATAAACGATTAAAATCTGATTTTTTAATTAAAAATGCAAAAAAAATTTAAAATATTGGCACTTGTTTAATCAAGAGTTATCGTTTTTTTTTTATTATTATTAATAATATCCGTCCAAAATCGCAGACGACTGGGACCAAATCACGGCAAAATATCACATATCAAAATATCACCGGCAAAAAATCATGCCTCAAAATATCACGAAACAAAATATCACCGGTAAAAAATATCACAAATCAAAATATCACACACAAAAAATATCACAAACCAAAATGATCATAAACAAACAAAAAAAAAAACAAATTACGAGTGTACATGAAGAAAAACTTTATTGATACACCGCAATTATTCGTGACCTCAAAACATGTGGGAAAAACCCAGCAGTGTTTACATACCGAAAATGGAATTTAATAGCCGTATTGTGGTAATGAATTATCGGAGAAAGAAAGAATTACACGGCCGTGTTCACACANAAAAAAAACACAAATTACGAGTGTACATGAAGAAAAACTTTATTGATACACCGCAATTATTCGTGACCTCAAAACATGTGGGAAAAACCCAGCAGTGTTTACATACCGAAAATGGAATTTAATAGCCGTATTGTGGTAATGAATTATCGGAGAAAGAAAGAATTACACGGCCGTGTTCACACACGCGACGAAAAATCAAGAAAAACTATCGAAATATCATTGAATATATTGAAAATTAAAAAAATTAATTAATATTATTGAAAATTAAAAAATTACATGATATGATATGATATTTTAAAAAGTGATATTTATCACAAATGATATTTTCATATTATGATATTTATCCATGTGATATTTTTTCATGTGATATTTTGCGGTGTGATATTTTGAGACTGATATTTTGCCGTGATGCCGGGAGGCGGGGGAGGGTTACTAAAAAGTCGAAAAAACGTCTGACGTAACATTTGAATGGCCCCTTGGACTCTCAAACTCTCAAAAAATTCCTAAATTGAATTTTCCACTGGCGAAAATTCCCCTATTTTCAGCCTCACTCCCTTCAACCCTCAAATATCACATCACCACCTCAACAAAACCCCAAAATTTCTGTTCAGCTCCCACCGAAAGATGAATCCCCAGTTGTTCGTGGGTAGCCCCACGGGAATCCGCTTCACCTGGACAATCGACAAATACAGTCACCACTACCTGGTCACAGGCGAGAAGCTGAAATCCTCGATCTTCCACTCAGGCGAAGACCACAAGGACCAGTGGCGCCTGGAGATGTACCCAAAGGGCCAGCGCCAGTCCACGAAGAACAATGTCTCAATCTACCTGAGACTCCTCCGCACCCGCAAACCCGAGATAAAGGCCAACGTGAAGTTTGAGATCCTCAAGCCAGGGTTCAACTGCGAGCCCGTCCACAGCAGCACCCAGACCATCAGAGACCTGAAGTGGAGCCAGGGGGAGAGACAGGGGATCAGCGAGTTTGTGGACAGCAGTGAGCTCGAGGCGTACGTCAAAAACGACACTCTGCAGTTGTTCTGTGCCATTGACTTCGCAGCAGACAGCAAAGAAGCTGCCAAGAGGCCTGCGAGGCTCTCTCAGGAGTTTGGGACAGTCAATCATCGATTGACTGACGACCTGTGGCTCCTCTTCAGCAACAGAACTTACTCAGACACGATAATTACTGTTGGCAATCACCAGTTCTACGTACACAGTCTCATCCTGAAGATCAGAAGTCCTGCTCTGGGGGCCAAACTCCCTGACAGGAAGAGGGAGACTGGCCATTACGACGAGATTCTCCTTGATAAAACGAAACCTGAAATCGTGCAGAAGATGCTGCATTTTATGTACACTGACAGGATCGAGAATTTCGAGGGAATGATGGAGGAACTGCTGGAGGCTGCTGACAGGTACGAGATGCAGGCTTTGAAGACACTTTGTGTCAAGCATCTGTGTGGAGAAGTCAATGTGCAGAATGCTGCTGATATTCTCATCATGGGGGAAAAGTACAACGCGAAGACTTTGATGAATTATTGCGCCAGGTTCATCAATCTGCATTTACCTGAGGTCATCGAGACTCAGGGGTTCAAGAGCATTGAGGAGAATTATCCTGAGCTGGGGTGCTTTCTCATTCGCAGGCTCTCGGAGGAGATGGTTGTTCAACACTGAGGGGTCTTCGGTGAGGAAGATTTGTCGGTCTCTTTGGGGAGGACTTTGGTGTGGGGATGATTGAGGGCTCAACGTGGTACGTTGGAGAATGGTGTATGATTACATTCATCGGGAATCTGTATAGAATGTTTATGATCATAGTTAGAATATTTATGAATTTTTGTAGAATTTTCTTAATTTTTCTGCTCAAGTTAGTAAACTTTTTGGAAGAACTTGAACTCGCAGATAATTATCTTTTGGATTTTTTAAGGCCCGGGTTGATTATCTTTCGAACATGATCTCGGTTATTTTATTTTGATAATCTGAAATGATCTCCAATTGCTATTCAGTTTTACATAGCCCTGGAGTCTCCGAAAATTATGATTGTACAATCAAAACAACGTTGAAAAAAAGCTGAACATTTTCAAAGAGCGTTTTTGTATAGTATTGGGAAATAAACCCAATAGGGAGGAAATTGGAAATTAATCGTTTAATGTATCTAATGGCTGTTCGGTCGTCATTTTTCACAGTAGCCAATGGCTGTCAGATCGTTAGTTACCATGATGAATTATCCATTCGCTATTTCCTCGCTATCGGACTTATTTTTTAATCTTTATTTAAAAAAAAACACTTGTTGAAAATGTTCTTTTTTTAATACTTTTTTTGATTGTACAATCATCATTTTTAGTGACTCTTGCGTGATGTAAAATCCAATGGAAATTGTGATATATTTTACACTATGAAGATGGAAGAAAATTGAGATAACGTTCGAAAGATAATCCACCCGAGCCTTAAGTTATGAAACTTCTTGGAAGAACTTGAAGGCTTGGGTAAATATCTTTGGATTTTTTAAATTGAATTTATAATTATGGACATAGATCAGTATTTAACAGAATAAGGTAATGTAGTTATTCTGTTACATTTTACAATCTTAGTATTAAACTGATCAATATTGAATTGATCATAGACTGCCGGTGTCTTCTGTACTTCAGAGATTACAAAAAATAATAATATTGGAATTAGGATAGGATAAAATACAAAGAGAAATGAAAGAAAAATTGTTAGAGGTAATAGAATGAATTGAACAGTTGCTAGCTCCATCGACTGATGATCTATCGTATCTATGAGCGCGACAATTATTGCAGAACTGACAGCAAAGAATCCAATTCAGTGGCGAACCGGTTTTTGAAGAATATCTCCGAATCTGAGAAAGATAGCGAAATTTTTGTAATGACCTTTTTTGTTGAACAAATTAAGGGCTATAAAAAAGATAGTAACAAAAATTTTGCTATCTGCCTTAGATTCCGAGATATTTAATGAAACTGACCAATAGTCAAAATCGACTTGAACCATTTTGCCACTTCGCTACTGAATCATTGTTCCTGAAGAACTTTAACATTCCAATGTTTATATTTACATTAAAAAAACAGGTAGTTCTGTTTGCTGTCATATTTTGTCGTAATTTAATACAAATATTTTTTGGTCAGTCAGAACAGATTAGAACAATTCTAATGAAAAATGTTTTCTCACATTTTTGTATAAAATTAGTAGTTATGGAGGTAATTACGAATTCCAAAAACTGAAAAATAGATTCGTCTGATCTAATTTTCTGGTCTTTAGAGGATTTATTTAGAAAATTAATAGCTTTATTCTAGGAGAAATTGCGAGGAATTTTTTTTTTGCGAATGGATAAATTTTCTTCGAAGAATATCTTTTAGATTTTTTAGTCGAATGTATAATTATCCAGCTAGATCAGTATTTAACAAAATGAAGGAATGTACTTATTCTGTTATATTTTACAACTTTAGTATTAAATTGATCTGGGACTGCTAGTATCACCTGTAACTTAGAGATAAGAATAAATAATATTTAAATTAGGATAGAATAAAACAAAATGGATTGATAGTATCTATGAGTGTGACAATTATTGTCAAATGAAAGTAAATAATTCAATCATTGTTCTTAAAGAACTTTAACATTCGAATGTTTATATTTGCAGCAAAAAAACAGATAACTCTGTTTGCCCTGTCATATTATTGTAAGCGACGAGTCTATGAAGATTTTCATTCTTTTGTTTTTGCCCGTGACAAATATGAATTAAGAGTTTTTTTAGTTATATTGAAGTTGTGAAGATAATGAAACCAATAACGATCATCATAGATTCTATAAGGATCTTAGAATCGAGTGATTTTATAAAAACAACGTCAAGAGACATGTTTTGCAACTGAATAAATTTCCACAATAAAATCGGTGGTAATTGTTTCTAAAATTCCTCAGTCTTCAGATAATTTCATAATTAATCATGTAATAAACAGGATTAACAGGATGTGGATTATCATGTTACGTTTGACAACTTCAATACAAGTATTTTTGCTCAATTAGAGGAGATTAGAAAAATTCAAGTGGAAAATTTCTTTTTCATATTTTTTGTACAAAATTACTAGTAGAGTTTGTAGAGTTTTATTCGCCGTCGAATCCGTAGATGGCACGGCCCCGACGTTTGAGGGCGTACACCACGTCCGGAGCAGTGACCGTCTTCCTCTTGGCGTGCTCCGTGTATATCACTGCATCGGCGATGACCGTTTGCAGGAATGCCCTGAGTACCTCCCTTATGAGTTCGTAAACTCCCCCTGAAATTCTCTTTACCCCCCCTCTTCGTGCCAAACGACGAATTGAGGGTTTACTCAGCCAACCGCGGGGTGTTTGCCTCACGCGTTTTACCCCCGAGCGTGCAGACCCTGCATACTGAATTGCCATTATCTATAATAAATCGATAATTTTTTACTTTACTTTTAGTTTTTTTAACAAAAACAAATTAACAAAAAAACAAATTAACACAAAAAAACTGTCGAATTGAACTTTTAAAGTTTATCACTTTGTCATTAATATCTATCAAAAGTAATTAAAATCGAGACTGAATTGAATGAGAACGAACCATTCATCACTGGAGTGTTGTTTTAGAAGAAATTAATGATCTAAGCCACTCAAATTACCAAAACAAAAATCATAACACCGAAAATTTTTTAAAATAAAAACCGTCGAGAGACGTTTCTTGGAACTGATTCCCAATAAAAAGTTAATGTTAATTTCTCCTAAAATTGCACAATCTCGAGATAATTTCCTTAAAAAATATGTTGTATTCAATTTGTTAAAGTTTATCACTTTGTTATTAATATTTATAAAAAATAATTAGGGAAGAGTGGGGTAAAACGGCCCCTTTTGATTTTTTCAAAAATGTTAACAGCTCATTAAATTTTAAATAAAATGGATTTTTTTTTCCATGGAAACTACACTTCTTTCCCTTTAGAACGAACCTAGACTGATCTCAATTAATGAATTTGTTTGAGTTATAAGTATTACAAAAAAAAGTCAAAAGGGGCTGTTTTATCAGTCTCCCTTATGTAAAACCTAGACTGAATTGCCTTGACGGTTTACGCTCCGATTACGACGATCCACCTCCCCCCTCACAAATTACCAATGAGAACGAGCGATTTATCACCGGATTGTTGTTTTTTTCTATGTCAACCAGCAAAAAACCCTTGTTATGATTTTTTCCCTCAACTCTCACATTCCATTTCTCAAAACCAACACCTCACTTAATACCCAAATTTAATTCACCAAAAATACGTTCACGCATTGATTAATTGAAATTAATCACCCTGAAAAACATTGAATTGAATCCAAAAATAATGTTGACATTCACCAAATAAAGAAAAAACCCTGTCACTTTGTAATTTCTCCAATTAGGAGTAACTAATTAATTAAGCCGCTCAAATAACCGGAATAAAACTCAAAACATCGAAAATTTTCTAGAAGGAAAATGTCGAGAGGCGTCTCTTGGAACTGAACAGATTCCCAATGAAAAGTTAATGTTAATTTTTTCTAAAATTGCGCAATCTCGCGGGATAATTTCCTTGAAAAATATGTTGTATTCAATTTGTGAAGGTTTATCACTTTGTTATTAATATTTATAAAAAATAATTAAGGGAGAGTGGGGTAAAACGGCCCCTTTTGATATTTCAAAAATGTTGACAGCTCATTAAATTTTAAATAAAATGGAATAATTTTTTTCCATGGAAACTACACTTCTTCCCCTTTAGAATGAGCCTAAACTGATCTCAATTAATGAATTTGTTTCTGAGTTATGAGTATACAAATAAAGTCAAAAGGGGCCGTTTTACCCCACTCTCCCTTATGTAAAATCTAGACTGAATAGCCTCGACTGTTTACGCTCCGATTACAACGATCCCCCTCCCCCCTCACAAAATATCAATGAGAACGAGCGATTCATCACCGGATTGTTTTTTTCGATGTCAACCAGCAAAAACCCTTGTTATGATTTTTTTCCCTCAACTCTCACATCCCATTCCTGACATAATCACCTCATCACTTCATACATTCCATTCCCTAAAAATACGTTCACGCGTTGATCAATTCAAATTAATTACCCACGTGCTAACAAGCCTCTCATCAAACCGTTCGAATCCAAACAAAAAATTCACTTGCATCTCCGCTCTGTCATCCGCCTCCAAAACTTTGACTTGAATCCAAAAATAAGGTCAACACTCACCAAATAAATTAATCAACCTCTTTACTTTCCTCCAATAAAAAAGATCCTCCAGCCACTCAAATACCTCAACCAAAACTCAAAAACACTTCAAATCTCCCGAGTGTCTCGTTTCTCGAGTGTTCCCTCTTCTCTGTTCTGTTGGTTCTGTCCTGCCGGCTTCTACCCCCACCCCCCGGATTCGCGGTCACGTGACTCATGTGTGCGAGGCCTGAAGATTTCAAGGCCACCGCGAGTCGCCAGCGATTCCGCGAGAGGGATAAAACACCGACCATTTCCATCAAAATCATGACACAAAGATCGCGAAATCCAAAAACATCTTGAAATTATTATAAAATGAATGTGCAAAATCAATTCGATTCCTCAATAATTAAGGGGAGACTACGATGAGTTTTAAAAGTCGCGGGCTATTTTATACATTGAAGATTTGAAATATTTTAAATATTTTAAGTCTGTCTATTTTACATGAATGCTGTAATTTTTTATGTTAAACAAAACGAAATTAGCTGTGTAAGAGTCGAATTAAAAAAAAAATTCGTAATTGTTATTGCACACATTTTTTCAAAAATTTTGAAAAAAAACCTCTGTAACTCAACAATTGGAAGCCCCAGGCTATTTTTAACATTTTAAGCGCCTGCGGGGCAAACGAACTATAAACAATTAATTTTTTTACACTAATTATTTATTTTTAGACATGTATAATTGATCTTCAATACATGAGAAATTGCACTCCAATAGTCTGCGAGTTTTAAATCTCATAGTGGACTCCCCTTAAAAAACAAAATTGAATAACTTAAACAAAAATTGAGCCTTCAATCCTATCTAAAAATAATCAAATAAAGGAGCCTTTGTGCTCCCGGGCCACGCGACTCATGTGTGCGAGGCTTGAAGATTTCAAGGCCACCGCGAGTCGGCAGCGGTTCCGCGAGAGGGATAAAAACACCGGCCATTCCAGAAAAATCGTGACACAAAGATCGTAAACCCAAAAACATCTCGAAATAACAATAAAACTAGTGTGCAAAATCAGTTCAATCCCTCGGTAAATTCCCCCAATAATTAAAATAATTAAAAACCAACATTGAGTGATCTAATCGAAAATTGAGGCTTCAATAATCAGATAAAAATGAACGGCCTGTCGACACCGATTCTCTACGACCTCCGAGGGCACGTGCAAATCGCCAACCTGGGTCTCTGCTCCCGTAAAAACATCGAGGAATCAATGCTGGACATTGCGACGATAATTACCTCCCACATGGTGTACCAGGAGGAGCCCTGGGCGAATGGTGCAGCTCACGTGGCGTATCACCTGGGCCAGGAGTTGGTGAACACTTGGCACAGGAATGGACCAGCCCAGTCAGCGAGTGTCTTCGAGTACGCTGACATCCTCAGTGGGTACTCCATCAAGGCGTTCGTCCCGCCGGAGCTGGCGAACGTCAGGGGAAATGTCGAGGGGAACTGGTCGTTCTTTCGTCAGGACAGCTCCATGGACTCAGACGCCTACACCAAGATCTATTACGACTTTCGTTACATCTTCTCCACTGCCGTTCACGAGGATCGACACATCTACGAGCAGCATCTCTACGAGGGGCATGACTTCTACATCGGGCAGAAGGTGAAGACGTCCATCAGGTCGATTCTCACGTCTGCCAACAACTCGAGGGCGTTCAATGCTGATGATGCCTGGATCGTGCTGGAGAGCGATAAATAGGGGGTTGAGGGGGCTGAAGGGTCTCTGGGAGGTGAGGTAAGATGGACCTTTAGATATTTTGATGAATGGGGGGATTCGGAGGGGTTTACATGGATGAAAAAATTCAATAGAGGATGGGTAAAATGGACACTAGATTTTTTTAAAATTATTCATGGGGGAAAATGGGGCAACATGAAACATGGGGTAAAGTGGAACAGTCGAAAATACAACTGTTTGACGCAATTCAAGCAGAAAAAAAATTTTTTATCCACTTTTTTTTTTATTAATTTGTGCCTATCAACTTTTTTTTTTATTATTGGGAGTACTGATTAGAATAGTAATTTTCAGTAGTTCAGTAAAATGGAAAATTATTGAGAAGTTTTGACGGGAGAAAATTTTGTCAGTGGATTAATTGAAAAGAAAATGAAACGGCAAAATCCAAAGTCCAGAGGAAGGTCCAGGGGGAGACCCAGATAAAGGAAAATGGAAAAAGGAAATGAGTGGGAAAAAGGGAAACGGCCTAAGCGAATCAATTGAATTATAAGATGAATAAAACATTATTATTCTCCTCAGTACTCCCAATAATAAACAAAAGTTGACAAAAAATTTGCTTTGCTTGAATTGCGTCAAATTGTCGTTTTTCAGCTGTTTCATTTTGCCCCTCCCTCCCCTAACTCAGAAACACATTTATCAATTGAGCTCAGAAGTGGTAAAACGGTACCAGTCAATTTCGTTTATTGACCAGTTTTCAATGAATATCTCAGAATCTAATGGAGATAGCAAAATTTTTGTTATAACCTTTTTTGTTGCTACAGACCTAAGATTGAGTGCTACAACAAATGTAATTACGAAAATTCTGCTATCTTCCTTAGTTTCGAAAATATTCCTCAAAAACTCAACTGGGTGATGAGTTGACTTAAACCGTTTTACCACTGCGCTACTGAATTGTTCTTTGCGTTGAAAAATATTATTCTATTTCATCTACATTTCAACCCGTCACTAAGCTTTAAAAAAAAGTCAAACGTGTCCATTTTACCCTACCCTTCCCTAGAAAAACTTAGCGAATTCGCTAGAAAATTCTGTTGGAATTCTCTAGAAATTCTATCGAGACCAGTTAAAATTCTAGAAAATTCTCATTGAAATTCTATCTGTTTTTGCGCTGATTCCATGAAATATTTGATAGGAAAAAGTCAATAGATTTTGATTTTTCTGTATGAGTACTCTCTTGGAATTTTTTCTATGAGAATACTTGGGCATGAATTTTCCTGGTTTTTTTACTCGGATCCTACAATGGAAAACAAAATAAAATGTAGCGCAAAAAACTTGAAAAATCCATGCCCAATAGTTTTAGTAGAAAAAATCTCAAGAGAAATACTTCAAACAGAAAAATCAAAATCTATTGACTTTTTCCTAACAAATATCTAATATAGTCTGCACAAAAAAAAAGAATTCCAACGAGAATTCCCTAGAATTTTAATCGAATCCCCATAGAATTTCCAGAGAATTTCAATAGAATTTTCTAGCAACTCCGCTAAGGTTTCCTATTAAATTTTTCAAGTAATGTTTTTTTAAAGTAATGAAAAAATTCAATGGACAAAGTTTTCGATTGACATTCCATGGAATTCCTGGGGGAGATCAATTAGGTTCTGGTGAAATTCTTGAAATGAAAAAGTTCTTGAAAAAAAAGACGGTCCATTCTACCCCACTGTTCCCTAGTTTCCAGAGGATTGAATCGTGAAGAAGAGTAAATGGGATTAATTATGAACAGAAGTGCTGCCGGTTCAAATGAGCTTTTTCTTCATCGTTAGAGAGGAATAGTTGAGATGAAATAGATGGAGAACAGATGCCTGCAGCATCCTGGTAGATTAAGATAATTATGTATCTTGAGTCCTTCGACTGATATTATCGCGAGTATTTAGGTTAAAGACAATTAACATGAAAAATTTTAGATGTGCTAGATTTGAAAAAATAGATACGCGTTGCCTAGAGATATCATTGACACCTCCTATTTCAATAATTTCGATTTCGATTTAGATTGTTTTTTTTTAACTTTGTTAATGATCGAGATATTATGGATATATTAATCCATATAAAATAATAATGTAGTTAAAAAAAACGAAATGTTACATGTATGACCATCGTTACAAGGAATAAAATAGAATAATCATAGTTCACGTTGTCAGTTATTAGAATTCTTCATTTCATGTTGAGAAAAATAATTTGAAGAATTACAATATTTATCTGCATAGAGACCACCTAGACTGTATTATTTCAATTAATGATAGTAATAGGGAAGAAATCGACAAAATAATATAAACAAGATGATAGAAAGTACTTTACCTGACGGAAATTAATTGTTTCTCTATCACGGAGAGATAAGAGGAATAATCGTACATTTCCATTTTGACGAGCATGAAAGAAGTAGACATGAGTTGCCTAGAAATTTTATTCACATATCTCATATCAATAATTTCATGTGGATTCGAACAGTAGTAATAGCCAGAGAATTTGCCTAGAATATTCATAATGTTTTCTCTTTTTTTTTAGTTCGTTAATTATCGAGATATTGTGGATGAATTTTTTCATATAAAAGACTAATGTAGTTGAAAGAAATGAAATGTCACATGTATTATCATCTTTACAAGGAATAAAATAGAATAATCATAGTTCACGTTGTCAGTTATTAGAATTCTTCATTTCATGTTGAGAAAAATAATTTGAAGAATTACAATATTTATCTGCATAGAGACCACGTAGACTGTATTATTTCAATTAATGATAGTAATAGGGAAGAAATCGACAAAATAATATAAACAAGATGATAGAAAGTACTTTACCTGACGGAAATTAATTGTTTCTCTATCACGGAGAGGTAAGAGGAATAATCGTACATTTCCATTTTGACGAGCATGAAAGAAGTAGAGATGAGTTGCCTAGACATTTTATTCACATATCTCATATCAATAATTTCATGTGGATTCGAACAGTAGTAATAGCCAGAGAATTTGCCTAGAATATTCGTAATGTTTTCTCTTTTTTTTATTTCGTTAATTATCGAGATATTGTGGATGAATTTTTTCATATAAAAAACTAATGTAGTTGAAAGAAATGAAATGTCTCATGTATTACCATCTTTACAAGGAATAAAATAGAATAATCATAGTTCACGTTGTCAAGTCATTAAAATTCCTCGTTTCATTGTGAGAAAAATCATAATTATGATTTTATAAAATCATAAAAAAATTATAATTTCACGTAGATTCGAACAGTAGTAACTATTCATTATGTTTTCTCTAATTTTTTTATTTCATCAATGATCAAGATTTTATGGTTGTATTATCCATATGACAGAATAATGTAGTTGAGAGAAAAGAAATACCACATCTATAATCATTATTCATAAAACAGAATGATCATAGTTCACATTGTCAAGTTATTAAAATTCCTCGTTTCATTTTGATGAAAATCATTTAAATAAATGTAATAGTTATCTGCATAGAGTACCATGTACATTGTGTTATCTCAATTGATGATGGTACTGGGGAAACAATCGATAAAAAACAACAAACGAAATGATAGAAAGTATTTCACCTCACTGAGAACAATGATTTCTATATCATGATGATGATGATGATGATGATATAAGAGGAATGATCGTAAATTTCCATTTTCGTGTGCTATTATCAATGATTCTGGATATTCGCCTTGAGTATGACATTGATTAATAATCCCCGATCAGTCAATTGCAAACATCTCATTCATGATAGGATTTTTTGAGTGCAGGTAATTACCAATATTCTATCTGATGGAACCGTAATGAGATAAGAAAATGATTGCGGATTGATCCGCAGATTTTTGAAAATTCATGAATAGTAGTATTTGGACATTTCTCGGGAAAGAGACACTCTGAGGATGATGAATACGGTGTCAAAGGTAAATCGATAGAGTGAGGAGTTATTGTTGGGTTCCATTTTGTGGGGAATTTTCTTTCATTGTTAATTTTGTGAGGGATTTTTTGTTTCATTCAGAAATATCCACAACTGAGTTTTGAAGATGGGATTTGGAAGGGTCCTACGAAAATATATCGGGATGATGATTTTCAAGTGGGGAAGAGGGTACTCCAAAGTCTGAAGGAGGCACCGAATTTTATTGCTCAAGTAGGTAGAAATTAATTGTGAATGTCTTATAAAGGATGAGTTTTTTATGGATCACTTATGAAAAAAATTAACAGAAAAGGCGATTTCTTTTCATGAGAAATTCTATTTAAGTTCCAGGCAAGATTCTGTTTTTTTCACCGACATTTTTCGATGGAATAAAGTGAATAGGTGTTGATTTTTCTAAATGAGTTATTTGGTTGATTTTTATAAGAATAGTTGACTATTAAAAAAAATCTTGCATTGAATATCATCATTGGTTTTCTCTAAGAAATTTCTCTCATTTTTTCCATGAATTTTGTAATGATGAACGAGGAAAAATATAGCAGAAAAACATGGAAAATTTATACCCAAGAATTTCAGGAAAAACTTTCAAGGGAATAATTCTTATAGAAAAATAACAATCTATTGACTTCTCAATTGAAATTGCACAAGTAAATAGATTCCATAGATTTTACATTGCTCTACAAAGACGTCAAAATCTCTCCTGGATTCAGAGGTTTTTTTCATTCCAAAAAATTAAAAAAAGTGAAACTGACGTGTAAACAGATGTTTATTGTAACACGTTTAATCGTGATTGATTTGCATCAATTAGCTTGATTATGTCACTGGAAAATTGGATACCTTCGGGGAGATGATGGACAGGAGCATCCGGTGTGCCCTGTGGCTGAGGGAAAAAGGGATTGGCTGCGGTGATGCTATCTCCGTTGCTGGTGATAATCACCAACACACGGTGATTCCTATTCTGGCCGGTCTCTATGTGGGCTGCATCGTGAACACTTATCCACATAATCGGCTAGATGAAGGTAATGATGAGACGCACGAAAAAATTCCATAGAAAAACCCAGTGAATTCGCTAGAACATTCTATTAACTTCTGTTGAACTTCTATTAGTTTTTCATTGATTTTCAATAACTGTTCAATAAAAAATGTTTTATAGAGAAAATTGACAGAATTTTATTGTTCTATAGAACTTGTGCTATTGATATTTTTTGAATAGAATTTTTGGAATAGAAAATTTGAATTAAATTAAATTTGATTTTTTTTAGGAAAACCTAGCCAATTTTCGTTAAAAACTTCTATGGGATTTCTGTTGAACTTTATGAGCTTTTGGCCGATTCTATTGGAAATTTCCGTAGCTTATCTACGGAAATTGTCTTGTTTTTTCAATGCAAACGTTCAATGGACAATATATAAAAAATCAATAGAATTCGATTTTTCGGTACAACTTCTTTTATTCGGATATTTTCTGTAGAGAATCCTTGGCTCAAATTTTCCATGTTACTTGCTTCTGAATGGAAGTTCTGTGATTCTATTCTACTAGAGCCTTAAGTATGTTTATCTGTTTTCCGAGATTTAAATTCTTTCATGTTCTGCAATTATTTTGATTGGGGAAACATGAAACCAACATTCATTATAGTATAGAGAAAAATCAGTTGCAGTAGCTTTGACGGAATGTAATAAATACTTTTTTTCTTATGTACGGGATATTATGGGATTTATTTCCCAATTGATAATTCATCTGCAGGAAGACGCTAAAAATAAAAATGAAAATAAAAATAAAAATAAATGTGAAAAAATGTACTAAATGTATTCAATGGCGAAGCAAAATCTTGAGGTACCCAGTCAAATAATGCAGATGTTCAAAACTTTGAATCCCATATAATGACGGCTGCATCCAGTGCATATTATCTATTTTATTTCTGTACAATCGACTCGAGTGGGTGAATTAAAATTTCTACCAACACAAGAAAGATAACTCTGTCTATCAGTTGAAAAAAATTTCTAAGTACTTGTGATTGTGTATCCACATTTAATTCTTAAACACTCCAGAAGCCCGAAAGATGTTGAAGATAAATAAATTATCGGTTGTATCACACCGATTAATTGCCCTCGATATCATCACTTTCATTACAAAATTAATATCTCATTTCGTAAGAGACCTCGAGCCAAAGATTGTTTTCGCAGATGCAGTACTGATTCCGCAGTTACCATGGGCCGTCTTACTCTTATCTGTACCCCATTCGGGCTAGGACTGCACGGGAAACCATGGAAAACCCTAGTCGTACAGCCGGCCGATTGTGCAGAGCCCTAATGTGCCCTTCTGTCACACTGACTAGAGGGGCCCATTAGGTCACTAGACAGTGCCTACCTTCCGATATTTTTGGGCAAAGGTGTTTCTAAGCGCTCACCCATCCAAGTACTAACCGCGCTAAACGCAGCTGCACTCGGATGTCCGCCGGAACAACACCTACCTTTTTTTTTGTTTAACCATGTTTTTATTCAAGAATAACAGTCAGTATTTACAATATTTACAAACCTTAAAAACTAGTATCAAAAAAAAGTTCTGAGAACATTATTTAATAGAGCGTATAAACATTTAGCCAGGAGAGGCTCTCGAGTTTATTTTATATCTAATTATTGTTTTAATTGTCTTAATGACATAATATTCCTCTTTGAGATTGATACGTTATTTATTGTAAACAATATCAATATTTAGTGCTTAAAAAAATGTTTTTGAATTGGAGCAACTCACCCAACCCTTACGGTCGGCATTACTATTATTATTATTATCTGTAATTGTATATAAAATAATTAAATAGTAATTGTTAATGGAACATAATCTGAATAAAAAAGTAAAAGGAGGATTTCCTTCTTTTATTATTTCGAACTTATTCAATGCTATCAATAATTCCTCTGAACTTTCCTCAATCCACTTTCACGATAATCAATACAAAATTAATCAATCGTGAAAAAGAACTCATTAATCACGATATAAAAGTCGGGGTCATCCTTGACATTCTGTTTTGTTAAACTCAAATGATGAAAAAATCAATGGGGGTACTAATGCATATGAAAATATCGGCTAGACATGTAGACATACTATACCTGCACTGCTCATTTCCCTCCAAGGCCACCGGATATTTAGTAATATTTCTTCTTCGATTGTTATGGCACGGACAAAATGCCCTGCGGCTTGATATGTTTCTTTTCTCTTTCTCTTTCTGTTAGAGCTACACTGAGAAAACAATTTTCTAATATCTGAAACATATTTTCTTGAGACAAGTAAATTTTCTTCAATTGCTTAATTCTCTCAGGCATCTCAACTCACATGACCCGAGAAAGGCCTCATGCTTTAAAATATTAAATCGCGTAGAAGAATCGTCAATCTTCTAGTTTTTATTGTTTTCATGATTTTTTCGTTATGCACTTCCAATATTGCAATATGTAAAATATTCATGACGTAACGCGGACCGATAGTGATGAATGAAAATTTATTCGAGTTCCGTGAAGTGCACACATTCTGTGATTTAAGCCATTGAAAATAATTTACTTCTCTCAAGAAAATATGTTTCAGATATTAGAAATTTTTTTTCTCAGTGTATTTGCACGGAAATGTCAAATTACACCAAGTATCCCGGTGGCTTGGCGCATTGGGTAATTTCGCTGTCTCACATGCGAAATTAAGGTTCCGAGTTCAAATTCCGGCCGGGTAGAATGGTGCGATCTAACCATTTAAAGTCTTGATCATCATCGCACTATACCTAGAGATGCAAATGCGTCACATGACCCGTCATATGACGGTCATGTGACCGTCATTGACGGTCTTACGCTTGTAAATTTACGATAATGTTATGTGCCGCATACAAAAAAAATCGTATTGTTCACCAAAATGCCTCAACTATTTTCTTATTGTAAATCGAACTTCAGATTTTTCTCTCAGTGTAGTAGTTAGGAGAGAATCTGTTATCGGCTTCTCGTAAGACTAGAGCGAAATGTAGCTACGGGAGGGTGCTGTTTGGGGTTGAACGGCATGAGTCCCGTACCCGTAACACGTGAACGAATTTTTTACTGCACATTTTTTACATTATCGCTGCGCTATCTATACGATGAAATCTCAGATGGCTTTGAAGTATAAATTACATGGAAAGCAGGATACTATATCCAATCTTTCAACTTTCCGAATCTCTATGGGAGGAAAACAATTAAATTATTTTCACATACTTTCGGTAATAGTAATATTAGCCAGAGAATTTGCCTAAACTATTCACAATATTTTCTCTCATTTTATTTGATTTCGTTAATGATCCAGATATTATGTATCTATTAATTCATGTAAAGGAATAATGAAGTTTAAAGAAACGAAATGTGACATGTATGACGCTCTTTACAATGAATAAACCAGAATAATCATAGTTCACGTTGACAAATTATTAAAAATCCTCGTTTCATTTTGACGAAAATCATTCAAAAAAATGCAATATTCATCTGCATACAGTACCATGTAGATTGTGGTATCTCAACTGATGATAGTATTGGAAAAACAATCGATAAAAAACACAAACGAGATGATAGAAAGTATTTCACCTGACTGAAAACAATGCTTTCTGTATCACGATGAAGATATAAGAGACATCGCAAATTTCCATTTTGACGTGTGCTATTATCAATGGTCCTGGACATTCGCCTTGAGCAGTGACATTGACAAATAATCCCCGATTAGTCAATGGCAGGCACATCATTCATGATAGGAATTTCTGAGTGGAGGTAACTGCCAATATTCTATCTAATCGAACCGTAATGAGATAAAAAAAAATGATTGCGGATTGATCCGCAGGTTTGGTAAATATTCATGAATAGTAGCATTTGGACATTTCTCGGGAAAGAGACACTCTGAGGATGATGAATACGGTGTCAAAGGTAAATCGATAGAGTGAGGAGTTATTGTTGGGTTCCATTTTGTGGGGGATTTTCTTTCATTGTTAATTTTGTGGGGGATTTTTTGTTTCATTCAGAAATATCCACAACTGAGTTTTGAAGATGGGATTTGGAAGGGTTCTACGAAAATATATCGGGATGATGATTTTCAAGTGGGGAAGAGGGTACTCCAGAGTTTGAAGGAGGCACCGAATTTTATTGCTCAAGTAGGTAGAAATTAATTGTGAATGTTTTTATAAAGGATGAGTTTTTTATGAGTCACTTATAAAAAAAATTAACAGAAAAGGCGATTTCTTTTCATGAGAAATTCTGTTTAAGTTCCAGGTAAGATTCTATGTTTTTTTCACCGACATTTTTCGATGGAATAAAGTGAATAGGTGTTGATTTTTCTAAATGAGTTATTTTGTTGATTTTTATAAGAATAGTTGACTATTAATAAAAATCTCATTGAACATCATTGGTTTTCTCTAAGAAATTTCTCTCATTTTTTCCGTGAATTTTGTAAAAACATGGAAAATTTATACCCAAGAATTTCAGTAAAAACTTTCAAGGGAATAATTCTTATAGAAAAATAACAATCTATTGACTTCTCAATTGAAATTGCACAAGTAAATAGATTTCGTAGATTTTACATTGCTCTACAAAGGCAGCAAAATCTCTCCTGGATTCAGAGATTTTTTTTATTCCAAAAAATTCAAAAATGTGAAACTGACGTGTAAACTGATGTTTATTGTAACACATTTAATCGTGATTGATTTGCATCAATTAGCTTGATTCTGCCACTGGAAAATTGGATACCTTCGGGGAGATGATGGACAGGAGCATCCGGTGTGCCCTCTGGCTGAGGAAAAAAGGGATTGGTCGCGGTGATGTTATCTCCGTTGCTGGTGATAATCACCAAAACACGGTGATTCCCATTTTGGCCGGTCTTTTCACGGGATGTATCATAAACACTTATTCACAAGATTGGCTAGATGAAGGTAATAATCTAAAAGCCCAGTACATTCGCTAGAACGTTTTATTGACTTTTGTTGAGCATTTATTACTTTTTCGTCGATTTTATTGAAGAATTCCGCAGCTTATCTGCACTTTTTTTCAATTTAAATGTTCAATGAATAATATTTTATGGAAAAAATCAATAGGATCAGATTTTTCTGTTCCACTCATGTTATTGAGATATTTTCTACTAGCGGGCTGTGCCCCCTGCTCGCTCCGCTCGCCAACCTGGGGAGGAGGCTTCGTCCCCCCCCCCTCGCTCACTTCGCTCGCTTACCACTCTTCCCATGTGACCGAGCCGAGTGATCGTGAGGATTCTTTCGACAACTGCATTCTTCAAATTTCACAATTGAATTAAATTGAATGTGGATTCTTCCGTATATAGACACTCCCTATCATGTGGACCCCCTTCAATATACGGATATTCCCCCCATACATCGGTATCCCCCTATTAATCATTTCTGTAAAATTTATTCTTTTGAAAATTTCTCTTGAAAAAGAGAAAACACAACCAACTAGTTCTGCTCTACTACAGCCTTAAGGGTGCCAAGTGAATTTGGCGATGACCTTGAAAATTGACATTTACCAACAAAGTTATAATTTTTTTAATTAATAGTATTAGACAGATGGTGAACATCGGTGACAATTTTAAAATTTTAGAACTTATGGATATCGAGAAATTAAATAAACAAAATCAGTCTTATACACGGCCTCTTATGGAGTTTTGATTAAATTGAACGTTTCAACCCCCTAGGAACTCAAGAAAAATTTGAAAAAATTTGAAGATATGGGGAATGATGTGTTCAATGTGATGGCGCCAAAAAACAATGGGGTACCAGGGTGAATAAGAGAGATATTTTAACCCGCCGTACCCATTTGATCCCATGCTTTCTCGAGGTTCGTCACGCGAAATAGAGGATTTTCCGCATTTATTTTCTCGATGTCTAGTTCCGGTTGCGGGTTTGAAATTTCGTCGGATGGATGAATACATATTTCTCCAATGATGGAGGGAAAGAAAAAATTTGTTTTGAATCTTTTTTCAAATTCACTTGGCACCCTTAAGAATGTTTATCCATTTTCCGCGAAGAGAATTTTTTTATGTTCGAACAAAATTCTATTTTTTAGATTGATGTGGGAACATCTGAAACCAATATTCATAATTGAAAAAAATTAGGTGCAGTCGCTTTGACGGAATGAAATGCACAAATTTTTTTATACACGAGATCTTATGGGATTCATTTTTAAATTGATAATTCACCTGTATGAAGACGCTAAAAATGAAAATGAAAATATAAATAATAAAAATAAATACTTTGTCCCATAAAATCACATGCTGACGCCTGCCTTCAATGCATGTTGTCAATGCATATTATTCAGTGCATATATACAATGTATTTTATTTTTGAATTATTAACTCGGGTTGGTGGATTGAAATTTTTATCAATATAAGAAAGATAACTCTGTGTATCAGTTGAAAAAAACACTTTCTAAGTGGTTGCGATTTAGGATCCACATTCTTAAAAATTCCAGAAACCCGAAAAATGTTGAAGATAAATAAATCGTCGGTTGCATTACACCGATTAATTACCCTCGATATCATCGCCTTCTTTACAGAATTAATATCTGATTTCGTCAGAGACCTCGAGCCAAAGATTGTTTTCGCCGATACAGTACTGGCGCCCAGGATGATGAAATACAGCAACGTCGATAACAAAAAATTCGAAGTTATAGTTTTCGAAAATCTGCCTGGATTCACGTTCTTCAAAGATATCCTGGATGAGCAGAGCGCAGTGGAAGTTGACAGTTTCGAGTGCGTGGATATTCCTTCTGAAGAGGACACCGCATTCCTCTTATTCACCTCAGGCTCGAGTGGAAATCCCAAGGTGTTTCGGTATCCTTATAAACTCCTAAAGCGAGATGTGCACTGGTTACCGAGAGAAGAACTATATGAGAGGGTGGGCATATGGTGTACTGAGCCTGTCTGGGTTGTTGTCATTATCTCTGCTCTGGGGGCGATCATCAATCGCTCGACTTATGTGATACATAAGTACGCGAATGCAGCTGATTTCTGCAGAGTTGTTGAGAAGTATAAGGTATTGCACGAAAAAATGGGAAAATGGAAAAAAATAGCGAATTCGATAGAAAATTTGGTTGGATTTCTATTCATTTTTGGTCGATTCTAATGAAGAATTCCGCAGCCTTACTGCGAATTTTTTTAAATAACAACCGTCCAATAGAAAATATGTTATACAAAAAATCAGTAGAATTCCATATTTTCAGGAATTTTTCCCGTTTTTTTGAATTTTTTGCAATTTTATGAATTTTTTCTTTTTTTTCTTTTTTTATTAAAAAAGATCACACAAAAAACTGGAAATGTTTCCGCCCAGGTATTTCTATAGAAAAAATCTCAATGGAATAAATTGTGTAGAAAAACCGAATTCTATCGATTCCTTCTCTAAAATATTTTCTATTGAACATTCCGATTAAGAAAAACGTACAGATAAGTTGCGGAATGTTCTAATAGAATTGAACAAAATTAATAGCGGACACGAACGAATTCTATAGAAAAACATAGCAAATTCGAAAAAAAATTCCATCAGATTTCTATGATTCCTATTGAAAATTGTATTAGTTTTGCCGCATTTACCGAAATGTCCGACAGAAACTATCCTACAGACAAAATCAGTAAAATTCCCTACTTCTATGAACCGTTTTCTATTGAGATATTTTCTATAAGAATTTCTCAACATGAATTTTATAAAGTTTTTTCCCTCTTTTTCATTTTTTTTTATTAAAAAACATCAAATAAATAAATTGACATATTTCTGCCGAGGAATTTCTGTAGAAAATATCTCAACGGGATAACTTGCATTAAAAAACCGAAATCTATTGATTTTTTTATAGAATATTTTCCATTGAAGAATTTTTTTTCGTCCGTTCAAACTCATGTTATTCAACACATGAATTAAATTTTGCAGATTAACTGGATGATGCTGGGAACGGAGCACGTCAATATGATATCTCGATTATCAAATACCGCAGAGTTCGATTTTTCCGAAGTGACATTCATAAGATATTGCGGGTCCTACATCAGACCGGAAGTAGAGAGAAATTTGCACACCATATTTCCTCGAACGTGGCTGTCGCAGTCGTACGGTAAGCAGGGATGCGAAATACCGTGACATTTTAAAATCCGTCAGGTCAAAAAAACATGACCGTCGCGTGATTTAATGTTCGATTAAATTTTTCCGTGTGTGTTTTCTTCCGTAATATTATTGTGTAATGTTTTTTACGACCTTTTGAGTCCTCTTTTCGAGTCCCATTTCGGCACTCTATCCAACCCTATGCATGCGGCTGTGGATTCTACACTGTACCGCATCCGCACTCCTATAGAACATTAGGAGTAGCATGGGAAACCACAGGAAACCCACGCCGGTACAGGCAGTTACTCTATTAGCAACCTCCCGCTCGCCAGAGCTTTCCGTTGAAAAATTCGGTTCCACGGGGAATCGAACTAACAACCTTTCGCAGACTAGACTTGCGTCTAGTCCACTCGGCCACCGGCGTCGGTAACAACAGAAGATTCTATTGAAATTCTATCAGAATTCTATTGGAAATTGTGAAATTCTGCCATGCCATTGTGTTATCTCCAGTGTTCACAATTTTTGGTCGAAATTTCCGACATACTCCTTGGAAATTTTTATCATATTTTAGTTCCACTGAAATGTTAAGGAATTCCGTCATTGAAAATTCAATTTTTCACGAAAAAATTAATGAGAATTTGAAATTTAAGTTCAATAAGTCCGTGAAAATTGATGGAAATCGGGAAAATTCGAGTAATTATATTCTTAAATTTTCAATCTATTGAAAATTCAGCGAATTTTGGAACGAAAGATCCATGCTTTCATGAGAAATTCAAATAAGTTGAGTAATTTTCGTTCTAATACCGTTTAGAAAGTTGAAATTTCAGTGAAATCGGACATTTCACAATTTTTCCCTTTAAATCGCATTTAATGTCAACCTCCTGAAAATTATTAGTGCATGACTGTCCATGAAATTTCAATTTTTTCATAACAGTGTAATAATCAACCGGAATTTTCATACAATTCCGAGAGAATTTCCTAGCGAACAGGCTGATTTCTATTCACTTTTTTCATGGGTGACTTTTGGCACAGATGCAAGTCATCGCCTGTGTTCATAGAGGGGGATTCCCCTCCTTCATTCGTACTGGAACAAATCCGTGGCAAACGCGTGACGGCGGCAAAGTGGACCGTTCGTGACGAACTTTGATAATTGATATTTTTGTTTATAAATAAAGAGTCTAGGATTTGAGTCGATGATAAACGTTCCTATCTGTAATTATTAATTTCGATTTGAATACACTGAATGCATGTGTTTGACAATCAACTAAATGTCTTATTATCATGAAGCCCTTCACGAACTCCAAGTTATACTACCACTAGTTAGATATAATTTATCGGTCACATAGTAAATTGGTCTTAATTTTGTCATATGACAAGAATTCGTCATATTCTTGCCCGCCTCATGACGGTCTCTAACGGTAAAAAGATGAACAAATTTATTCTAATTATATCTCTCTATAATAAAAATGCAAATCAACTTCTGCACGGAGAGAAATGTTCAGTGAAAATTACGGAACTCACAATTCACTCAGCGATTACGAAATCGACTCAGAAAATTTAAATGACGATATTGTAATTTTTCACAGGAGATTTAGATAAAAATTATGGAGCACTCAGGAAAAATTTCTTAACAGTTCCGTAAAATTTCCTACAGCCACATTTCGCTCCGGAATTACGGAAAAGATACGTAATTTTTAGTGAATATTTCTCTCCGGGTGGTGATGAAAATTTGGTACTCGAAATTAAGACTCCAAACTTATGAGTCAAAATAAGGGTGACGTGGTATAGAATGAGGGTCAGAATGAGGGTGGCGAGGGTCATATTAAGGGTCACAAGGGTCAGAATAAGGATCTTGGGGGTCATATGTGGATCATAAGCTAGCAGGGGGTGTAGCCCCCTATTCATTAATAATTTCATCATTTCACACGTATAAAAAAATTAAATAGAAAAACTTAGTGAATTCGCTAGAAACTTCAATTGGGGTTCTCTAGAATTTCTATTGGAATTCTATTAAAATTCTAGCGAATTCTCGTGAAAATTCTATTTGTTTTTTACGATAATTCTATTAGATATTCTGCAGAAAAAAGTCAATAGATTAGATTTTTCTCTTTAAATTTTTCTCTTGACATATTTTCTACCAAAATTATTGCGCACGGATTTTCTATTTTTTTCCGCTGTATTATGTTTTGTTTTGCATTACAGAATCCGAGTGGAAAAAACTTAGAAAATGTATGCTCAAGTATTCCTATAGAAAAAATCCCAAAGAATATTCATATAGAAAAATCAAAGTCTCTCGACTTTTTCCATCAAAAATTTAATAGAAATAGCGCAAAAAACAAATAGAATTTTACCGAGAATTCTCTAGAATTCTAATAGGATCTCAATAGAATTTCTGGAGAATTCCAATAGAATTTTCTAGCGAATTGGCCAAGTTTTTCTATTTAATTTTTTCGTACGTGCATCGTTCATTTGATTCATGTATTTCAATGTTACTTCATGACTCCACAGGTTTAACAGAAATCGGTGTAGTTACGTATGCGATGAGCGACCACAAGTGCCCCTCCTGTGGTATACCCGCAGAGAACACTGAAATTAAACTGATAAATTCGAAGGATGAGATTGTTATGTGTCCCAATCAATCAGGAGAATTGTGCGCCAGAACTCCATGCCTATCAATTGCTTATCACAAGAAGGCAACGGCATCGGAGAGAACACTGGACTCAGAGGGTTGGTATCGCACCGGTGATCTGGCGTATTACAACGAGGATGGTGAATTCTTCTTCGTCGATAGGATCAAGGAAATGATCAGATATATTGTCGCTGATATTCCCGCTGGTGTCGTAGAGGACTGCATACTGAAGCATCCTAGTGTTCTTGAAGTCGCTGTTGTTGCTAAGCTGCATGAGGAAGACATAGAACATCCCATGGCTTTCATTGTCAAGAAGCCTTACATTCAGGTAGCTCAACAAATTTTGATTAATTTCTCTTCGACTAATGTTGCATGCGCCGCTTTGAGGCCGCCCACTGTCGTTAGCAGTAGGCGAGGATGGGGTAAAATGGACCCTTTTGACTTTTTTTAAATGTTCATGACGTGCTGAATTGTGCATGAAATGGAGTAATTTTATTTTTCAATTGAAAGAACAATGATTCCTCTTTGTGATGAGCTCAGACTGAGGTCAACTGATAAATCCGTTTCTGAGTTATGAATATTTTTAAAAAAGTCAAAAGTGTCCATTTTACCCCACCCTCCCCTAATAGCTGATGCTTAATTGATCTTGAATCATCTCTTCAGGTGACGGAGGAGGAAATCGAGGGCTGGGTTGAGAAACATCTGCCGGATCGCATGAGACTTCGTGCTGGTGTTAAATTTCTTGAGGACATGCCGTATAATAATGCTGGCAAAATAGCTAAGGGCGTGCTGCGCCGTTGGTGTAATGCTGAGTAGAAAAAAGGAACGCATCATTAAAAGCTCAATAATGCGTCCGAATCAATTCGCCTTTTTTCGTTATGCCTCAGAAATGAAGAGTTTTGACGAAGAAAACAGAAATCTTGTGACCACGAAAAATATGACAATTCAAAATAATTATCTGCGTCATCATTATTGTTATCATTTTTATCTGTAATTGCATGTAAGATAATATAATAATTGTTCATGGAACATAATCTGAATAAAAATAAAAGGAAAATTTCCTTCTTTCCTTATCCAGAAATTATTCGATGCTATCAATAATTCCGCTGAACATTTCCTCTATCCACTTCAACGATACTCGATACAAAATTGATCGATCGTGGTAAAACCGCTCATTAATCACGATATAACAATCGGAGTCATCCTTGACATTCCATTTTATCAAATTCAAATGATAAAAAAAGCAATGGGGCTAACCATTTATGAAAAATATCGGCTAGACGCATAAACATCGTATACCTACGGTCATTCCCCTCCAGAGTCGTCAAAAAGCGCGATTGTTAACGCTTAAGTGGTCGCGCTTTTTGAAAATAGGCCAATAGTCAAAATCGACTTGAACTATTTCACCGCTTACTGAATGAATACGCTGCACTGATAGAAAGGATTAGTTGGTAATTAGGCGACATATAGCACCTTTAATTTCTCAGGGATACTGATAGGCAAATATTAAGTTTTTATATATGATCTTGAAGTATTTCGACGTATAATGTGCCGGAAACTGGCTGCTATAAATGAATTTAACCTTCCTGGTGGAAAAAACTCCTTAAATCCTATTGGAAGAAAAAAGGGTAATTGGAAATAATGACGTTATTGCCGTTGACCCATTATTTCCGATTCAGGTTAGTAGCGCAATGCTGACACGTATGAAAAAATCCAATGGGCAAACCTAGCGAATTCTCTTGAAAATTCTATTGGGATTCTGGAGAAAATCTATCGGATTTCTATGGGATTTCTATTGGAATTCTATTGGAAAATTCTATTAGTTTTTTGCACTGATTCTATTGCATATTTCATACGAAAAAGTCAATAGATTTTGAGTTTCTTTCTCCAGAATCCCAATAGAATTTTCAAGAGAATTCGCTAGGTTTGCCCATTGGATTTTTTCATACGTGTCAGCATTGCGCTACTAACCTGAATCGGAAATAATGGGTCAACGGCAATAACGTCATTATTTCCAATTACCCTTTTTTCTTCCAATAGGATTTAAGGAGTTTTTTCCACTAGGGCTCTTTGAGGTATTACACTTTGTAATGTATATGCTCATGTAGATGTACGGGACCTCCCATTCTACGCTTTTCCTTCTAAAAGCAGTTTTTTAAGTTCCAATTATGAGGTGTTCATATAAATTCAACGTGTAGTGAAGCACTTATTTTTAAAGTATCAAGCTTCACCAGCACTTAGCATTACTCAGGGTTCGCGACGAGTACGCAGCTGGTATGAAGCCCACAAAGGTCAAAATTTGACCCAGTCTTACCCTTCAAGTTATTTACCTAATTGAGTCCGACTCGATTTTCTTGTTGATTTCAATTTTTTTTTTCATTTAATGATGGAGTAATTCAGTTTCCTCGAAAAATTCTTAAAAGGTCATATATTTCCTGATTACCGATTAGTTATTGTTAACGAATTTGGTTGGAGACGAGGGTCTATTTGGTGTCACCAAATATTAATTCGTGAATAGTTAACAAATGCATATTTGAGGAGCCTTGTTTGACTCGATTTTCGTTTTTCACGTGAACCATTCATTAACTATTAACAAATATTCCTTTGGTCATGTTCAACTCTACCATTCGTTAATAGTTAACGAATCTCTCTTGGAATAAATGAATCAGTCTATCAGTGTACGGTCAGGCTGAGGAGATCCCAGTAAACATCTGATACTTGAAAGCACGTAGAATACACGTAACGATGTTCGACCAGATGTATATGGTCGAAACTTTAGACGTTTATGATGCCTTCTATACTGTGTCTACAAGTCGTCTTTTTCACATTAATTCAAGTAATATAAAAATGATATAGGCATCCACGCCAATTAGTCGTGGCGAAGACGTGCATAATGCGTGTACACAATGCGGTGGAAAATGCGAGGGGCTAACCACGACAAATAGCTGATTATCGCATTCTGTTTTTAAAGCGTTCAAGATGGGACATCTACTCGACGGAAATATTTTCACCATCCTCGAATGGAAAAATTATAACACATTCTTTCCACCCTCTCCAAAGTCGTAAAAAAATGAACATAATCTATGAGCCGATTACCCAGCAACGGTAAAAATACGTCGTATTAACTATATATGTTCGAGGGTTTTTGAATCACTTGTAATCGTTTGCTGGATTTTTCCAAAAACAAATCACAGGCATTTCACTACAAGATTGTACGGCTGCGGAAATTTTTTGGACATAGCAATTTAAAATTGAAAAGCCAAGACAATCCCAAATTTTCCTCTGATACAGAGGAACTGATACTGATACTGATAAAGACATAATATTGTGCCTTTAAAATTGAGTCCGTATTATGCAATTTAAAATTGAAAAGGCAAGACAATCCGAAATTTTCCTTTGATACAGAGGAACTGATACTGATACTGATAAAGACACAATATTGTGCCTTTAGTGCTCAGACGTGGGAGGCAAGGATGCACGGAGAGAAATATTCAATAAAAATTACGTATCTTTTCCGTAATTCCGGAGCGAAATGTGGTTGTAGAAAATTTTGCGGAACTGTCACGGAATTTTTCCAGAGCGTTTCGTAATTTTTATCTGAATCTCCTGTGAAAAATTACTATACCGTCACTTAAATTTTCTGAGTCGATTCCGTAATCGGTAAGCGAATTGTGAGTTCCGTCATTTTTACTGAACATTTCTCTTCGTGTGTGAGCGAGGATTGGATAAAGCACTATGATTTTTGAAGATCTTATGCTTCTTTCCACCTCCGAATTTTTTGCTGACCATGGTATGATCCCATGGTTTGGCGCATCACGTATGAAAAAATCGTATAGAAATTTTCTATACGGATTGCATATAGAAATTCTATAGGATTTCCATATATGACATTCCGATATTTCTATACGAATTATTTCTATACATAGATTTTTACATAAATTTTTGTTTTCATACGAAAGATGTCTAAACGCTCCAGAGAAAAACGTAGAGAAATGTCGCGACTCCATACGAAATATTTCTATTCATGTGGCAGTGGGTCGTATAGAATCAAACCTATAGAAATCGTATAAAAATGATTTGTATAAAAAATATTCGTATAGAAATATCTGAATATCATATACGAAAAAAATTTTCTATACGTGATAGCACCCTAATTTCTCCACCACCACCAGAATTTCTCTTGCCGTGTCCAACTATGATCGAGTGCCCCCCTCCCCTTGCCAGATTGCTTCACTACCACCACCCGTTTTTTCTTGTTGTTTATCGGAGTGTATCTTTTTGCGAAGTTCGGAAAGTCCACTGCAAAAAAGATAGGGAATGCATAGTTTAGGTATTTTATGTCTGGAGCTAGACGTGTCACGTATTGTCAAAACTGGAAGCATGATGAACGCAGTGTCAAAGGTAAATTTCTTCCATGTGAGAAAATACTATTCCCACAATTTTATAAATTGGATAATTCTTGTGATTAGAAATATCCACATATAAACTTTGAAGATGGGATTTGGAAGGGGCCTACGAAGAGTTATCCAGAGGAAAATTTACAAATTGGAAAGAGACTGCTGCGGAGTTTGAAGGAAGCGCCAAACTTTGTTGGGCAAGTATGTTGAGATCAATAGGAATTTGCAGGAATTAAGAAAAATTTTAATTTACAGTTTTAACCTTAAATGATTAATGATTTCAATTATAAATATTAGAAAGATTGCATTTTAATTAACGAGATCAAATGCGCGCTTCGCACACATATCCAAACGATGCATCGATCAAACGATTGAGCGTTCTCATTATCAATATAGTACCATTCTCCATTCTAATAAAATTCACATTAATCAGGAGAATGAACAGTGAATAGTTGATATCAATTTTTGCATAACATTTGGCACTGAATATCGAACAATGTTAGTGAACAAATATTCTTATTAATTTCCTTTTCATTATAGAGAAGATAACAAACATGTTTACCTCATCGTGAGTTATGTGTCCTGATGCTTTGCCAATTAATTATTGCAAAACCGGGAAAAATCTCCTTTTATTATAGATTATTGATTGCCGAAAGTTGAAGATTTCAACGTTTTGAAATCACTGATGACGTCACAAGGGTATTCAGACGCTGGACTGAAAAATCCGTAATTGAGACATTTTCTATAGGAATTGCTTGCATAAATTTTTCAAGGTTTTTACTTTATTTGCTCTATTGAATGAAAGGAGTAGATAATTTGCGGAATTTTTCAATAGAATCACCCGAAAATTATTAGAAAGTTCAATAAAAATACAATAGAATTTTCTGGCAAACTCGTTAGGTTTTTCCATTAATTTTTTTCGTACGTATGTTTTATTTCTTCTATCTATTTTTACGAAGAAAGATAGATTTTTCCTTCGTAAAAATAGATAGAGGAAATTAATTCCCAGAGAGGGATAGAGGAATTTAATTCCCAGAAAATTCGTTGAAAATACCGTAAAATCTGTTTTATATTTTCCCGTTGAAAACTCTAAAAATTTACTATTGCTTCATATTTTTTTTGTGATTTCAAGTAAAAACCCTAGAGACAAATTTTTGAATTTTTTCTCTGATTGTACAGTCATTTTTCGTTAATTTTTCTGTCGGCGGCAAATATGTAGTTTCCCATTATTGTTTAATTGATTAACGTACACTGAATATGTGCCAGATCGATTCTGCGACCGGAGAAGAGGATAGTTTCGCAGCTATGATGGACAGAAGCATTCGCTGTGCTCTATGGCTGAGGAAACGAGGCATTGGACCCGGAGATACTATTGCAGTTGCTGCTAACAATCATCAAGATACTGTGATTCCTATACTGGCCAGTTTGTATATTGGTTGTGTTTTGAATCCGTATCCATTCGATTGGCTAGCCAATGGTAATAAAATAGCTTTAATAATTTTAGTAAGCAAATTTCTCGAGAATATTCCGCCAATTTCAGACGATTTTTTTTCCCGTAAAGTGTCTGGTTAATTCTAGAAAAAGTGCAATTTATTGGACTTTTATTAGAATTTTATGAAAAATTCTGTCATTTCTATTACAAATTGTGCAAGTTTGCATAAACAAAGATATCAACTATTAAAGTTTACAGCAAATGTCCCACTTTGTCCCATTCGTCCCTTTATAGACGATTGGTACCTATTGAACGAAAGAGGGGAATCCCCGTCGGTGAACACTGGCGATGACTATGCCGAAGATCACCTATGAAAGAATAGTCAATAGAAAATCGAGTCGTTTCACTAGAAAGCTCTGTTGAATTTTCATTGTAGGGGAAGGTGGGGCAAAACGGACCAGGCGGGTACAACGGACTCTAAGGGTACAACAGACCACTGACAGAAAATTGATAATATTTTATTTTTGAGGCTTTCGTCGCCATGATTATTGATATTATTTTGGCTTCCGAGTGGATCAATTGATAATATTTGTTTTTGCTTCCGAATAAAAGCAAAAATAAAAATTTAACGTCATTTGTGGTTTGAGGTGATTAGTAAATCTGATCAAATTGAAGTTCAACGACACTTATTGTCTATAAAACCCCTGTGACGGTTGCGATCGAAGAAACTCACTTTTAATTCAACACATTCAGTGTTCCTGATTTGAAGGGAAGAAAAAAAAAATTACCAATTTTGTCAGTGGTCCGTTTTGCCCTGCGGTCCGTTTTGCCCTCCCGGCCCGATTTGCCCTACCCTCCTCTACTTCTTTTAAAATTCGGAGTGATAATTCGCTAAAACATCGTCTTTTGATTTTGTTTCATGACATATCCATTAAAAAATTATAGGCGCATAATCATCATCTGTCTGCCAAAGGGCCAATATCTCATTTCATGAATATGGTCGAGCCAAAGATTATTTTCTGTACTGCTTCTCACGATTTCTCGTCTGAGAATTGCTATTACATACTTCCCAAACTCGAAAACTTGAAAAATATTGTTCCTGGACTGTTGCGATGGGTTTTTTTTCCTCGTGTGGTTGGCCAGTCCTCGCCTACGGCTCGGAGGCAAACGCCACACGAGTAAAAAAACCCCATCGCAACAGGCCGGAAAAATACAATTTCACCTACGAAGATCCAGCGGACGTGGAGTTCAAGCACAACGATATCAGCAATAAAAAAATTTGAAATAATAGTGTTTGAAAAAGTCAATAGAACGTGCATCATCGACTCAAAATCCTAGAATGTTTGTTTATAAACAAAAATATCAAATATCAAAGTTCGTCACAATCGGTCCACTTTGCCGGCGTCACGCGTTTGCCACGGATTTGTTCAAGTACGAATGAAAGAGGGGAATCCCCCTCTATGAACACAGGCGATGACTTGCATCTGTGCCAAAAGTCACCCATGAAAAAAGTGAATAGAAAACAGCCTTTTCGCTAGGAAATTCTCTCGGATTGTATGAAAATTCCGGTTGATTATTACACCGTTATGAAAAAATTGAAATTTCATGGACAGTCATGCACTAATAATTTTCAGGAGGTTGACATTAAATGCGATTTAAAGGGAAAAATTGTGAATTTTCCGATTTCATTGAAATTTCAACTTTCTAAGCAGTATTAGGACGAGAATTACTCAACTACGGATACTACTGTGTCCGTATTAACATCAGTACATCACCATCTGCTTCTCACAGGGCTAATATCTCACTTCATGAATATGAAAGACTTGCATGGATCTTTCGTTCCAAAATTCGCTGAATTTTCAATAGATTGAAAATTTAAGAATATATTTACTCGAATTTTCCCGATTTCCATCAATTTCCACGGACTTATTGAACTTAAATTTCAAATTCTCATTAATTTTTTCGTGAAAAATTGAATTTTCAATGACGGAATTCCTTAACATTTCAGTGGAACTAAAATATGATAAAAATTTCCAAGGAGTATGTCGGAAATTTCGACCAAAAATTGTGAACACTGGAGATAACACAATGGCATGGCAGAATTTCACAATTTCCAATAGAATTCTGATAGAATTTCAATAGAATCTTCTGTTGTTACCGACGCCGGTGGCCGAGTGGACTAGACGCAAGTCTAGTCTGCGAAAGGTTGTTAGTTCGATTCCCCGTGGAACCGAATTTTTCAACGGAAAGCTCTGGCGAGCGGGAGGTTGCTAATAGAGTAACCGCCTGTACCGGCGTGGGTTTCCTGTGGTTTCCCATGCTACCCCTATGTTCTATAGAAGTGCTAAAGCGGTACAGTGTAGAATCCACAGCCGCATGCATAGGGTTGGATAGAGTGCCGAAATGAGACTCGAAAAGAGGACTCAAAAGGCCGTAAAAAAAGAATCTTCCGTCCAATATGCTATAGTTTTTCTATTCAAATTTTGTGTCCGTATTACCATCAGTACATCACCATCTTCTTCTCACAGGGCTAATATCTCACTTCATGAATATGATCGAGCCAAAGATCATTTTCGCCGATGAAGATCTAGCGCAGATGATGCACGAGCACAACGATATCAGCAATGAAAAAGTCGAGATTATAGTTTTCGGGAGTCTCCCCGGACTAGCATCCTTCGAAGAGATTCTTCTTGAGCAGAAGCCATCGGAGGTTGAAAATTTTGAATGGATTAACATTCGCTTCCCGGCGGAAACCGCAATGCTGATGTTCACTTCAGGGACAACAGGCTATCCCAAGGTGTTCCAGTACAGTTATAGACACCTGGAGAGGGACCTAAACTGGTTACCGCGGGAAGAACTCCACGGGAAAGTGGGAACCTGGTGCATCGAGACCGCTTGGACTGTTATCATCATAACAGTTCTGAGTTCAATAATCAATCGTTCGACATATGTCATCCACAAGTTCACGGACATTCCCGAGTTGTGCAGAGTCATCGAGAAGTACAAGGTATCGTGGAATTCTTTTGGGTAGATATGAATCGAAATGTCGATGCCTTTGGAGTGATGAGATGGTCTATCAGTTATTTCGATGATGAAGCGTTTGTGGACAAATCAAGATTCTTCGATATCTCCTACAATTTCTGATAAATTAAGTATTTTTAATACGCACGTTTGCATGTTGACGTTCATTTTCTTTTCCTTCTCCTTGAATCCCTCCTCTGAAATTGTTTTTTTTTTTCAATTGTACAGTCGTTTACTAAAGTTCTGAAACAAAATGCATAGGATACAAGCTCAGATCGTTTCAGAACTTTGGTAAATGATTGTATATGAAAAAAAATGACTTTCTCTAATTTTATAATCTTTACAATTGACTCCTACGATAGAAGAAAAATCCTAATTAAGAGGGATAACAGCCAGTTTTTTTCTATATCATCTACTTCCTAATAAACGGAACGTCCTGATTAAAAGGGATAACGGCCCGTAAAACCTGGAAGTTGGACGGCCTCAAAAACAGAAATAGAATAGAAATCAATTGTTTATTTATTCTAATTTGTTTTCAGGTTGTTTCTTCCTGTCATTTTACCTTTCGTCCCCTTTCAATTTAATAAAAACTTTTTAATCAATTCCACGGCCTTTTTAATTGGTGTCAGAAGTGGGATTCGAACCCACCCCCAGGGAGTAATATTATGAATATCGAACCCTCGTATAAGTTCTATCATGTTTTCATTCATTTCCTTTTCTTTCCCCTTGAATCCCTCCTCTGAAATTAGTTTCTTTTTCAATTGTTATTTATTCTAGTTTGTTTTCGGATTGTTTCTTCCCATCATTTTACCTCTCGTCCCTTTTTGATTTAATAGACTCTTTTTAATCAATTCCACGGCCTTTTCAATATTAAAGATTGATTGGTCGATGCTGAGGGTGGAGCACATAAACATACTATCTCGATTACCAAACCCCGAAGATTTCGACTTATCTTCGCTGAAGTTCATCAGGTATTGCGGGTCCTACATCAGACCGGAAATAGAGAAAAATCTGCACGCCATATTTCCTCGAACGTGGTTGTCGCAGTCGTACGGTAAGAAGACGAACAAAATCACTCGAATTATATCATCAGTAATTTCATTGTTTTATCATTCGTTTGATTCATGTATTTCAATGTTAATTGATGAGTCCACAGGTTTAACAGAAGTCGGTGCCGTTACGTATACGATGAGAGACCACAAGTGCCCCGCCTGTGGTATACCCGCAGAGAACACTGAAATTAAGCTGATTAATTCGAAGAATGAGATTATTATGTGTCCCAATCAATCAGGAGAATTGTGCGTCAGAACTCCATGTCTATCGATTGTTTATTACAAGAATAAAACTGCATCGGAGATAACACTGGATTCAGACAGCTGGCATCACACCGGTGATCTGGTGTATTACAACGAGGATGGTGAATTTTTCATCGTCGATAGGATCAAGGAAATCATCAGATTTCGTTTCAGTGATGTGCCCGCTGGTGTCGTAGAGAACTGCATACTGAAGCATCCTGGTGTTCTTGAAGTTGCGGTTGTTTCTAAGCTACATGACGAAGACGTAGAACAGCCCATGGCTTTCATTGTCAAGAAGCCTCATGTTCAGGTAGGTCAAAAAAATTTAGTCACTTTCTCTTCGAGTAAAGTTACATGCGCCGTTATGAAGCCGTATAGTGGCGTTAGTATTGACAGCTGATGTTTTATTGATCTTGGATCGTGTCTTCAGGTGACGGAGAAGGAAATTGAGGGCTGGGTTGAGCAACAGCTGCCGGATCACATGAGGCTTCGAGGGGGTGTTAAATTCATTGATACAATGGTGTATAATAATTCTGGGAAAATACGTAAAGGTCTACTTCGACATTTAGCTAATGATCATTAAAATTGTGTATGAATGGCTTATGATTAAGGTACTTAGTCTATCAGATGGGAACAGTCGGCAATGTACAAAAAAGTGAAATTTTGGGGGAAAATTCTTGAAATAGTCAGGAATATGTCGCAAGCAGTCGAAACATAATTGATCGCTCAGTTTCTTGTTTAAAAAATGATTGAAAATATCGCGTGTTAAGTGAAGAAAGATCGTAGTAACCATTTTGGGATTTTTAGGTCAACGAAGTGCAAAAACGTCAGACAAACCTAATCTAGGGAACATGAAATCTGGACGATTTGGACTCTCTAGAATCATTTCAACCCAACTTTTCAGGACTATTTTTTAGCGCATACGACCTTTTTCCGTAAATTTTTCTTCAATGGAAATTTCGCTAAAATAATGTTTTTTTATTTCTTTGAAAGTACGACCAAATATCAGAAAAATGAAGAGAAAACTGTGGACAAATTTTTTTTTATGTTTCCACTATTGGAGAAATATTTATGGAAAAAGGTCGTATACGCCAAAAAAATTGTCTTCAAAAGTTAAGTTAAAATAATTCTGCAGAGCCTAAATCGTCCAGATTTCATGTTCTCTGGATTAGGTTTATACTGTTTTCCACTTCATTGACCAAAAAATCCCAAAATAGTCAATACCATCTTTTTCTATTTAGCGAGCGATATCATTTCTACAGCATTTTGAGAGTCACCTTTCAACTGTCCAGTGTGAGCCTCAACAATGTACAAGCAATGCAAATACCCGATTCACACCATTGAACACATTTCAAGAATATATTTTCGCCATTTCATAATTTATTGTCATTTCCGTAATTCCTGGCAGCTTAGTTGGCAGAGTGCCCGGCACAGTGCGGTATTCTTTCTCTCTAAATTTTAATTCTCTTAGAATTTTTTAATTTTTTTTCTCCATAATCTGTTTTGAACCATGATGTTCATGTTTTTCCCATTTTTGAGGTAATAGAAGGCACTTACAGGTGTCTGTTTACTGTCAGATCCCTATTTTTGGTTTTTCTTTGGTATGATCAAAATGAATTCTGCTGGAATCCTAAAACAACTAGTGAGTAAACAATGAGGCATTTTAATTTCGTTCATTTACTTTCAATGAATTGTAATCAAAGCTTTAATAAACATGTGCAAAAATGAACTAATGCTGAATTATCAGTATACATTCACTTTATAAAAAATATCAGTCAGTAACAAATTCGATATCTGGATTATTCTTCGATAATTTAGCAATAATATCAGAATTCTCCCAAATCGGATTGTCCCTCAGGTCGAGTTTAACGAGTTTATGTTTCTCAATTAAATCCAAAATTTCGTCTGAACTCGTCAGTTCATTATTCCGTAAAGATAGAATCTCCAGGCTACGTAGGGTCGGAAAACCATTGAGACTCTTCAAACTGTTGCTCGATAATGACAATTTTTTGCACTCCTGCAGAGCCCCCAGTCGATGCAGTGAATTACCTAGTTGATTGGCCCCTAGGTTCACCTCTTCGAAGAGACTGAAGTATTGTTCGTTGTAGAGAATCGTCAGTTCACGATTTGATAAGTCTATTGTGGAATTTATCCCTGTATCGTTTTCGTTTTTCCAGAGGTTGTGGAGTTCGTAATCCATGATGCATTTACTTCCTGAGTGATAAATAATTCTCATTAATTCATCAGAAATTTAAACGTTTTTCTGCAATTTTTCGATACATATAAAAAAATGAATAGAAAAACCTAGCGAATTCGTTGGAAAATTCGATTGAATTTCTTTTCAACTTTCTATCAGTTTTTGATCGATTTTATTAATCAATTCTGCAGCTTATATTCTATTTTTTCAAGAGAAGTGTTCAATGAAAAATATTTTATAGGAAAAATCAATAGAATTTGATTTCTCTATACTTATTCTATTGAGATATTTTCTATAGAAATTCTTGGGCTCAAATTTTCTAACTTAATTTTTTTTATTGATAAGAAAGGGTCAATGGAGTAAAAAAAACTTGAAAAATTAATGTCGATGATTTCCTATAGAAAATATTTTAAGAGAAAGAGTTGTTTAGAAGTTTGAAATTCTACTGATGTTTTAATGGAAATTGTTTCTATTGGACATTTTCTATAAAAAAATTAACAGTAAAGGTGCAGAATGCTTTAATAGAATTGGCGAAAAAATAATAGAATTTTCAATAGAAGTTCAATAGAATTGTCTATAGATTTATGAAAAATTCGAATGAGAATTATAAAAAAACCATTTCCATCCAAAATTAAATTTTCATGATAAAAGATCTAAAATATTTTCTGATAATTTTACAATCATGGAGAATTAATTGCCAATTTTTCATTCTAGACAATTTGAACACAATGAAAATACTTACTCATATCAGTATAATAATTAGCCCTGAGATTGTCGATTTTAATTAAGGCACTCAGATCCTCCAAAATCTTCTCGTGATACCCCACAAGGTCGTAATTCTTCATGAGAAAAATTCCAGTGAGAATGGCCCATTTATTATTCGGCTCCATTTCATTCAACTGTTTGTAGTTCTCCATCTGCTCCTTCAACTGGGCCTTGTTATGTTTATCTATCGGTGAATGGGACGATTTGTAGAACCAAATGTCATCGGACTTGAGAAGATTGTACTCTTCATTCTCGTATTTAATGGAAATAGTTGAGCAAGAAAGGTCTAGTGGCTCGGGGAATGTTGCAGTCCAGATTTTTGAGAATTTTTTGTCGTTGTAGGAGAACCAGGTGACGTCTACTTCATTAGTGTCTTTGGTTAAGGTGAGATCGGTTGATTTTAGGGATGTATCCCCATGGAAGATGATTATAGCTCTATTTGGAGTTATTTTCACTCGCCATAGGGTGTTTGGCTGGAGTTTTGAATAGTCCAAGAGCCAACGTTGGTAAAACCAGGCGCTGGAGTCGTTGGGATCAGTGAATGTAGCATTCATAACTAAATCCAATTCTGAGGGAATAACAGGATTTTAATTGTTTTAATTTAATAATTTTTCCCTTGTATTGTGAATAACATGAAATCTAGCTTAATATCTGGTGACTTTGTCAGTATAAATATTTTAAATAACATGAGTTGGATTGTTTTTTATAAAAAAATTATAAAAATTACGTCGGTTTTTGTATAAATATTTTAGGGTCTGAAAAGAATAGGAAATTTTTCATAAGAACTTTTGTGTACAGCAAAATTAGAGCTACAATAGAGATTCTGTGTGAAAACTTTTCAATCTTCCTCTAATTTAGAAATATCTTGTAAAAACCTTCAACAGGGAAATAATTTTAAACAATATTGCAAGTAAAATATAAAAAACAATTGTTAAAATCTGATGATTTTTCCATTATAAATATTTCAAATAAGAGAGTTGGATTTATTTTTCACGAAAAGCCACGAAACTTATGTAAATTGGTCTGGATAAATATCTCAAAATTTGATAGGAAATTTTTTATAAGAATCTTTTTGTAAAACATGGTGAGATTTAGAAAAAAACAATCTCATGAATATTTAGATATTTATATTTGAATCTGAGATATTATGCAAACCAATGAATCAATTTGAAAAAAATACTCCACATTTCTCTTGCATTTTTATTCTAAAATTTACCTTCTTTATGTTTGTCAGCTATAATCGGTAACTCTCCGGACGGATCAGGAAACATTTTCGAGAGGATTTTGCTTCGATAGTGCCACGAAGAATAATTAGAAAAATTGTTGTAAATTTTTGTTGTGGAGAATTCAAACTCTTCTGCATCGGAAATCCCAGCTTTCTTCACCAGATGTTGTCTGTAATCCCAGCAGTGGACTGGAAAAAATACAGAAATGAGCAATTATCATTTTTGTTAGAATCATTGAATCATGGATATGAAAATGGTTGTGATGTCTTACAATTTCGTTCGTCCAGATTGAGACATTTAGCGCAGAGTGACAGCTCTGTTTTCCAATCTGGCTCTGGTAGATGATCGATTATCCAGCATCGGTGATGCCACACACTGTAGGACTTTGGATTTTCGCGTAGGCAGTTCTCAGTTAGGGTCAACTCTTTTTTGAGACGCTCTACGTATTCTTCTTGGGTCCTGTGAATTATCAAAATTCTATTCGTGAAGTGAATGGAATGAACTTTATTGTTAATTCATATTTAATTTGAAGATTATTGCCAATTCCATTATTCAGAGTTGATTGTTTCCATTTCTCTCATGATATTTAGAGTTTAAAATGGTAAAGAATTCTTTGAAATATTTCGAATTGAGAGGAGGCTTCGATGAAATTGTATCACCAAAAAAATTATTTTTTTGCTTCCTTTTGAGTTAGCGATATTTTATCCACCAAATGATTGTATTTACTGAGCAATGAAAAGTAATACCGAAAGAATTGGTATTTAGGAGGATGTGCTGATGAGATAAAAATTGATAGAAAAAGCTAATGTTGTCTTTAGGAAATTCTATTAGAATGTATAATTGATTATTCTATATTCCTTTTTCTTTCAGATGTATTCAAGTAAAAATTCTTAAACATCAGTTTCCCGAATTCGTTTCATGAATTCTGAAAAAAACTAGGAAATTAATGCTCAAGAATTTTCGTGAAAAAAATGTTGAGAATAATTCATACAGACAAATAAAAATCTATTGTTTTTTCTCGGAAATCGCATAATTTTCAATAGAAATCAGCAAAAAACCAATGAATTTTACTAAGATTTTAATAGGAATTCAAAAGAATTACGAGAAGTTCTATTCTGTATTTTTTCTTTCATATGTGACAAAATGATTTTTTGTAAAACTTCAATATTTTCTGAATAAAAAATGCAAAAAAATTATATTAATCCCATTTTACACTACAACAAACATTGAAAAATTAAAAGCTCCTTCAAATAGACAAAAACTTGAGAGAATAATTCGTTTAAAAAAATTAAATTTTATTGATGTTTTTCCAAAATTTCAGTTTTCAACAGAAATCAGAGCAAAAAATCAGACAAATTTTCATCAGAATATCACTGGAAGTTCAATAGAATGAGGAGAAACACTAAGTTTTTCTATATATTTTTTTATACGTGGGATAAAATGAGTTTTTGTTAATCTTTTTTTGTAAATCTTTCATTCTTCAACAAATACTGAAAAATGAAAAACTCCGTTGAATGTCATTACATTTTTTATTCTGAACATATTCATTATATAAATCTTAGGCATAAATTTTCCAACTTTTTTTTTCTTAAAATTTGAAAAAATTGAGAAAATCTATGCCCAAAAATTTCCATAGACAAAATCTTGAGACAATAGTTAATATAGAAAAATCAAACTTATTGGTTTTCCACCAAAATTGCATAATTTTCAATATTTTCAACAAAGTTTTCATCAGAATTTGAATGAAAATGCTGTAGAATTGAGAAAACACTAGGTTTTTCTATTCATTATTTTTTCATGCGTCTAATGCAATGAATTGTTGTAAATCTAATGTTTTGTAAAATAAAAAATGCAAAGAAGATTATTTTAATCTCATTTTGAATAATGGAAAACGACCTCAAAAATGCAAACTTCAATTGTGCTCTCTGAATCTCGATTAATTAACGGCTGAGAAATTCTCTATTCTGCCCCCACCCCCTGAACAATAAATGAAACTCACCACTGTTGATGTTCAAAAGCTTCTCTCCTGATATTCCAGACCGAATTGATATCCGGATTTTGCAGTGCCATTTTCTCAGTGACCAAGAGGAGCTCATCGTCGTACACTTTCTCTTTTCTCTGCTCATTACAGACAGAACTATTATAATAACTTGTCAACTAATTTCTTCATGGATATCAACAAACCTTCTGAATGACTAAATTGATGGCAGCTTTATACTGTCCAACTTTCTTGGCTCTTTCCACTTTTTTTATTGCCTCCTGTTCAGCTGTTGTGCGGACTTTGACACGACCGTGCTTATAACGAAAAAATATTGTCAAATAACTCGTGAGGAATAGAATCAAATAATTTTGTTCATACCATTTTTGTTCTGTGGATTATCGAAACAATTCAATGTACAAATTAACAATTGGTGCTGTCGTCTTGTTTGTGTACGAAAAAGGTTATGTGTCATTTCATCAGCTGACGTGCCCAGTCGTGCCTATATGATATTGCTGCTTATTCCTTATTGCTAATACTTTTTCTTATCGCTTATACTTTTCGATCACATAAATTTCAAAGAACATTTTTATTGAAAAAAAAACACCACTTTCTTCAAGAAATTCTATTGCATTTCTGTTGAGATTCTATTTTCTATGAGAATTCTATTGGAGTTTTTTAAATTTAATCAAAATATAGAGAAATCGTACGTATTTTTACATTACTTTGAAAAGCTTGCAATTTTCGGTTACTAGAATGTTTTATTTTATTCCGACTGACGAAGACGCAGTTATTGGACACATAAATATCATGAAAAATAGTATATTCTGTCTCAAGGACAGATAAACCGCGAATTTTAACTTCACTTTGTTCGGTTAGAGCGCGGTTCTCAGTACTTGGGGCATAACATTTTATGTCCCTAGGACCGTAAAACCACGATTCTAACCTCGATTCCCTCGGTTAAATTGCGTTTTTCAGGTACAGAGACATAAAATATTGTATGTCACACGACGATAAAACAATTTCTTGACTCATGTGATTGAAATTCTCACCTTCGGCTCGGGTTATAAAGCCACATTCGTCAGAAATATGACATCTTATGTCATCAGGCGATAAAAGTATTATCTGGCGAATGTGGTGTCGCAGTGGTATGAAATAATAATAATTATTTTCAGTAAAATATAATGATAGTTTTTAATAATATTCGCCGTTAGAAGGACGGTGGCGATATACAGTAGTACATATATACATGTAATAATAATAATAATAATAATAATAATAATAATAATAATAATAATAATAATAATGATAATAATAATAATTATAAAACTGAAAAATCAATTATTTGAAATAATAATAATTCTTTTTCAGTAAAATATAATGATAGTTTGTTTTATTTTTCGCCTTCTCGCCTTCGGCTCGGATTATAATCACATTCGCCAGATAATGCTTTTATCGCCTTGTGATATAGGGGAGGATGGGGTAAAATGGACACTTTGGACTTTTTTAAAATTATTCATAACTCAGAAACAAATTCATCAATTGAGCTCAATTTAGGCTCATTACAAAGGGAAAGAAATGTTCTTTGCATTGAAAAAAAAACTATTGAATTTCATCAACATTTTCATCAACATTAACATTTGAAAAAAAGTCTAAAGTGTCCATTCTACCCCAACCTCCCCTACGCTATTTTATGTCGTTGGGCCCGAAAACCGCGATCAAACCGAGGGTCTAATGACATAAATACTTTCATCGCCTGTATCACATGGTACGATGATTTACGGCATTTTAAGAAACTCAAAGACATGAGCCTCATATCTTATAAAGAGTAAATTTCACGAGGGTCAAACGTTTCAAAGACCAAGTCACAAGTCATCTCCATTGTGAGAAAGTCAATCTCATTATCTATTGAGCTTTATTGAATTCTCCACTTTATTATTTGGAGCCCCGGAAAAGTGCAGTTGAACCTGAAAAGAACCATTTTGTTCTGAAGAGTTCAAAAATGCTACCAAAGACAATTGAATTAGTTTTGCCATTTACGAATGTTGAATGAAACAAGTTAATGTCAAGACAAAAGATGATGACGCGACGAATTCAATAGAGATAAATAAATAATGAGATTGATCCTTGTAAAATTCATCCCTTGCACGGCATGACCCTCGAGACGTATGATCTTGTCGTGGTATGAACCTCGTGACTTTTTTCACCCTCGCGAGGTATAATCTTCGCGAAGCTTCACGAGTTATACGATAAAAGGTAACGTTGGCTGGTTTTTTACATTTTTACATTTATTACGTAAATTATGGGTTTTTTACAATGTACTTAGATCTGGGAATTTTCCTCGAAAATTTAGTTAAGGATATCCAAGTAGCTAGGCTATTTTTTTTCCAGTGAAATCTCGAGAAAGTGAGGCTCGATATTAAACAATTAAAGAACATTTTAAAAATCTCTAATTACTTACTTATTTATTCCATTTCACCGTATACCTCTCGGTTTTTACGGTTTCTTATTCCTTCATCTCGTTTTTTATTCCGCATATTTGTTGTTCCCGAATGCTCTTTCCAGTTTTTCCAAACAATCCCAGAAAACAAGATGCCGACAATTTGCCAGAAAATTGTCGATATAGCATCCGAAAATTTACAGCTGAATTGTCGACAAAATTCCGGAAAGAATTTTCGAAACTTAACAGGAAAATTATCTTCAAAATTACGACGTTCAATGACCATATTCGTCGCCAAAATTTTTTGTTAAATATACCATCAATGTATCATCTAATTTATCGGCAAAATGTCCGCTAAAAGGTATCAGCAACATGCTGTCATAATATTCCGACATGTTGTCAAAATTATCAGCAAAATTTCCGCAAAAATTGGACGACAACACGCAGTCAAAATTATCGGCAAAATTTGCTGTCTGGGATGTTTCTTCCCTGAAGTATTCCCGTGCGGTCATCCATCCAACTAGTGACCACGCTCAGCGCTGCATATAGCTTCCCAAAGCTAAGCCTGCCCACCACCACAGTGCGCTAGCCCCGTAGGGTTTGATGAAATAATTAAAAAATTGTAATTTTAAAAAATTACGAATCGTAACAAATTTATTCATATTCAGAATTTTACCAGAAATTCCTTTCATGCCTAAAAAATAACATTTCCAAAAGTTACAACAATTTCAGTCGTTATTTATTTATAAACGAGGAATGGCCAAAAAAATAATAATTCTGCGCAAAATTCAATTGGAATGATATATATATATATTATATTCATGAATTTTTTCAAATTTTTCTCGCAATTTAATTGACAAATTTGATGATTGCAATTATTCAATTCTCCCTTATTTCATATAAAACAGACATTTGTCGGAAGCGAAATACGTATGGGAGCATCGAATAGCGAAACAGTAGTGCTAGCAATTACATTTCTTGCCTGCGCAGAGAATAATTTTTTTTTGAAAATACTAAATCTATTTTTGCAATAAAAATTTTCAATCCTGGCCCACGCTTCGCATGTTTGGCACAAAAAAAGCTTTTTTGATCATTTTTAACTAACAATGTTTTTTTGGTCTGAATAAGACTTGTTTGAGAACTCTACTGTTTTTCTCAGCGTAAAAGATACTTGGATAGGGGAGGGTGTGCCTGTACCGCCCACCTAAGGGGAAATGCCAGTTTTATATGTTATATTTCAACTTGAGTATAAAAAACGTATTTGTGAGACTTCTTTAACTATTGAACTCGTTATTCTTGAAGTGTATACATTCCGAGAATAACGAGTTCAATAGTTAAAGAAGTCTCACGTAATTCTCCTTAGAATCCACAAAATTGATTGGAAATAAAAGAGAAGGCCTATTGAGCGGTACTACCCGCCGTCGGGTAATACCGCTCGGCACGATTCCAATGTCGCTCATAAGGTTTTGCGTGTATCGCTCGCACCGCAATCTAGCCTATACTCGAGTGCTGTCGAGCAACTACGTGGCTGATCCTATGAGCGGTAGTACCGGCTCCGCTCGGCGTCAACAAAATTGTTGATAATTATTGACATGAGTAGAGTTTTGAGTTCGAATTGGTCTCAAATTATGCACGAAAATACCACGAATCGACTAACCACAGTTTAATGTGAAAATTCAGCGTTTGAAACTATCAAAAATCTTAAATAAAAGTCCACAAATTTTGCACTATAAAGACCTCAAAACTTCGTTACGTGTTTTTTCATATTTAAATTGGTAAATAAAGTGAAATTTTTCCGACAATCGCATCTTATCATCAAATTCTTCATGATCAGGAACAGAAAGAAATTTTCAAGTTGATGGTTGTGGAGAAAATCGGGTGAGCGGTATTACCCGCTGAGCGGTACAAGCACACCCTCCCCTAAGTCGACTTAAATCGTTTTACCGCTTCGATACTGACATGGAAAAATGGGATCGTTAATGAGAAGTTGGTCCTTCTGACGCTCGAGATGGATGGGATGAACGTCCCCTGAGTTCGTTCCGAAAACTCACTGAAATGTTAATTCGTAGAAATCAAATATTATCACTTGGTCTGCAAAAATTATCATAATTCCGCCATTTCTGTGGTGATGCCCCGTCCTTGCTAAATTTACCGAGTTTCCTCTCACTATTCAATGCAATATTATGCAAAAAACTCTTGATTTCTATTCTTTTATTTCAATTTCGATTCGTGTATCTGAAAAGAATTCCCAGAAAGAGTGTTTTTTCTTGCGTTTTCACAAACAAATAAAATAACAAAATTAGTGAAATGAAGATTATTCATATAAATTCAAAAATGCCAGAGTGAAACACTCGTATGAGAAAAAAATGAAGATTATAAGCCTGATGCACTTTCTTCACTTTCTTCACTTCTTGTGAGTTTTAGATAAACCGACGTAATAACATGTGTAATGAAATTATCAAATGATAGAATTATTTGCATCCCTTGAAGGAATCAAATTTATTCATTACCATTATTTATAATTCATTTACTATTTATTGCAATAAATAATCGCCATCAATACCCCAAGTGTTATGCATAGCAACGAGAGGGAAGAGTTTTGCTGATTAAAACCTGATTTTATTTGATTGTAAACCATGCCGATCGTTGATATGAAGGGAAAATTGAGAACACATTTTATTACAATCTGGACGGGTGTTAATTTCTAGATGTTTTCAACTTGCATTGAATATTCCATAAATAATTTATTATTTATTATTTCACCTTCCATTAATATTATTCGTGTATAATCATGTGATCAATTTTTTTTTCTATTGACGGCCATTAAATAAATAAATAATATATGGCCCAGTCGTCCAGAAATTAGGGGTTTCGGCTACATTCAATTATTTCTTAATTTAATTCAGTAGCGAAGTGGTAAAACGGTACAAGTCAATTTTGACTATTGACCAGTTTTCAATGAATATCTCGGAATCTAAGGGAGATGGCAAAATTTTTCTCACAATCTTTTCGTCGAGCCGATTGAGTGCTACAACAAATATTATTATAAAAATTTCGCTATCTCCCTTAGATTCCACACTGCACAGAGACATTTATTACGGGAAAGGCTCTTTGAAAAAAGTTGTAATATTTTGGAGAATTTTTTAATCACACTTTTATCGCATAAAAATGACAGATGACTACATACCACTGTTTTGAAAATTGAGGTACTTAGCTGTCACTTCCCATGAGGAGTTAGTGTTTTGTTATCCACCGTGGAAAATGACAGCTAATAGATAATTTGTCACAGCGAATCAGATATTTGTAATTTCCACTTTTTTCAACTCATTCTGAATCTCAATTAAAAACGCTCTTTGAAAAAGTTCAGAATTTTCTATTTTATCATTCCATCATAATTTTTAGAAATTTCTACATGATGTACCACTCAATTGATAATTTTGGATTAGGAAAGATAAAAAAATCCAGATAACATTTGAAAGATAGTACACCCAGGCCTTAAATATTACAATTCCGAATTAAGGCCCGGGTGGATTATCTTTTGGTTGTTTTTTTATTTCGATAATATGAAATGATCTCCAATTGCTATTCAGTTTTCCATAGCCCTGGAGTTTACAAAAATTATGATATTGGACAATCAAAAAAACGTTGAAAAAAAGCGGAACATTTTCAAAGAGCATTTTGGAATAATATTGGAAAGTAAACCCAATTGAGAGGAAATTGCAAATTAATAATTTGATGTATCTAATGGCTGTTAGGTCGTCATTTATCACAATAGTCAATGGCTGTCAGATCGTTAGTTACCATGATAAATTATCCATTCACAGTTTCCTCTCTATTGGACTTATTTCTTAATCTTTATTAAAAACCCTCTTTGAGAATGTTCAGTTTTCTTTCTACTTTTTTGATTGCATAATCATACTTTTTAGGGACTCCTGTGTGATGTAAAATGCAATGGAAATTGTGATATATTTTACATTATGAAGATGGAAAAACAAACGAGATAACGTTCGAAAGATAATCCACCCGGGCCTTAATTTATCAATCAATAATTGAGTTCGGAAGATTGACGATTATTTGTACAATCGAAAAATCCGTTTATGAAGTTTCAAATTATTTACACAATAATCAATTCACAGTTCCATATTGTCGATTACTACACACACAGACAGACGCGTACAGACGAGGTCTAAAAATTTCATTTTCCGACGTTTTAGATCATACTGAGTCCATATAGGAGAGGTTGGGGTAAAACGGACACTTTTGACTTTTTTTAAAATGTTAATGAGGGGTCGAAATGTTGATAAAATTTAATAATTTTTTTTCAATACAAAAAACAATTCTTTCTCTTTGTGGCGAGCCTAAACTGAGCTCAATTGATAAATTTGTTTCTGAGTTATGAATAATTCAAAAAAAGTCTAGTGTCTATTTTACCCCACCCTCCCCTAACACAAAAAATCCAAAACTTACATTTGAACGATTACAAAGCTTCCATTCGGAAGCAAAAGCAATATTACTAAAATAATGATTGATGCCGATCCCTCATGAAAGACCAGAATTTTTTCCGAATTTTTGGAGATCTTGAAGAAAGAAGGTGTCAGAATAGAGAAAGAATCCCCCCCAATTGTTCTCCCAAAAATCCTTTTCTCTCAAAAACGGCCATAAAAATCGTTAAATCCGTTTGAATGAAAGGATTCGAGTTCAAGGGTACATCTTGCGAGTTGTTCTGTTCCCCGAAAGAATGAGACCACATAACCCGCCGTATCATTGCAAAACGTTAACTCGCTGAAAAGAAAAAACCCGTAAAATAAAAAAGAAGCCATGAAATCCAGGAAGCTCAGTGATGTCAGTCCGAGGTGAGAGGCTCGTGGTCAATAATCATCCGGTGCGTCCGTGGCTGACCAAACCTACCAAATGAGCGATCAAGAAAAGAAATAATCGAAAAGAAAAAAAGCCAGCAGGTGGGGCAGACTCGAGAGGTAGTAAATGCCCCCCAACAGTGCCCCATGAAGATGATGTTGCCCTGGTGGGAGCAATTTAGGTTACTCGTAGCACCAGGGAATGTGGGCCGACTATATACTGGCTCATCACCATCGCCCGACAGTTCATTCCTTCTTTGTAATTCCGAATCGTAAGGTCCCCACATCATCGTCTCGCACTTGTTCGTCTGGACGTCAGCGGTGCATCTGATTTTTATCATCTTCGGTGAGTCCACGATCCCAAAAAATTACAATCATTATTCTCGTTTAATATCTACTCAAAAAAAAATTATCAAACATTTGGAATTGGAGTTACGTCCAAATAAATTATCACGAAACGGTCATCGACTTCGGACTTGTCTGGGAGAATAAAATCTCATTGACTGCGAATTGCATAAGACGTTACAGGTGCACGCATTGTTCTCACGAGTAATTATTCAAATATTATCTCCAATCGACTCTCCACATGCGGGAGAGAAAACATTCCTGATGAATGGCTTATTTGCATCCGCTTTTCTGGATATTTCTCTCGTTCATTCACTTCCTCAATTTTGCGGGTGTAACATCAACGGTTTTGTTTAATTTTTTGGATTGTTATTGATATTCATATTATATATTATTTTACTTTCATTCTTCTACCAGCTCTTGACGTATTTCCGGTAGTTTTTTATCGCTTCAATGATTGCTTTCTCTTCAACCCATCCGCGGTTAAATATTGTGTATTGAGAGATAAATGGACAGGTTCACAAACAAGTCTGGTTTTAAATAAAAAAATCGCAAGATAAAAATGACTAAAAAAGAAATTGTTCCATTTTTATTTGGACGTTACAAACATGAATTACTTGCTCTTCTTTCGATACAACGAATCGTTTTAAATCAAGACGCGGGGTATTTATGCGAGATGGTGGGTTTTCAGGATGAAAATATCCCTCTCAAAGGGAAGTTTACGGAAAGAAATTCAGTAGCGAAGGGGTAAAACGGTTTTAGTCGATTTAGCCATTAGCTGAGTTTTCGAGAAATATTTCTGAATCTAAGGGAGATAGCGAAATTTTCGTAATAATTTTTTTTGTAGAGCGAATTAAGGGTGACAAAAAAGATTATGCCAAAAATTTTGCTATATCCTCCAGATTTCGAGATATTCATTGAAAACTGGCCAATAGCCAAAATCTTGAACCATTTTACCGTTTCGCTACTGAATTGGGTTTCTCTGCTACAGGATTGTTGTTATATCTTCACCATTATTCTATGTAAGAATTAATTTCTCCTCTTTGATTATTGAATTGTCAAAACGGAAAACTACTCTCACTTATGGCGTATAAAATGAACATTTTTCGATAGCGAAATATGTGTGGTAGCATAGATTAAAGAATAAGTAAGGCTAAAAAAATTGCTTGCTTACAGAAAAAATTACAATTTTTTTGAAGCTCCCATTCTATTTTGTCGATAAAAATTTTTCACGTCGGGGCAGTCTTTAGATGGTCAGCTCTGGATTTTATTTTTTTTGGTAATCTTCAACTTGCGATTTTTTTGGTTCAAATAAGACTTGCTCGAGAACCTGTTCGTTTTTCTGGCAGTGTACCGTGATATTACGAAATTACTTTATTTTCTTTATTAAATATTCAAATAAATTTGGTACTTCTTGACGGGTCAGTTACTTTATCATCCTTGAATGCATTCAAAGTCATCTTTAGAGTGATTAAGGATTACCAAGTACTTTGGCTATTTTTTCTCCAGTGAAATACTTTTCTACTCTTGTTGTCGAACATCAGAGCTTTCATTTGAGTTCTATTTGATCCTAAGTTTCAGGACATTTTACAATTATTTTATTATTTAATCTTTGCAGGACTGAATTTGAATCTCAATATAGAACAGTTACTTTTGGAGGAAGATTGACGAAATAATTTAAAAAGTGCAATTTTAAAAAATTATGAGCATTTCCGATGGATAATTTATACGCAATTAATTTTCCACCATAAAAATCATTTGTTCGGAATCGTAATAAATTTATTCATATTCAGAATTGTAGCAGAAATCGATTTAATGCCTAAAAAATGAGATTTCCGACGGTTTAAAGAATTTCAATTATTTATTTATCAACAACGTATATTTAAAAAAACAATAATTTTGTGCAAAATGTAATCATGATTTGTTTCAAATTTTTCTCACGCAATTTAATTGACAAATTTGATGATTGAAAATGGTTGAATCTATAGTATTCTCTGTACCAAACTATAAAATATACTTGGATATCTATAAATATAATTCATCTCCGCAAAATCAAAAGCATTATAAAAAGACAGACCAAATTATCTCACTCCGTTGATTAGTTCTGTTTAATCCAATCACTTCTTCATCTGTAACAAAATTTCATTTCATAATAGGAGTGAATGAATCGAAGTAGAATAATGACGAAAAAAAAGGTGAATGGATCCATCCTATTACGAAATTGATTTCTATGGTGATTCGATTTAAAAAACGAAAGAAATTAAAAAAATAAATTTTATCGCGAAATAAGAGCATTAGATTAAAGGTAAAAAACCGTGAATTCAGATCTTGTAATGTACTTTGAGTTCTTCACAAAACAGTGGCAAAGCCGGCCACGTAACGGTTACCCCGTGGCACATTGCGGGCCGCGTTAAAACACCACAGGCAGCAACGAGACTCGTTTCGTCGCGCGTTCATTTTCTCAAATGGTATTGTCAATAGGGCGTACGCACGCCGGGTTCTACAAGAAATCTGGCACAATTCACGCATTTGTGTCCGCTTTAGTTGTGACTACTGCGAGTGACGAATATTTCTTTCATCCATCCGAACTTACTTGGGAGGTTTTTTTCTTGGTTTATGCCGTTCTGGCGCATTTGAAGATCGAGAATTTTTTTTTGTTTTTATTTCTTCTCTCATTCTTGATTGGGTGTAACGGGATGTGAATTTCGGGAATACCCGGCCTCCGGCATCTGCACGCGAGAAATTATTGTTTTTTTTATGAAGGGATCGGTATAAAGTGGGAATGGAAGGTACACTGTTAGATGTTTATTGGGATTGGTTTTTTTATTTAAGTTGAAACTTCAGAAAAAATGGTTTCATGCGATTCGGCGAATGCAGAAGCTTTGATAATTGCTTGAATTTTTTGTTTCATTGAGGAAATTGAACGTGGGATTAACGCATACATTTTTTATACGTGTTGTAAATGAAGGAAAAATTGTTTTCTTATTTCGTTAATTAATTTGCTAAATTGAATATCGATTGAAGTGTACTCTTAATGAATAATAAATTCAAGACATTTCAGTATCATCCGAATTTTCATCATCATATCAAATCACAATACAATTTCAATTTTACCAGTTGACCGATTCTTTTCGATCAAAATGTGTTGGAATCTCACATAAATGAGGTGTAGTTGAATAATATCAATATCGGGATTTTCGTAATTTTCGAGCATTGCACGCACGCAAGAATTTAACAGAAAAACCTAGTGAATTCGTTAGAAAATTCTATTGGATTTATATATTGTGGAGACGATTTCGACCGAATTTTTAAAATTTTTTCGTAGTTATTGGCTCCGCGGTTATTAACTGATTTGAGACAGAAGCCAATAACAACGAAACAATTGGATTTCTATTGAACATTCTATTAGTTTTTGACCGACTCTATTGAAATGTTCAATAGAAAATATCCAATAGAATTCGATTTTTCTATATAACTTATTCTCTTCGGATATTTTCTATAGAAATTCCTCGGTTCAAATTTCCTAAGAGTTTTTCATTCTATTTTTCATTTCTTTTCTTTTCATCAAGAAAATCAATCAAAAAAAAATTGAGCGCAGGAAATTTTACAGAAAATATTTCAATAGAATTGTGTAGCGAGTTCGCTAGGTTTTTCCATTAAATTTTTTCATCCGTGTTCTATCATCATATGAAATTAAACTTCGAATTCCTCGGAAATTGAGTGATTTATCTTTACTATAATCGACTGACATTTCATGTAAACGAGTTGTTAAATATTTTAAGAATTCTCAACGGGAATTTGATGTAAAATTTTCTACTGGTGTAGAGGACTATCCATTCTTTTTATGTCATTTGTGATGAGAATCGATTAGGTAGTATTTACCGTTGGATAGAGGAATGAGAAATCTATGGAAGAAAGAGGAAATTTGGTGATTCAATAGTACATCTGAATTTTTTACATTCAGAAAGCAGTACAATTCACTGGTCGTCACCGTTGAAGAATTTTCCATTGAAAGTTCCGAGGGAAATACTTTAAATTCAAGACAAGTCATGCTCGGAGTTTCACTCAAAATTACTGATTAATAGAACAAAAATTTTCCACTGAGCACTGAATATTCATGTTTGATTTTTCATTAACGGGGTTTCTCTGTTACTACACGATTACGCGGGAAATTTTTCGAGTAGAACTGAATATTCCATGATGATTCGATGGAATTAGATTAGGGAGGATTGAATTTTAATGGCCTTATGAATATATTTTTCTCGTTGTCTCATAATATTTAGAGTCGGTCAACATTTTTCCAACAATTCAACGCAAATATTTAACACCTTTAGGAAATTCTATTCTATTTTATAACATTTCACGGACGAAAAAATTTGATAGAAAAACCTATCGAATTCGTCAGAAAATTTTACTGAATTTCTATTGAACTGTTCTATTAGTTTTTGGCCGATTCTATCGAAACGTTCAATAGAAAATATTCAGTAGAAAAAGTCAATAGAATTCAATTTTTCTCTATAACTTTATCCTATTTCGATATTTACTATAGAATTTCCTAGGCTCAAATTTTCTAAGTTTTTTCGTTTGATTTTCTTGATGAGAAGAAAAGAAAAATAAAATGAAAACAACTTGGAAAATTCGAGTCGAGCAAATTCTATAGAAAATATATGAAAAGAATAAGTTATATAGAAAAATCGAATTCTGTTGACTTTTTCTATTGAATGTTTTCTATTGAACATGTCAATAGAATTAGCCAAAAACTAATAGAAAGCTTAATAGAAATTCAATAGAATTTTCTCACGAATTCGATAGGTTTTTTTTATTAAATTTTTCCGTGCGTGTTTTTAGGAATTTTCATTTGGACAACAAAATAATAAAGAATTTTTTGTTTTAATTTATTTCATCCGTGTATTAATGAACGATTATGAGAAAGAAATTCCCTTCGCTTATGTTATGAGGGCCGAGCCCTCTATTATGGACTGCAAATGCCCTTTTTTCTGG